TCACCGCTGGGACCGGGTCCGTCCTCCCGAAAGTGCCTCTGAAATTCACACTGGGGTGAAAGACCTTCTCCACCCCAGCCTAATACCGCTGGAGGGCACGCCCATGAGGTTGGAGAAGGCTGATTTACTTGCAGTCCGTATGCAGCCCTGTGAAATGAATTAGGATGAAGAGGTTGTGGGCCCCCAGTCTTGCAGATGGGAAACAGAAGCTGCATAAGCTCGGCATGTTTCTGGCACAGGTGGGATTCAAACCAGGGATCTCCTGACTGGATGTCCAGCCCTGTGCCGTCGCCTCGCTCCGTAAGGGACCAGTCCTTGTGTCCCTTGGCTGGGGGCCTCTTTGAGCCATGCGCCAGCATAGCTGGCCCATGTCGGCTTTGTTTTGCGGGAGCTCCATCAGGCAGCAGCTGGCCCCGGGCCATCCTGGAGGTGTGCTTATGGGCGTGGGAAAAGCACCCATCTGGTTCGGGTGCATTTTTGGGCGGCTCAGTGTCTGCAGGAGGTGCCAGGAGCCAGGATGGCAACGATCTTTGTGTTATGGCTAGCCAGGAGAGGAAATGTGGCCCAGACAGGAAATGGAAGCACCCAGCAGCTTTTATCAGCTTCTGCAGACTGCATCCTTTTTGGGAGAGAGAGCGTCTGCCTACAGTGGTTCCTACTCTTGTCTGTATTACTGCCATGCATTATATACATGATGCTGCCTTTGAAAATGGCCCAGAACCTCCAGCTGGTCCAAAGTAGGTTGGTGAGATTAACAGGGACAGGCCAATATGGTCCTTTTATGCCCAGACTTTTTCAGTCCATTCCTGGTCCCTCTTCAGAGTGCTGGTTATTAGCTTTCAACGTATCAAAGGGCTTTCCAGCCAGGAGATCTGAACGATCTTCTCCTCCCATGTGCACCTTCCTGGCCCCTAAGATAGCCCTCCATAGCTTTTCTCTGGCGGATCCTGCCAAAGGAAGTGAGGTGGGTGGCTACTAAGAGAAGGGCCTTTTTGGTTGTGGCACCCCAGTTGTGGAATTGGCTTTCCAGAGAGGCTTGCCGGGTATGCTCTTTCTGTGCTTAGATACAGACCTTCCTGTTTCCCAGTTTATTTTTTTAAAACTGTTGTACTTTGTGCTGCTGCTGCTTTGCTTTCATCTTTACCTCCAGTTTATGCAGTAATTGCTGAACCTTTCTGGTGTATTTTCTGTTGTGCTTTATCTTAATTGGGATCCACCCTGAGAACTTCAGCTATTGGGTGGTACAGAAATCTAATCAATACCGAAATAAAATTGTGCAGTGTAGGAAAAAAAAAAACCAAGTTGGACCAAGAATCTGGCTGAAGTTGAAGCTTTGCACTTGGCAAGTACAGGTGTTTTCTAGGCTGGGTCCCTGGCATTTCCCATGGTCCTGTTCCCTGTTTGGGAAAGACCCTTCCCTGCCTCAGGCCTTTGCTAGCCAGAAAATATGTTACTGGTTTAGATGGACAAAGAACCTGGGCACTCCTGAATAGAAGTAAGTCCCAGTCTGGCCTTTGTAATTCAAACTCACTTTTCTTGCTGTTAAGAATGGCATCATTAGCTCTTGTTCATCAGACTTGTCAATAGACTCTGCTTGTAAACAGCCACTCACCTATGGTGAGAATTGCCTCCAGGCGACTAGCCAGCTAGTTTTCACAGGCAGGAGCGGGTGTGTGGCTTGACCTTGGGTTGTTTGTCTGTTCTGTTTTGGAGGGGCCGCAATGGCTTGATGTAGGCTTGGACAGGCAGGGAAGCTCAGAGAAGTCCCCCGTCGGTTAGGATCCTGAGTTCTGCATGGATCGAATTCAACCATAGCTGTGAGAACGATTGTAACGCCTTTATGGCATTACCTGTCGAAAGATCCCCAGTCCTTTTCAATGGATTTTTAAATGTAAAGTTCCAGTAAATGCCAGCTGTGGGTTTAGACGATGGCTGTAGGGCTGCTCGATCACTTTCAGGGTTCTGGTTCAGTAGGTCAACTCAGAGTTTGTTGAGCGGCTTCATTTGCATGGAAACCCCGCATAGACGCCAAGGAATGCCTCTTGCCAGTGCTAAATGCTTTGGTCCCAGCTGCACTGGCCTCTCCCTTGGTCTCGTGGGACTGGGTAAATAGGATGGCCCATGGACCATCCTATGACATTGATGCACAGTCTTGGGCACAATCTTGGTCAACAATCCAGGGTGCTGGGTTTGCACATAATGACAAACAGCCCAGGAATGAGGTGATCCTGGGCGGTTTGGAGAAGCAGAACTGCCTGGGCCCCCAGCAACACAGGGGTTAAACAAACCCTTGGCTTGTTGTTACATACAAACCAGGTCATTGTGCTTAACAAAACTGCACCTGGTATGTTTTTCTTTTGAAGGTGAGCCAAATGAGACCTATCAGTTCAACAAAGGCTCATTTGAAATATCAGGGCAGGCTTTGTAGCTTAACAACAGAGACCCGGTTTTTCATATTCATATTGCCTTGATAAGTACAACAACAGTAAGAGCTGCAGCTTGCCAGCGGGGTGGAGGAGGTGGAGGAGCACCGTTTTCGTGCATGCTGACAAGCTGTTGATCCAAAGAGCTGTTTCAATTAAATTCCATGCTGTGAGAGACTCTGGGAATTTTGCTCTTTCTCTGTCCCCCTGCAGAATTGTATTTCTTGGCTTCTTCAGTGTTTTTAGCAGGGGGAAAGCTGTGCATCAGCTGAGCCATCTCTGCTGTTTAACAGTTCAGGTGTACCTGCATTCTGAATGTGCCTTTGCTTTATGTTGGCTTGATTGTGGTAGATGTCTCCCAAAGAATGGTGGGAATTGTAGTTTTGCGAGAGTCCTGTGAATGTGGGTGTAAACACAGCATCTTTTGAGTGGCATAAAGCCATAGGGGAGACACCTGAACTGGATTCACAAACAACAACAACCTGGTGTATGGATTTGGATATATGTTACCATCATATGTACTCCCTGAACTATTGTTTAAGTACAGGTTGTTAACCACAAACAAGAAGAGAATCCATGGTTAGTTGTTGGATTGTGAACTCTGACTTGTTCATGTTAGTTTGTTAGCTTGGCTCGGTTCAGAGAATGATATTTCGACAACATTGACCTCCCACACTGAACGTAATGATAATTCAACAACCACCCGTCATCAACCCGCATTCTGGGTTGCTGTTACATGTGAACCAGGTCACTGTGGGTGGTTGCTATTGTAGTTTGTCTGAATGTGTAATCTTTTCTTGAAGTTTTGAGTTGTGCGAGAAATCGGTTCTGGGAAAGCCAGGCCCTGGGAGAAAAAACACCTGCAGATAAGCTCAGATGACCTTTGGCAGATTCTTAACACCCCTCCTAACTCCAAGCATCAGGTTGGCCAGCAAACCATGTGTTCTGGTGTTTAACTTGTCTTCCTGTTTCTCTCCCTCTCCCTCTCCTCCATATCCCTAAATCTTGGAGGGGAAGAGAAAATCTTATTTAATTCTGTGCACCCAATGCTTGGCAGGTTATTTTTTAATCTTTGCGTGTAATCCGGGTTTCTTTGACCCCATCCATCTTTTTGCACGTAGGGCCTTTGTTTGCGATTCCCTGCACGCCACCCACCAGACGGATTCCCTCTCCTACCACAGGCCACTGCTGTTCATGCGGCGGTGACTTTCCATCACTAGCCCTTCCCCCTGAGAAACCGGAATGTTTGTGAACGTTCCGTGATGTTACAGCAGTTTGGTCCACGGCTGCAGGAAGAAGAGGGTGATGGAGGGCCGTTTCGCTTGTCCTCTTCCCTACCCAAGATCTCATTGTCTTTAACTGTCGATAAAACAACATTGCGTTGTAATCTTTATGGCACAGTGACTTCAGTGCTAGGCCTTGGCTATCCAGAGATATATGGAGCCATAAAACCGGCAGTGTTCCAGTTCAGTTTTGTGCCAGTCTGTGCGAAGCTGTAGACTTCCAGGCTTGCAAAGAACTTCAGCTCCATGTGGACAGCAAAGCTGCTGGTTTGTTGGACACAATGCGGTATGTGGAAGGCCCTGTCCTGCAATGAGCAGCCTTCCAGTTTCTTGCAGGTCTTTCTGGTACAGCCTTACTTTTCATGTGCCCCTTACTCTTCGATCCTGCAACTGTGTGTTAGCAGTCCCAACTCAGATACGGGAGTCTGGGTGGAATTCATACCTGTTTGCTTTGCTTCCCACACCTACCCTCTTTAAGGCTGTTGGTATTTATTTATTAGATTAATATCCTGCTTTTTTCTTACAATCTCAAAGCGGCTTGCATAATCCTCCTCCTGTTCTCAGTCTTATCCCCACAATAACAACCCTGTGAGGAGGAGGAGGAGGAGGAGGAGGAGGAGGAGGAGAAGAGGAGTAGTAGTAATAGTATCCTTTATAGATTGGTATTTATACATTCTAATTGTTTCGTCTCCCTTTCCGCAGCCTTGAAATAGCACCCCCACCAATACTGCATCTTTTTTTTCTCCTATTTTTAATCCGTTACATTTCCCCCCCGCTCGCAGCCCTGCTGCCTTTAGTATCTCCAGTGTATGTGTTATTTTTACTGGAAGTGCCGTTTACGAGATCTCCAAGGGCTACATTAACCTAGAAACAGTTAAGCCTTTTAATATCTTTGTTACGTACAGCAAGGAATCCCCCAGAGAAACGCAGACACAGCTCAGCTCTCTGGAAGGAAGACATGTAGAATTAAATCACCCAGTAAACTCTTAAGACTTTGGAACGAGCGTCATATTCTTGTCTTCTAAGCCTTTAACAATTTAATCTCCCCCTTTGTGGCTCTGACCAGTTATCCGTATGAGCCAGGGATAGCTAAGTTTATGTGCCCCCCCCCACCCCCATCCAGGAAAGTTCCATTATGAGATAGGAGGGTAGAATTGAAGGTTTGATATCAAAACATAACTATTATCTTCTCCCCCCCGGCAACTCCTTTTCAGTTAGGCAGCAGTGTTTTAGTTCCCCCTTGTTTAGAATCAAAACTCCTCTGTTAATAACTGCCTTTCGTTTTTCTTCTTAGGAAATGGCCAACTCTGTTTACTTGGTTATGGAGGTGAGTGATGTTTTGAAGATGGTCTGGGATACTGAAGTACGTCTTCTCCGTTGCATTTCACTGTGGCCCTTCCCTCCAGGAGCTTCTATGACATTCTCCAACCCAGAATTGTATTCTCACAACAACCCTGCACAGCAGAGATGGCAGCTGTTCTCACGGTCCCTTAGCAAGCAGCGTGACGGTGTGGGGATCTGAAAATTTTTCCTTCCTTTCCTGGGCTGAAGATCTAACCTAGCCTTTCCCACGCTGGCGTCCACAAGATACATTGGGCTGCAACAGCTGTCTTTCTTAGCCAGCATAACCAGGCCCATTGGGAAGGTTGCTCTAACCACTGCAAGAAGGTCAAGACTCATCTGGGTGGAGAGGGAGAGGGAGAGGGAGAGAATGGAATATTTGAAATCAGCTTCAACTAAGCGAATTCCAGGAAATGCCACCTGGTTGATCTTGTGGCTCTGTCCCCGTTGTTGGGAAAGGTACTTCGCAAGGAGCCAAGCACACCTCAGGCATTAATATGGAAAATGGTGCAGTGCAAAGCAAACAGTGCGTTTGAGTGATGCTCTGGAAAGCAGAAACCCACCCATAAGGAGAAGCTTCTTGAAGGGCAGTAGCAAGCTGCAGGGGTGTAGCTTGGGTTACTGTCTTCCTGCTGGCCTGGCCTTGAAAGTGAATCATTCGGCTTTGGTTTGGAAGGCTGGTCTCAGGGGTCTTGCTCCCCTGGTGGGCAAGTGGAGAAGGGGGCACTGGCTCGGCTGCTCCCTGCTGGATCCGGAGGCAGGAATAGCTTTGCAGGAGAGGTGGGCTTGGGAGGACCCCAGCCTTGCTATTTTTCCTGCTCCTGGGATTTTAGGTCACTCCTCCACCCCTGAAAAAGTGAAGCTCAGAGGGACATATGTGAAGGGTATCCTGTTAGGTAAAGACCAGGTACCCCGTGAGGCCAGAAAGACAGCAACTGCAGCTTGATTGGCATGTGTTGAAGGCAGGGGTGCTGAACCTCTTTGGGGCCCGTGTTGGAGGGCTGCGTTCCAGGGATGGATGGGGCGAAAGGCGCAGGGCCGCGGCTAGTCCTCTTGCTGCCAGTTGTCAAGTCTTGGGGGGAACAGCGCAACCTTGTAGAATGGGGTGGGAGAAAGAAGGACACCCGAGCTGAGAGAGCCCCGGAGGATCAGAGGAAGGAGTGGGGCCCTGGGGGCAATTTTGCCCCTGTGGGCGAGGCTCTGGCTCAGAGGCATTGAAGCCTCACCGGAATACAAAGCTGCCCCTTTTGCTGCAGGGACAGGCTCCTGCGGCACAGGCTCGGCCGAAGGAAGCAGAAGTGCTTGCGTGTGCTTTGGGTCATCGACCTTGCAGCCGTAAAACCTTCATCTTGTGGCGAGCGGGAAGGAGCTGCGATAGAAAGAAGCCAAACTGCTGCAGTGCACTGGCTCCCACACAGAGGCGACCTGGCTTGTTCCTTAGCATCCCCAAGTAGGGCTGAGAAAAATCCCTGTCTGGCAGAGGAACCCAGGGTTGAAGTCCTTCAGCGATCCTTGACTTGGTGCCCTTTGGAGGAGTTGGACTACAGTGCCCATCATCCCTGGCCAGCCTGTCAGGAGATGATGGGAGCTGCCATCCAAATGGTCTGGAGAGCACCGAGAGGGACTGCAGCTTAAATGGCAGCTCTTCCCCTTCCCTCCACTCCTGCGCATCAGAAGAGAAACCTTTATAAAAATTGTTACCCTCTGTTGTTTGTAAATAGTCGAGGTCTTGCAATTTAAGGCTTGGATTGTTTAGACAGGAAATAAGCGGGGAATCTGTTTTTCCCACTTGTTTGCAGAGTGCTGCAAAATGTAATTTTGTTGCTTCTTCACATGAGAAAGCCCAGTGAAACCGACTCCCTTGTGAACTCTTTCTCTTTCTCTTTGATCCTAGTATTGCAACGGTGGCGACCTGGCAGATTACTTGCATAGTAAGTATCATCCCAGCTTTCTTGGGCTGTTGTCAAAATAAAGGCTTATTAAAATGTCTGCAGCTAGAATGTGACATCCTGTAATAAGTATCCTGCTGGATGTGTGGTAGAATTTGTGCACGATGCTTTTACTACTGTCATTTGAAGTGGGGGAAAGTTTCTAAGGGCTTGCAGCTGGAGATGTGGGGGAAATGGAAAAATCCTGGGAAAAAGAAATTTTCCAATTGCTCCCTGAAGAGCCTTCTTTTTTCTGAATGAGTCCTTTTCTTTTTTTCTTTTTTCTGGGCTTCCACTTCTCTGCCTGAAGCTTTTCCTAAGGTTTACGGGTACAAGAGCATTTGTGTTGTGTTCCAGACCTGGTTTGTGCTTTGCCTGTCCCTCGACAGGAAGAGAGGTGGCCAACCCAGGTTCACCTCTTGCTTTACTGATGTTTTCATTCAGCATTCAGGCCCCTGAATGAAACACAGCCTAAGCACAAGTATTTTTCTGTCCATGTGGAGGCCACAGTGCATGGAGTGCTCCAAGATCTCATCCTCATCAAGTGGAGGATGGTAGAACAACCTGAGTTTTGCCTGTCCTGGTTCCCACCACAGATGGAGGTCCATCTGGCAGAATGCCTCTGCATACCCTATGGAACAAACAAAACCCTGCAGGTTGCCCCTAGCATGTCAGGGAAAGGGGGCTCGGCTTGCATGCTAGCTTTTTAATTGTGGGGGTTTGTTGATGCTATGCAGGGGCAGATAAGTTGCGTGTCAACCACGAGGAAAGTGTACCCGGCTGAAAATTAGTGTCCTGCAGATATCATGGCTTACATTCCCTGGATCTCTTTGGCATTGTTATCGAAGACATCTTGCACACACCAGGATGGAAAAACTGCTGGAAAAAGCACTCTGGTGAAGACTTATCTTGTGATCAGGCAGACTGGCTTGGCATCTTTTCTGTCATTGTTTGGAAAGGATGTCCTTAGCACATATTGTCGATTCAAAGAGATGTGTATAATCTAGTTCAGGAATGACTTGATTGGGGTGGTGCTGCTGCTTTATTGCACTGGCTTTCTGTTCATAAGGCCATTGCAATTAGAGCTTTTGGCTTTGTTTTCTTTTTTGCTCCTTTGATTTATTTTGATTGCCATTATGAAGGTTTGCCTTGGGCAAGGCATGGCGCTTCAGACCCACCCAGTGAAGAAAAGGAAGGTGTTTGTTTTTCTGCTTCCAATAACAACTTGTCCTTTCATGTTCTTGTTTTTTGTTTTAATCTTGCAAAAACCAAAACTCCAGACCTCAACTGCAATGTGCCCCCCCCCCCCGCCACACAATGCCGCTGTTTTGGGGAGGAGTTCAAATGGAGCTGCGTGCATCTGGCTCTTTACAGAAACTCTCTGCTGTAGCTTTAGGCTTCTAGTGATCTTGGACTAGATAAGGCCTTTTTGGTTTTGGCCACTTTGATAATTTCCTTGCTAAACCCCATCACAACCAAGTCATTCTCAATACTGTTTCCCCCCTCTTCGTTTATCTGGCTTGGTTTGGCTGCATAGATTTACCCTGTCTGTCTGGCCCATTGCTCTCCATTCCCCATTTCTCTCCTTTGGAAGACTTGATGTCTGTTCAGGCAGCCTGGCCAGGAAAGAGCATGTGTGCTTGTGAATGTACACACGCATGTACTCACATTCTTTGCCTGGAGGGGGTGAGGGGGTGCAGAGACCACATTTTTCTTTCCTTAATTAAATAATGGGCCAACTTGATGAGACTTCTATAAAACCGCAGGAAGGCAGAAGCAGATAGTTCGTTGCCGGCCGTGTTTTTTCCATAACTAACTTTGCCAGGTTATCACACAGGGCAGATACCTGAAATTCTAGTCCCGAAGGAATAGGTGCGTACATGTGTGGGAAAGAGGGTGGGGTGACTCATTTGCAGGAAAGAAAGGAGCATCAGGGGCAAACCTAGAAGGATAAGACATGACATTCCTGCTCTCTCTCTTCCCTCCCCTTTCCAAAACATGTAGAAGAATGAGTGGCGGCCATTCTAGACTGCAGCCTGGTATGCTATTCATGAAGCGCATCCCATCTGCCTGGTTCAACACACTGGTCCTCCTGGCTCCAGGGTTACCCAGATCAAAAGCTGAGATGGTGACCCACACCCCATCTGAACGTGTGGAAGCAGCCTGAGTGTCAGATGGTATTTCGACACCGGCTGCTCTTCGGAGCTGGCCGCCTGGCCGGCCCAGCATTCGCTGCCTGAAGCCCTGGTTCCCTCTGGGACTGGTGGTAAGGCTGGCCCTGCCCGCCTCTTCAGAAGCATGTGGGTGAACTGAACGGGCCTTTAACATTTTCAGCCTGCCTTGTGCAGTGCTGAGCAGCTATTTTCCAGGAACCCTTTGGCACCCTGCCCCGGTCCCCATGCTTTGACATCACAAAGCCAAAGTACCGTAGCTTCAAGAAACAGAGTTTCTCCCCCTGCTTAGTTCTGTCTGCGTTGCCTGTTCCTCTCTCTGTTGGCTCCCGTGTGTTAATTTGCAGGTGCCTTGTACACAGGTGGGCACTACAGAGGAACAACTTAATGATGGGAGCAGTTTGCCAGTTCAGGGGGCCCTCCTTCACTGGAGGTATTTGTGCAGAGACTGGACATTCAGAGCTTATCACTTTGGCTTTTCTTCTTTGAGCGCAGAATCTGATCCCTCCAGTCCTGTGTTTTTGAGGAAATATTTTCTATAAATGCCTCCTGAGAAACGCAACAGCTAGCCATCCTACTTACCCCAAGAAGCAAGAAGGCATACTTCCACAGGGCCTTCTTCCAACAATTCTCCTGGAAGGAAAGTCTGGAGCAGATCTGCAAATGTTTGCAGTCTTTTGGATCTCCAGATAGATTCAGAGCTGCAGAATTTCCATATTTGTAACTAGAGGCTCGTTTGAATGCACAGTGAATTGAGAAAGCCTATCTGTTGTTCCTCCTTCCTTCCTTTCAAAAGGCACTTAGTCACACACGCTAACCAAAAGGTTAAAGCCCTCTCTTCATGTTTATGAAGCTCTTTCTCAAACAGTCTGTGTTTAAACAAACAACTCTAAGTTAGATGTTCATCTTTGTTTTTGTTAATGCTGTTGTGCTTTGGGGAAAAGAAAAGGAACATTTCTATCAGATGCTTCTTAAACTTCTTTCATGTTAAACTGCTGGACTAAAAAGCCAATGTGTATTTCCCCTGGAGCTAGTGCTTAACCTTTCATGAATGATTTATTTGGATCTGCATGCAAAGTGTGGAGCCGTCGGGATCTGGTTCAGCAACTGGAATTTGCAGGGCTGTCTAGCATATGCTTTAAGAATCAATTGAAATCATGTGCCAGATTAATAAATGAGAGTGCCTTAAATTCTGCCAAAGAAACGGAGAAGAGCACTCATTGCAAAGTGCTTTCTGTGTGGAACTGCCCGAGTTATAAGACTGGCTTCGGAAGCTGGGGTCCCTGGTCTGTCCGCAGTCACGATCTGATGGGCAAATGCGGGAGACGGGCTTTCTGGTGGGGTGAGTGGCCGCAGAAGTCCAAAAAGCGATCCAAAACCCCCTGCGAGAGCCGTTTCCCCAGCAAGAACAGCCCAGTGAAGACTTGCGATGCTTGAAATGCTGGCTGACGGTTGGAGTGGGCACGCGATGGAGTATCCAGGCAGTCTGAAGATGCTTGGCAGTGCTTTCTGTATTATGGCCAACAGTTCCTGCCCCTCTCAAATGCCTCTAAGTAAGACTCTAGGGGGTATGCAAGCCCCTTTTCTGCTGCACTAGTTTCCTTTAGGGGCAAAATGTTTGGCCTGGGAGAATATTTAGAAGCAGGAACTCTGTCTATAGGCTAAGTGGCACAGTTAAGAATTATGCTGCAACATTCTGTATAATGGGTATATTGGCTCCAAGTCTGAAGGAGCATGACGGGAAACTGGGAGTGACCATGCCAGTGCATCCTTCTAAGAAGCGAGCCACGGCTGCTGCTTGGGTTTTTCAGAGGGGCAGCTGTTTGGATGGAGGGTGCTGGGGCAAAGACTGAGCTTTCCTCCAGCGTCTCGGCTGCTGGTAGCTCTCCACCCCAAAATAAGAGCTTTCTTTCCCTGTCGTGTCCTCCTCCTCCTGCTGTGCTGAAGCATCCTTCCGAATCAGCGAGGACTGGAAGCCTCCCTGATTTTTAAACATGGCTTCGGAACTCTGCGGTGAAAGCCCTGCTTTTCAGTCCCGGTTCTACAGCTCAGGGCTGGATACAGGATGACGTTGTCCTAAAGTGTGTGCTGCTGTGTAGCTTTCCATGCCTTGAGCAGGCCTTGCGTCTAGTCTCTTGAACGTGGGGCCAGCACATTCTTGTGGCCCTTCCCCGAATGCTTGTGTATCAGGTCGTTCGGCCACAGAATCACCAGCTTTTCTGTAGGCCTGGTGCTGCTGCCCCAGTTCCTCGATTCCGTGCCTGCAGCTTGCACTGCATTCTCAGCTCAGTTGGCACGAACCAGCTTGCTCACTCGGGTCTGGGTTCCCATTGCATTTACCCAGCCAGGCTTCTGTTTACTTCACTGCCCTGCTTTTTGAGGATGAGCTCAGCTGGCCCGTCCTTTCACATGGCGGAAGAGGATCCGGGCTTGACTAATGTCAAGGAATTGTCAGCATGCCTGCGAGCTGAGTGTGTGTGTCGGCACACTCGCAAGCTGCCCCGAGGGCTGGCATGAGCTCACCTTGTTCTCTGAACAGGTGAGGTGTTGACATCATGTCCCTTGATGCGTTGCTGACTAAACTTGTTTATCGATGATGCCTTTCCTTTCATCATCTTTATTTCTGTCTCTGTGATATGGATGCATCCGGAGCTGAGATCCTGGAAGGAATTCCCTCCAAAAGGACCTGTCCTTGAACGGTTGAATTGCGGGGAGGCGTATGTTTGTGGGTTGTGTGTTCCAGTGTGGGCATGCCTGTGTGAGAGACAAGCACAGGAAACTAGGCTACGATTTCAGTGATATCTGTGCATTATACGCATTTGTTGGGAAATGCGTATAATGGGAAAATGGAATCCAGCATTTGTTTCTCCATACAAACAAATACAATTATTTTTTTTGCTTTTTGTTTATATCCCACCTTTCTGTCACAGAATGGCATTCATAATAGCTAAGAATATGCTGTCTGTATTATGACTATTCTGAATAACAATATTTCTCAATCAGCTTTCTTAAAAACAAGCAGACAAAATGCCCTCAAGGGGATCTAAAAAGATTTCCTTCCCAGCTAGAATCCAGAGGGACTCCTCTCTCCAAATTTTTAATGGGGCTGAAAACCCACTTACTATGAGTTTCGTTTCTTTAAGGGTTCGTAGCGCTGTGGGTTTTGTTTTCGGTGGTTTTCATTCATTGGCAAGCTTGTGAATTGTGTTGGGCTGCTGTGGATTTTCAAGCTCAGTGGCGGTGGTGTGAAGTGTGGGGGTCCGTTTTACACACGCCGTTTTGTGAGGGCTTCGTCGTGAGAGTGGAGAGGGCAACTCGGGGCCCATCAGGCACCCAGGCCTTCCACCCTTGGCTAGCAGTGCTGGGAGTTACAGGCCAACATGCCCAGATGTAGTCCACCTGTAGTCTATTATTATTACATTACATTACGTTTTTTTTTATACTGCCCATAGCCAAAGCTCTCTAGGCAGTTGACAGCAATAATCATAGAATCATACACTCAAGTCACCCATCCCATTTCTACCCAGGCCTGACCCTGCTTAGCTTCCAAGATTAGGCAGGATCAGGCACTTCAGGCTACATAGGATGACCTGGAGTTATGGATAATAAATTAAGGGCACATCGCCAGTGAGAGAGGACTTGGTAAGGGCTGGAAGAGGTGATCTGATATCAGAGCATGTGGAACTTCCCCCCGGGCGGCTTTTCCTCGAATGCGGTGAAAACGGGCACTTGCAGGCTGCTTGTTAAAGGTTTATGGTGTGTGCAAGCGAGAGATTTGGATTTTCCACGCCAGACAGGAACAGAATGCCTCGTGCCGGGAAGGTGCGCATGGGTGTGCCGCTGCTTTTGTTTGCACGCTGGGCCTTGCTGCGCGGCAGGCGGTGTGCATGCACACGCCCCGTGATGACTTTGAGGCATCTGGAAATTGGCGCCTGGTCACGTCTCTGCGCTTGTGCCAAGGCTGGCCGGATTCGCTTGCCTCAGGGCTGCTTCTTTTGAAATCTGGTGGCCCGAGCTCTTGGCACACGCTGCTCACGAGTTTGGATTCTCCACCAATTAAAGAATTTGTTGTTAATTAATCAGCTCCATCGGGACTTTGGCATTAAAGCGTTGATGTCAAGAGCCAATGTGGTGAGGTGAATGGAGTGGTTGAGTTAGGACTGGGTTCAAATTCTCCCTGGGCTGATCAGACAACCTTGGGCCAGTTGCCTAGCCCACACTGCAGGGCTGTTGTGAAGATAAAATAGGGAGCTGGAGAAGCCTGGCTCACTGCCCTGATCTTAAGAGTGTCACATGGGAGTCACAGTTGCACAGCGACCTCCGTGCAAGTAGCACATTTGGACGTGTGTGTCAACACACCAGTGTTGGCAGGCCCGGCTGGTAGCATTTTTCTGCTCTGTCATAATCATAGAACATGCTCCGCATGTAGTTTGTGCAAGAAGGGGGCATGATCTTTCTGGGTTCTGTTTATCTAGCTTGGGAGCATCACTTCCAAATGAATACGGACCCCACAGAGAGTCTCATCTTTATTAGCCCAGCTCAAAGATCACAAAAGGCACACAAGCTTTCAAGATCACAGAACTCTTCATCTGGCAAAATGTTTCCAAAACAGGTTGGCCAGAATGGTAGAGGGAGCATCTGGCAGGTGGCCTGTATAGCCAGAGTGTTGGACCGGGATGCAAGAGGTCCGGGTTCTAGTCCACCCTCAGCCATGAAGCTCACGGGGAGCTTGGGGCCTATCTCTGACTTCCAGCCTAACCTACCCCACAGGGTTGTTGTGAAGATAAAATGGGAAGGAGGAAGATTGTGTGAGCTGCCCAGGGTTTCCTGTAGGGAGAAAAGATGTGATATGAATAGAAGGAATAAATACAATAATCAGTCTTAAGGCAGGACAGGAGATGGAGGGTGTGTGGGCATTAAAATTGCGCTCTGCCAGATAATGTGATTTTGTTTAAGCTTCAGTGCTGCTGGGACCCTGGGAAGCGAGAAGTGCCAGCCTGTCACCGAGCCTCCTGTCTTGAGATGAACTAAATAAATGTAGGATCCAAGGATTTGTTTGGTCCCATGATGAGGGGACGATGCTGGATAGAAGCAGGACCACACGAGGCTCACTTACTCTCTTGGGGTCAAAGCAGCCATTACGTTACAGAAGGATCTTTTTCAGTTTTACTCTTGTGTAAGCAGAGAGGCCCTGATCCGCGGCTGAAAAGCCTCCCTGTGCCTCATGTTAGGGTCTGGATTCAGATCCCTGAACCTGCTCTGAAAAGCTCAGTTGGACAGAAAGAAATATGGAACTGTGGGTGGGTATTGGAGCAGGTCCGGCAAGAGCCAATCGCTGCTCAGCCATAGAACGCACCTGCGCAGGTAATCCTCTTTCAGCCCAAGTTCTGGGAAGACTTGCTGTGAACATATGGAATGGGCTTCCGTGGGAGGTGCTTGAAGCCCCATCGGTGAGGGTGTCCAAGGATAGGCTGGACATGCACATGGTAGACATGTCATGAGCAGAGCCAGGGGTCAGACTAGATGGCCTGGGAGACGCCTTCTGACTCACCAAGAATTGTGGCTCCTGCCTTGCAGGAAGGAGTCGGAGCGGCAACAACTGCAGGGCCCAGTTGTTGCCCACATGCGATATTTTCTGTGCCGTTGCACTGACATTTCAGAACTATGCTCCCTCCCCTCCCCGTTTTTGGAGAATGGTTATAGCATTTTGTGGTCAATTAAATCATGGGTTGCCCATTGCCTCGAACCACTGTAAACCATCCATTCAGACTATCAGTGGCCTCCCTCTCACCTTGGGGAAGAGAGCATCAAAATGCTTAGCCTAAATCATTGCATCCCTGCTGATCTTTACTGGCCCTGGCACAACATACCTAAGTCGCCGCGCTGGATTATGACAAATGTTAGTGATGTTCATGGCACACTGATTCCCGTCCACCTGTCACGTGGCCGGTTTCACAGCAGTTCCCCTTCCTTCTCCCCAGATATGAGGACGCTCAGTGAAGACACGATCCGCCTCTTTCTCCAGCAAATTGCTGGGGCCATGAAGGTGCTGCACAGCAAAGGGATCATTCACCGGGACCTGAAGCCTCAGAATATCCTCCTCTCCTTCCCGGGAGGCAAGAAATCGAACCCCAGCAACATCCGCATCAAGATTGGTAAGCACTGGCGCTTGTCCATCCATGTCAAGGTGACGCATCTTCCCCCTCCAGGCATGTTTTCTGGATGAATTTCAGCTGAATTTCTCCAAGGCTAAAAGCCGTAATGCTGGTGCTTTTTGTTCCAGAGGGCCTGAAGGGAGTGAGCCAGTATGGCCAGTCCTATCTTGCCTCTTTGCCTTCATACATTGCCCCTTCTTGCCTCCCTTCTGGATGCCCCACAGTTAAGCCAAGGCATCTTTACTTAAACAGTTTCTAGTAATGAGCAATGATTACTGGGCTTGGATAAGCCCAGAATCTTACTACAGGTCCTGGCTTGTGGCAGACCTGCCGACTGTGGTTTCCTGGTTCAGATGTAACAAGGAGTTTAGTTGGTTAAACCAGGAAGTCTTCATTCCTAGAGCGGGGAAACATTGGAAGGGAAAGGTTATGTGCGTATGGAGCCAAGCCTGCCCTTGCCTTGGCTTATTAAGCCAAGATATAATGGCCTGAAGTGCGTAATAGCTTGCTCTGCATTAAGCAATGTTACCTAAATCTGAATTGCTTCCAGAAAGAAAGAAAGAGGACACTTCAGTCAGAAGCCTGCGAATTAAAATGGTTTCCAATGTTTAATCAACTGAAAACTTGAATTGCCTGTTTTCTAGGTGGATCTTGCTAACTTAAGACTTGGGTGGTCTATTTATTGATTTTACTTATTTTTCTGGAAACCTCAGGATCCACCAATGTAGTGTTCGCTTTCCATGCTTGTTTTAAAGCAGGAGTACAGCACAGTTAGTTTGTCGAGTGGTTCTGAATAGGCAGGAATTTTCTTTAGGATAATAAGAAAAGACCCAAGTCCATCCAGCCCACAATTCTTTGAAAGGATTCCAGGTACCAGCAGCCAGTGGCTGGTGTAAAGAACTCTTCTGGCCCAGACCACAACGAAAGCAAAACACACTCATTAATAGGATCCTGACTTCTGAACAGGTGCTTAATGCATGGCTTAATCAATTTTGTCCAATAAGTAGGAAGGTCCAGGTAGGTGAGATGAGGAGGCTTAGGTCTTTTCTGATGGAAAACAATTTTGCAGTGTTGTTTTTCTTCTCCTCCATATGAAAATAAGAGGATGAGAGGTCCAGCATCCTGTTTCTTGCAATGGCCACCAAGAAGCCCATGAGAAACCTAAAGGCAGGGCCGGAGTACAGATGCTAGATGGAATATATAACTAATTGCCACTGATCGTGGCTCATCCAGTCATATACTCCATCTGGAACTCCCCAGGGAAGGCTGTTTGCTGCCCAGGCGTGTCGGCCTTCCATGCGTTAGGAAGAACGTTTGAGAATGAAGGGGCCAGACGGGGAAGCCTTTGGAAACACCTGGGCTGAAATAGGATTGCAGCTTCATTTTAAACAGGGGTGGAGAACCCATGACCCTCTGGATGGTAGGTTCTGATTCCCATCAGCCCCAGCTAGAATGGCCACTAGTTCAGGAGGTGGGGATTTGAGTCCAGCCTCTGTAAGACCTGTGGGTTCTCTCCCACCCCTGTCCTGAAGCACAGCCTAACTGCAGGCCTTGTGTGCAATCCCGAATCCCGCCTTGGCTCGGGAGCAAGTCCCAGGAGCATCAGTGGGGCTTATTGATATTATTATTATTATTATTATTATTATTATTATTATTATTATTATAACATTTCTATGCCGCCCCTTGCCGAAACCTCGGGGCGGCTTACAACATGATAAAATACATTGAAATACAATAGTACATAATAAATTACCATTAAATAAAAAATACAAAAAATACATTGATTTACAAATATAAAATTAAAATTATCAGTATAAAATAAGTAAATAAAAATATAGGAGGAGAAAGAGAAGGAAGAAGAAGTTGCCCTGGCCAGATCATATGTTTTAACAATTAAAATGATGTTTAAATAAAAAGGTCTTTACCTGGCGCCGAAAAACCACTGCTGCGTTGCGTTGCTTATTAGTACTCTCTAGTCCCTGTGTTCAGGCTGGGAATCTCCAGGGCTGCCACGCACAATTGTCTCCTTGGCTTTGATCCCCGGGTGCTGTTCTGAAGTGTGTAGGTTGTCAAACAGCGACAACAGTGTGTGTGTGAGACCCTTTTGTAAACCCTCGATCTTACTCTCTGCTCCCTTCTGCTTTGGTTTTCGGTTCCGTGCGCAGCCGATTTTGGATTTGCCCGGTACCTGCAGAGCAACATGATGGCAGCGACGCTCTGCGGCTCCCCCATGTACATGGTAAGTGGCTCCAGAGTCTTTGTGTATTGTGTGTTGTTTTCCCCCACCCCATGGCCCGCTTTTGCACTGTCGGATCGCCTCTGCTGCTGGTCCTGGTGTTACATGCATAGGAAAATTAAGAAGTCATTCTGTTGACTCTCCGGAGGTGTGGGGAGGGGAGAGGAAAGGAAAGAGTAGATTCCTGTGTCACAACGACCCTGCTAGGAGTCGCTGCAAATGTCTTTGCGCTGTTCTGATTATCTCCACCTTGGGTGGCGGAGTTAAGGAAGGGAGGCCACCGGGAGCTGCGTTACAGCAAGTACAACCTCCGTTCGGTCTGCGGAAGGCACCGCTCTCACTCTCCTCGCTCCCCTCCCATTTTCACAGCAAAAGTGTCCATTGCAAAAACGTGCCTGCTGGGTGTGCGGTGGGGTGGATCGCAGAGGATGCCTCTTCTGCACAATTGTCCTGGGAAGGGATGTGGTGGTGTGCAGAACCCCTGCTAACTTGGCCGTTGCTGTTGTGATGTACACACAAGGTTGGGTTTGTTGCTTCAGCCTGTTGTGACTCCGGCTGTTGATAACACACAAGCTAGAGCGGATTCTCACTCCAGGCTAAGTTTAGCCTGAAGGCTCAGCTCTGAAATGACGAATTGGGTGAAGACTGTGTTTATTTACCTGGTAAATAATATGCTAGTCTCCCATCAAAGCGCCAGGGTGCTTTTTCACCCCAGTGACTTGGATGCATCATGAGCCTTTTGGACAATGCTTTGGACCTGTCTGCGGAAGTTTGTCGCTAAGCCTGAGACCTTGCCTCCTTCCTGATTACCTTTGCAGACACCAGAGGCAAGGTCCCAGTCGCTTGGATGGTGTCAGAAACACGTCATTGCTCCATGAACTGGTCTGAGCCTTATCCGTGTCCTAGATCAAGCTCTGTATGTCGGTGTCGGGTGCTTGAATGTGGCAGGCTCTGGGGACAAGTAACGGAGCAGCTTGCCAACTTTATGGCTGATTTTGTGAGCCTGTGGCAGGTTGACACTAGACACAGGAAATCAGTGTTCTTTCCTGATATAGCCGCCTGCATTATCTGCAGTTCTTGTGTAGTCAAAACAGCACCAGCTGTGTGTACAGGAGGGAGATAGGAGCAGGGCTGTAGGAAGCCCAAACACTGGGGAAGTCCTGGAGTAGAGCTTGCTAGAAATCTGTTGGTGGTTGTGGAGGATGGTGCTGGAAACACACAAAACTGCCCAGTGGCCATGGCATAGACTGCTAAGGGGAGGGGCATGTGATGGAGTACCTTGGAAGGGGGCATGGCTGGCTGGGAATCTGAGCAGAAGCTTTTCACATTGCATCTCGCTGCGAGTCCCCCTCTTTCTCCAAAAGCCTACAAAGCTTTGGGGAGCAGAATGAAATAGGAGAGGCAGGGGATTAATAGATACAATGCAGGCTATTTTGCTCTGCCAGTCCCTTGATTTTCATTTTAAATCATAGCAGCCCCTGGAACCGTTCTTGCTTTAGTCTTCCCAGGCAAGCAGAACCCTGACAGAAGATGTGGCTTTCCCGTTCTTCACTGACGTTGCACTTTTCCGAGATAAAATGTGTGTGGACCTTCTGGGCAAACCTCAATGTTAGCTTCTCCTCCTCTGGACCGTAAAAACAGCCCTCTAAGTGAAGGAACAATGCTCTCCTTTTGGTTGTGGGTTGCTTTTGTTTTACTTGAAAGGAATTAGTAGATTATTGCCACCTCTGCTTTCCATTTTCAGCTGGATTTTTTTTCCTGGTAGGGAAGGAAGGCGTGGGGGAGAGAGAAAACATGCCTTTTTTACTGTAGCAAAGTATCCGGGAGATAACAAACTCCAGTTTTATCTCCTGGCATTTAATATATAACCCAGTTCTGCATTAGGAATGCGTCCTCTTTAGTGGATGGAGAGATAATAAAAGGATGAAGCCATTTCCTCATTGTCCTGAGACTCGCTGCTTATGATGGAGAAGACGGTAAATTAGTTGCGTTCTCCCCCTTGGAAAGCCTGGAACCTGCATTAGCCCCTGTTCACACAAGAGCGAGTGGCCAACCTGGGCTTAACCTCTACCCCCAGCTTCCCATCGCCTGTGGCCCAGTTTATACTTGCACGTTGGATGACCGCAACCTCAAGTCACATCTTGCATGTATGAATGGCCGCCTGTAGCTAGAATCTCCCTACAACAGCCTCCCTCGCCCTGTTTTGGATGCAGTGATCTGTGTTGGGGACGATCAACCCAGGTGAGGACTGGAGTAGAGGGTTAGGGGGAGCCCTTGGGCCCAAGCAGCAGCCTTGGTGGCCCAACTCTGGTTGGGCCAGGACATCTTCTCCAGCCAGTCCTTGGTGGCTCAGTCCAGGCACTGAGCTGTGCCTCTCTGAGCCATTCAATGCAGAGAGATGAAGTAACCCACGCCTGAGAAAATCGGGGTTCTGCTTTTGCACCACTCCTATTTGCAGTGAAAGTTTCTTCCCACATGAAGGACGGGTTTGTGTCCACAGAATGAAACCCTTGTTCCCCCTCTTTAGCATTTATGCATGTTGGTGCTATGAGGACCCCGGGCTGGAGTGGTGTGCGCGCATTTGCATAGGTAGATTCTTGTCCTGGTAAGAGGTGCGGCCTTGGAAGCAGCAACGGTGTTTAAGTGTTCCGTTGCCTTGCTTCATTTTAAAAAGATAGCCTTGAATGGCATTTCTTTGTCTGCTTCGCTCTCCCTCCTCTGTTCGGAGCGGCTTTGCAGCCAGGCGCTTTGTTGCATTGGTGTCGTTTGCTGAGATTGCAGAGGACCAGGCTGGGATGCTGCGATTGCTTGTTGTGGAAAGTCAGCCAACGTGAAACTTTGTGTCCAGAGAAACTCAAGAATGACGACCAAGGGAGTTCTTGAAAACAGTCCTGGTGTCTTTTCTTAAACCGACTGTGCAGGCCGATCTTGCTGAAGCCATAGCAGCCCCCAGTACGCTTTGTGTCCTCCTTCTCCTCATGTGTCAATGAACACTTAAATTCTCCCCGTTTGCTAAAAAGCCACCGACAATTTTAAGCACTAAAACTATAACACAATAAAAGGGGCATTTATTTCTTTAGAAAATTTCTGTGCTGCCCCATTCGCCGAAGCCTCGGGGCGGCTCACAAACATTTAAAGCACAAAAACGTTAAAGCTGGGTCATTTGAAGGGTTAGATTAAAAATAATTCTTTGCACCCTTGCTAAAAGCTAGGAAAGTGTGGGGGTTGTTAGAAGAGCACATTCTCTTCTAAGAGAGAGAATGACGGGGAGGCCATCCCTAAGAGAGCCATTTCTGCGGATCTTAATAGTGAGACGGGGTTCCTTAGATACCCAGGTTCTTATTTGGTGCTTTCCTGCTTATAAACAACTTCTCTGACTTGGGTCTGGAGAGCCATACGCAGCCAGTGCTGGTCTTTCAACTTACAATGCTGTTTTGGGTGCTGGTTGGGGGCCCAGCTCCCACATTTTGCACCGACTGAAGCTTCTGGATGTTCTTCAAGGGTGGCCCCATGGAGACTGCATTGCGGCAGTCTAGGCGTGGCATGAGCAAGACATGAACAACCGTTGTGTGGTCAGACCAGCTCAGGAAGGGTTGCAGCCGAAGATCCAGGGACAGAGTAAGATCAGGGCCCATCCTCGGCCAGTTCCAGAATGGGTGGGATCCTGGTCACCACTTCAGGCTTTGCCCCACCGATGCTCATTAGGAACCCGTGACTCCATGGCAGAGCCTCTGTTTTGCATGGAGAGGGTCTTGGGTTTAGCTGCAGTATCAAAACTTTCTGTGGGGAGAATCAGCCACAGGTGATGGGGAAGAGCCCTGTCTGGAATGTCCTGGAGAAGCATTTCCAGCCAGAAGAGCCAGTTCTGGATTAGATGACCAGAACAGGCTGACCGTGTGAAAAGGGTCACCTGGTGTCTCTATGGGCTGCTTAACTGTCTTTATAGTGGAGAGGCTGGCCGGAACATCCTGTTCTGGTCAGCCTGCAGCAGGTTTTTTCCACCCAGGCCTTCTAGCTTCAGGTGAATCCATTGCACATCGAAGTATTCCACTGAGAGCCCCCTGGGCATCTGCCAGAGGCCCCCAAGGGGGAGGCTGGCGTCTGTTCCAGGCCCTGCCGGCAGTTCAGAGAGGTCATCGGCCAGCCTGCTGAGCTTTCACGTTGCTCTCTGCCCCGATGGAGACCTCTCACCTGCTCTTGTGTGAAGTGTGTTGGTGGGACCAGGGCTGTGTAGGTTAGCAAAGGGGGCATGTAGGTTTGGGTCCTGCAAGAGGCAGCGTGGAGGGTGCCCAGAGTGCCAGGCTAGGGCTGGGGTTCTTCATGTCCTGCACAGCCCTTAAACCCCCTGGGTGATCCCGGACCTCTCGTTTCTCTCCGTCTGCCTTCCTCACAGGAGTGTTGTAGGGATAAATGGGGACGGTGGCTCTGGAGTGAAGTAGGAACAAGAATCCCCTCTTCCCACTGGGACCCACTTTCCCTGTGATCAGGGCAGACCCAGGTTTGAACAACAGGTCTCTCGCCTACCTGTAGCAGGTTGGCTGGCTGGCTGGATGATGCATTAATTAGTCTGAGAGTGATTAATTTTGTCCTGCTGTTTTTCCTCTTAACCGAAGTGGCTCACATCATCCTCTTCCTTCCCATTGCATCCCCATAGCAACCCTTTAAGCTAGGTTAAGCTGAGAGCCCAAGGCCACCCCATGAGTGGGGATTAGAACTCAGCTCCTTTATGGTCCCGGACAACAACGTATCCGCTGCATCACACCGGCTCTCAGTGTTCCTGTTTTGAAGGACGGGGTGCTCACCAGGCTGTCATGAGCCTCTTCATACATTTTCTTTATGTATTAGATTTATAGCCCACCTTTCCCATTTTTAAAGAACAAGTGATTTGCACCATTCGCCTGATGCTCTCCAGTCTTGACCCCACAACAACAGCCCTGTGAGGTAGGCTGGACCGAGAGTCTGTGACTGGCCCAAAACCACCCAGTTGGCTCCATGGCTGAGCGGGGACTCGAACCCAGATCACCTGAGTCTCAGACCCACAACTGGCTCTCGTTGCATGCCCCGAAGCCTCTGGTATACTTGACTTTAATAGAGTGAAGGATGATATTGTCTGTTCTAACGGACAGCTTTTGGTTGTCTGGATAGCAGTCGGAGAGCAGTTGCTGGATAGCACTTCAGTGTCCATGCATTCTTCTTGGTTTAAGCACGGTGTTTATATTAGCCTCCAAAGTTTGTTTTATTCTGGTGACTCATTTATGGGAATGCAATAGAGATGTTTATTTACATAAAAGTATAGCTATGCAAATAGGGCTTTGCTTCTCTTAGCAGATCAAGTGGCAGGGTGTGGATTGATGTGTGTGTTTTATATCTCATTGAAATAAAAGCACGTTTTAATTAACCAGAGTAGACTTGTGAAGCCATAGTCTCTATGCCTGCATTGTGGTGTTCTAAGCTGGGAACAACATCAGTAATCTCTTTTATGGAATCTTGGGCAGTATTTTTTTAAAAAAATGAAGACTAAGAGGGTGAAGGATCTTTGGTTTATTTCACAGTTGTTAAAGGGGAAAAATCCAGATGTGGAGGCCTTAAAACACGGTGTTCTCTTCCCTCCATGCTGTAGGCCCCAGAAGTTATTATGTCCCAACATTACGATGCCAAAGCTGACCTGTGGAGTATAGGCACCATCATCTACCAGTGTCTGACGGGAAAAGCACCCTTCCAGGTGAGTTACAGAGCGGGTAGTGACACCTGTGCATTTCTCGTATGGCTCCTGAACTGTCCGGCTTCCTCTCCTCCAGGATTTCCTCCACTAAATGAATTTGATGCAATGTTCCTTTTGAGTGGCATCCATGCAAGGTCCAGCTTTGTCCCCCAAGAAGAAAGGACCCTGGAAGCATTGCCATGCTTAATGATGAAACTCTTTTTTTGTGATCATAAAGACACATTAATGCAGGACATATCTGGGTTTTTTTACAGAGCCGATTCTTTCTTTATATATAATATGCTGACCCTTAGTCCTCTTTATTGACCATCACCTGGTTTTAACAGTTAAATGCTGCCCCTGCCTGCCCTGACAGCTTTTTGAGAATTGTGGGTTAAACAACCCACAGTTAACCCAGGAATAATTGTAGGCTGACTGTTTGTTCAACACACTGTAGCAAATCTTGAACCAGCTAACCCATGACCTGCTGCCATTACGTACAAAGGAGTTGGAGGTAAAGAGGACAAGAAATACAGTTCCAAATGACCTCCCTGCACCAAAACACAAAACTATTGAGGTTTGGAAAAAGGCCCTTCTCTGGTAGCTGCCCACCTGATACCTCAAAAAGTACCTTTGGTTACTCCTTTGCAAATAGGCAGGTTCATGCAGGAGGAGGCAGTCCCTCGGGGTACCTCACCTGGGCCTTTGACGGCTTTATAGGTCAGCATCAGTGGTTGAACTGTGTTTGGAAACTAACTGGAAGCAGTAAATCTCTCTCTTGAAGCAGTTGCGTAATACGTTTGATACTGCGAGGTCTAGGTCACAGTTTGGTCACCGTGCAACTGAAGTATATTGCTGGTTTCTGAAGTAGAACTTGTTGTTGTAGCTCAGCTCTTAATCTTTGGGCTGACTGTCCGTAGCTGGCATGAGCAGTTACGAGTACTTTCGCCCACTGGACATGGGATGAAGTTGTGGAGCGGTGTTGTACATCCGGCTTTCAGAAATTCAGTCTTCCGAGGACCCAAAAATGCAATCGGCTACTTGTTTTGAAGTGGCAAATTCAATGTCATGGAGCGTTGCTGTACTTCTCTGTAGTCTGCAGTGAAGCAGGCTTCTGAAAGCAGGTTGAGCCTTGGCGATCTTTGGAAAAAGTGGAAGGTCTTGCTTTTTTCCTGAGCATTTCTGAGACACGCCCAAGCAGGGTTCTCTTCCACCCCCTGTCTTTTCCCAGCTCAGACAGCATCCTCTCCCCTCCCCAAATCATTCTGGGTCTTGAATGCGATGTGAACATGTGCCTTTGCCCCATCCTCTGCTGGGTGGGGGGGATAATGTAGGTAGATCAAGCATGCATCTTTTGTGCAAGGAAAACTAAGCTTGGAAGCCCCCCAGAGCCGGCAGGCTTAGCAGTCGACCAGTGGAAACAACTGTCTGTGGAAAAAGCAGCTCTGCCCAAAGAAAATGTGGTTATGATGGATAAAAGCGATTTGCAAGCTGGGAAGAAGTCAGAGTGCAGTTTAAATGCAGAGTGCATTTTAAAAAGCAGTAAAATGTAAGGGGGCCTCACTCGCTTGAAGGATTTCCACGCTCAGTTTTCCACACTGCTCTTTGTTGCGGGCTGAGTTTGGTTAGTGGTTGTGAATGAGATTCAAGCCTCCCAGTCTTTCCATGAGTTCTTAATGCCAGGTTTTATAAGGGCCACCCAGGGTGGATCCTTTAAAATATTGGAGCTTTAATACTCAAGTCTCTCTCTCTGTCACTGTCCCTCTCTTTCTCTCAAAATCCCTCTTTCCTGTGGATTGCTCGTTATAGTCTGGACATGAGAAAGGTCATCTGTAAGAGTATTTCTTTTCTTTTTTTCTTTTTGGTGGCAAGGAAGAAAAATAATTTTGTGCAGGAGGTTCCATAAATGCTTTTGTTAATTAAATAGTAAAACAAGGCACAGGGCCTGGAGTATTTCTTGCAGATAGCAGAAGTTCTTCAGATGTCTTCCCCTAAACAAATATTTTTAAAAGAACCAGTCCAGTGAGTTTTATGCAAGTTCAGAAGGCATTTAAACCCCTTGGTCTACCAGCCTTCCAATGCCGGAATGGTATTTTGAATTTTGGTTGCAATTTTGCGACTGATGAGGGGGGAGTCTGGAACCTTCGCATCCAATAATCAAGGAGAACTGGTTTGCTTGTGACCCGTTCTCCATGTTTCCACAGCTGCCAGGTCTGCCTTGCCTGTAAAGTCAAACATAGCCCATATGGACTAGTGAACTCCAAGAAAGCAGGTCAGGTGTCTTGGTGTTACCTGTTAATAGGTGGCAATACCTGGGCAGCCCACAGGTCAGCTGTCTTCCCCTCTACGGAGAAATGCAGTGTAGTTCTACCTAAACTCTAGCGGCACTTTCTAAGCTCGCAGCTAGATCTGTCGATTAGCACATTCAACGTGTATGCAAATCTTGCTTGCTTCCTTTGGTGATGAATTAGTGACTCCCTTAATCCTCAGAGAAAATACACTCATGTGGCTCACACAAGTTGCAATCATTTCAAGCCCCATTATTTTCAATGGGTCTGTTCTTGGTCCAAGCCTAGAGGAACCCTGGGTCTTTGGAGGTCTCCCCTTCCTTATGCGGGTGACTTGCCTCTCTTAGGTAACACCTGAACCCAGGGCTTCCTGGCTTTCTGGCGTTTAGGGCCCAAACAGACATTACTTTCCATCTGTATCTGGCAGGGAGGGATGTGTTTGCCCTTTTACTCTAGGGCAAGTACAGCATCCTCAGGGTAGACTGCTCCCAACGCCAAGGGAAGAGAGGAAAGGTTCAAAGCCCCATTAAGGTCTTGATCCAGATCGGGCCTCTTGTGTGTACTCCAAAGCCCAAATATAGCTGCTAGGTGCAGACTGAAAGGAGCTTTGTATGCCAAGTCCTTTGAGCAGTTAGAAAACCCCTAGAGGATCACTCTTTTGCTCTTGTGGTCTCATGTTTAATGAATCCTTAGGCTGAATCTTCATCATTGGTGATCCACCAATGATGGATCACCAGTTATTTTTTAAACTCGTAACTTGCCCTCTTCCGTCCTTGGGCTGGCCTTCTTTGGCCAAGGGTGTTTGCAGTCGCTGGAAACCCTGGGTTGTTAGTCAGTCTCTTCCTAATGGGGGCAGAATGCGGACGTGATCAAACAGACTTGGGTGGTAGGGAATGACGACCAAGGTGCAGAGTTAGGCAGTTCTGAGTTCCACGAAAACAAAGAAGCCCCAGAACAAAACAGGGAGCCGAAACCGTGAAATGCTATAACAAAAGAAAAGCAAAAATATGCAAAGGGCATAAGCTTTGCGTGTCTCTGAGTTGGCTAAGTTTGCATAATACTTCAACTGTACAAACATTCCACAGTTGTATTTATTCTGAATTATGTGCAAAGAACATATCTACGAAATTAAAACAGAGTCACCATAAACAGGAACATATTCCTCTTAAACCGATCTAATCTCCATTACTTTGCAGTTGATCATTCAAAAAAATATACAATGCAAGGTTAATTTTTTAGAATATATTTGAGTTCCCGGTAACGACAACTTAATAAAATACTGTTGCAATATGCACTTGAAAAACCAAGTTAAACAGTAGCCTTGGCTAGAACAAAATAACCTGATCACAGGGAGCGCTAATAACCAAAGCAGATTGCCCTGCCTTAGCTGAGACACAGGAAATGGTAATGACCAGAAGATAAATAGAAATGGTAGCTATTTCTTTAATTCAGTTATCTGGTGTGTCTGTCCTGGAGCTTTCTTCTTCCTCTTCCTCTTCCTCTTCCTCTTCTTCTTCTTCTTCTTCAGTTCAGCCATTCTGCCATGTTAGACATTCATTCTTTTCTTTGCCGAAATGGAGAAGTTTCTGGATATCTCAAATAGTTTAATTAGCCACTCTCTAATAGGAGCCGTAGGGACTGCAGGTGGCACAGTGGTTTAAACCACTGTGCTGCTGGGCTGGTTGATCGAAAGGTCGCCGGTTCGAATCTGCACAGCGGGGTGAGTGCCCATTGCTCCGTCCCAGCTCCTGCCAGCCTTGCAGTTCGAAAGCATGCAAATGCAAGGAGATAAAAAGGTGCCACTTCGGTGGGCAGGTAACAGCGTTCCGTGCACTTCGGTGTTTAGTCATGCCGGCCACATGAGCACGGAGACCGTCTGCGGACAAACGCTGGCTCCCTCGGCCAGGAAACGGCGATGAGCAATGCCCCGAGAGTCAAGCATGGCTGGACTTCATGTCAAGGAGAAACCTTTACCTTTAATAGGAGCCATAATGGACTTTCCTGAGCTGGGCCAGAATGATCTTGGCTGCCAATACAAGGCTTTGAAACAAATCTATCAGCATACTGAAAAGGGTTAAAAACAGCCTCTCAGTTCAGTGATGGGACCCTTCTGCTTTCTGGAGAGCAAACAGCGGCAGGGGAAGATTAGTATTTTTATGCCAGAGATGGGCAATTGCTTTTCTCTCGAGGGCTGGAGACTGGCAGCAGCTGCATTCTCATCACTGGTGGTTAGACGGGTCATCCCTTTGTCTCCTCTGCACCTTTTTAATCTCTCTGCCTCTCCACTGTCCCTGTTCCTCCTCTTTCCATGCAGTAGGCTGCCAAGAAAGGGATAGGCTTGGCGGGGGTCTCGCTGGGTGGCATGCAGGGGACTTTTGAAATGAACCAGGGATCTTTTGAAGTTCACCCAAAGGCACATGGGCCGCTAACCCTAAAACTGCATTGGTCCATCCAGGTGTCTCTGGAAGCATCTTCTTGGCTGCTCTCTCCCTGCTTTCCCGGAGAGTCCTTTTGCACTGCAGAGATGGCTCTCCTTGCACACGTAATGTCTAAGGAGAGGTTCTGTGAAAGCTGCACCCAAGCTTTTTCTTTTTACCTTAATGATCCACCTGGAAAGTCGTTTGGCTGTTGCTGCTCCCCCAGCACGCACACCCTGCCTCAGCCTCTCCCTCGTATGGAATAGGGAGGAGCCCTCAGTGCCTTTGATCTGACTCCAGTTCCCATTTGCCTTGTGCTTTGAATCTGGGTGAAGATCCAGGAGGCCAATCCTCCAGGCTGTGTGGCCTCTTCAAAAAATATTGCAAGGGTATGTCCAGCTTTTTGAAAGCTGGAGGAGCAGATCACAGCTCTACTCCTCGGGGCCACATCAAAGCCACTGGACGATTCTTTGAGCTGCGAGTTGCTGGGTTGTCTCTTGTAGAACTGTGCCTGGAAGACCTAATTTTAAAGTGACTGGAATCCATGTGCATCGGCTTCTTTTTTCTGCTGCCCCGTCGGCATGGCTGAATCAGCTGTGATCTTAAGAGCATAGCTGGCTGTGAAACAGACTATTTCACTCCTCATAGCTGAATAAATTACCTTGCTATTTTGTTTGCAACAGTTGGGTGAAGTATCTTTCTATTTGCAGAAGCGATTAGAGGAAAGAGTTGTTATGTGGCACCATTTCCTGGCTTTCATTCTGAAATGTATTCGATTATAAGGGTGCAGCCCAATGCGACTTTAGGCAGCATAAAGGCCAGCAACTCCGATATTTTACTTGGGGCATCCCGGGAATTAAGCTTGCACCAAAAGATCCTTTAGAGGTCATCTAGTCCAACCCCCATTCAGTGCAGGAACCATCTCAGGCCTTGGTTATCTTTCACTTTCGCAGCTCCCACCCTGCCTTTCTTCAATCACCGCAAGTCGACTTCTGCCTGCTCACTTTAAGGAGCTTTCCTGTGTGTTAGCGGGGCCTCCAAATTAAAACAATGGATGGCAAAGAAGGATGAGATCAATGCTATGGGTAATCCCGGTAAACAGATTGAATGCTGGCTCTTGCATTGTTTGAGTCCTGCCCTCAACGTAGCTTTTCAGGATGTCAAAGAACTCCCTGGTCCTAATTGATATTTGTTTGTTTGTGTCGTACCCACAGACACCCCTCTCGTCTCTTGCTTTAGGACATTTTCTTGGCTGGACTAGTAAATACTCGAGCAAGCTGGGGTGAGGAAGCGTTCGAAGTGCTGGGGGGTAAAGATAGAAAGAGCGGTGGGTGGCGGCAGGACGTGTTAAGAGACCCCTTATACTTGCACTCATTCCGAGGTTTATGACACGTATCGCTCTCCTTTCTTCCCGGGATTCCCAGGAAATGGACAGGGCAGGGTCTCCTTTTTCCCTTGCCACATAGGGCCGCGCTTTCCGAGTTGGACGAGCCTGGGCCAGAGCAAGGGCTCTGGATTCGCCCAGAGCTGTTTATCAAATGTCACGGCTGACCGGAAAGGCAAGTGCCAGGTGTTCTCTAGGAAGGTTCTTCTCCAGGGGCAGGACTGGGCAAACTCATGGATGAGAAGACCACCAGGCCCCACGTGCCTTGCTGGGGTTAGCGTCCCTCCAGTGTAAGAGGCGGTCTACCTGTGTGCACCAGTTTCGGGGAGGCTTATGCCCTCGTGGCCTGCTTTTTTCTCACTCGGGCAGCTGGTTGGCCACAGTGTGGACAGAGCGCTGGACTAGAAGAAATCCTGGTTACTTTTCCATGGCTTTGCTCACCATCTTACGATGCCCGGAAGGAACCATGCAGGCTTCTAGTCATATCCGTGTATTGTACCACATCTTTCTCAATACATCGTGCTCAAAACAAGGAAATGCAGACGGCGTCATCAGGGCTGGTGTCCTGAATAGGCAGGTCAGCTACCTGGCGAGGGTCTCCCTGGAGTTGCTCCTCCTCTTCCCCAGCGCAACCTGCGTGTTCACCTGCCTTGCTGTGCCCCTGCAACGAGGAAGAGGAGGAGGAGTTGCAGTGGCCTGCTTGCTTGCTGGCTCTCAGGCTTGCCAAGCGAGCAGGTGGCCACCATGACTGGGAAGAGACAGAGGAGGAGTGGTGATGGAAACGCCTCAGGGATCCTGCGCCTTCCCAGGAAGCTGCATTCCAGTCCCCCCCCCCCCCCCCAGCCGCTTGGCATTCTGCAGCCAAGCAAAGCCCCATCCTTGTTTGGCCGGCTTAATTGTGCCCCCTGCCCCCCGGCTTTCTTGTGCTGATGTAAACCTTGGCAGCCCCCCAAGTGTGCTGCCCCCCCCACTGCTGTCTGCATGGTGCCATGTTGGCTCCAAGCAGATCCACCCGGAGAGAATGAGTTGGCTATTAATACGTAGGATTCCAGATGCCTGTACGTACTTGTTGATCTTCTCTTCTTTCTCCTTCGCAGGCCAGCAGTCCTCAAGACCTTCGTCTCTTCTATGAGAAAAACAAGGCGCTCATGCCCAAGTAAGCATTCTTCGAGTGCCGCTCTTTCTCCCCCTTCCCTGCGCCCCAGACGGCAACCAGTTGCTCGCTGTGCTCGCCTCCACACCTGTCCCCCTGTGCTCCCTGCTTGGCATGCTTAGAGGTAGCTTGGCAGGCTGCCTTTCCCTTCCTTCGCTGGGAATGCTAGCGCCCTGGGGCTGGCAAGCTGACACTCGGTTACCCCGGCTGACCCTGTCCAGGAGCATAAAAACAGTCCAAGCTGCTGCTTTTTGAAAAAACAGAGAGAGAGAGAGAATAGAAGGAGGGAGGGAGCGGAGAAGGGTCAGGCACCCATGACTGGCAGATGATCACTGGCTGAGCTCAGCAAAACGCTGACTTTTCAGCATCTCACACAGTTCCTGGTGCGGCATGTTATTCACGCATCTCACACAGGCCAGCATGTCTTGTGGGGGTGGCTCTTGTGGTGTGCCATCAAGTCGTCTCTTACTTGTGGCCGTCCCATGAACGAAGGCCAGGCTGTGGCGGCCCTGCTCAGCATTTCGAAATTCCAGGCTGGGGCTTCCTTGGTGCATCTCATTTTGGGAGCTGTCCTCTTCTGCCTTCGACCTCCTTTTGCACGATCCCGACATTACATGCCTGGGGATGGGCTGGAGAGACGGTGATTTCCTGAAGGCTGGCTTTTCATGGGGAATTCCAAGCGGGAGCCTTTGGCTGGAATACTTTCCCTCCCGCATGGAGAAAGGCTACAGCGTCGGGGGCGGCCAAGGGGTGGCTGCTGGAAAACGGCGCCTCCGTTGTCGTGATCTTCCCTGTATTTGGAACGGCTTAGCATCCTTGGTCACGGCATCACCACTTTTGCTGTTGCCGGTGGGGAGATCAGGCAAAGAATTCACACAGAAGGCTCTGCTGGCGCAGGTGGAGGCCATTTTGAGGCGGTGTCCTTGATTTTGAGCCAAAGGGGCTTTCTATTTTAACTGGACGGTATGGAGCAGCTTGCATTTTCCTCTCTACAGTATCAGCTGGCACACTTTGCCCATAATGCTTTGGGTGTCTCTGCATAAGTGCTTCGGCCTCGGGAAACAGCAGTGGAAAGCTGGATAAGCTGTGGAAACTTCAGATGAACAGGGTGTGAAGGACAAGACAGAGGTGGCCTATTAAATTGCACTTTTTGTGGGTTTCCACATAACTCTGGGTGTGCCATGGACTCTCCCTGGTTTTTTTTTTTTTCCTCCTCTGTGAAATGCACCTAGAAACTGTACACTCCTTGTACAGGGTGTGTAGGGAGGGGACAAAGCAAAGCAGCCAAATAAGCAAAGCTATTTTTTCTGCAGAGGAAAAAAGAAAGCTGCAAGCTACATGCACTTGGTGGTACAGAAACTGAAGTGTAGCATTCTGGATGCAGACATAAGTTGGTGCCACTGGATTTCTCTTCGCTTGTTTTCACTTGGCCCAAGGGTAAAATAAGCCACCCATTGCCTCGCATGGATACAAGTCCTCCTTTGGCTCTTTGGCATCCGAAGGGTTCCTCCCACTGACGTTTGAAGCAGTTGCCCGGGGGCTGAAAGTTTGCTGGGTGCTGGCATCGTCCTGGCGCACCCCTGTGCTGTAAGCCAGACACATCTGGGGCAGCAAGCTGCCCTTGCCTGCACTGGGGAGTCTCGGCCCGCAACATCTGGCTTTCATTATATGCTCCTTGACCAGAGACGTTGTCTCCCGGCTCTCGTTGGCTTCAGCCAACACGGCCAAGGGTGAGGCATGACGCCACTGTAGGTCAAAACAAGGACCCGGTAACCTGACCTGGCGTGGGGGAGGCAGAGTAACTATCCCGTGTTCTTAATATTCTGGACAAGATGGAATGTCGCCCTCCTTGAGGGAGCTGAGTCCCAGCCGCCCTCCATCGGGGATCACGCAGAGGCTCAGCATTTTCTGCTGTAATGTTCCTCGTCTTGGCAGCTGGCATCTCACATGCCTGCCACCCGAGCTGGAGCGTGCCCCCCTCGCTTTGCCCACCCCCGGGCATCACCTGTGGCTGTCGATGCTGCCTGGGTTCTAGGAACTGCCTGCACGAGGCCCGTGGCTTTCACAGAAATCCTTGATGGTTCTCGATGCACGGCAGTTTCTTTTCTCGTTGGTACAAGTGTCTGCCCTCCCCCCCCCCCCCCCCTTTTCAGGTACATCTTCCCCTGCAGCTGTCGAAGAGGGAGGGGGAATGAGCGAGTTCGAAAGAGCTGAGAACGCTTCCCAAATATTAGCCCCGGGCAAATAATTGTTTCCTTGGACGTTCCTGCGGCAAGCTGGCTTTCCAGGGAGGGTCAGCCTGCAAGCACGGAGTTGCACTCGGCTTTCACTAGGGAGCGTTCTCAGTTGGTGGGATGCCACAGGGAGAATTTGCCATTACCTTATCTGACCTCTCCGGGTTTGGCGGGCGGCAGGAACCGTGCGGCCTGTGTGGGAATGCCGAGATGGCCTGAATTTGCCAAGGCGAGTCTTCCGAACGGCTCTGCCAGTGCCCCCCCCCCCTTCTTCTCCCTGTTCTCTTCTGGACCTGCCTCTGCTGCTGCCTGCTATCCAGTATGGGGACGAACCAGCCATCTCCGCTTGGAAAGCTCTGCTTTTCTTGGACCGCTGCTACAGAGGGGCTCACGCAAGGAAGACGGGCTTGGTTTTCCACAGAAAAGCCTCCGAAGGGATGATCCAGTTAAAGGCCTGATCCGAGATCTACTCTCTGCGGTGGTCTGGGCGGAGGGGTGTTGTGGCCGGGGCGTGTGGGGAACAGCAGGTCAGGGGTGGGCAACTGCAGAGGTTTTGGCGTGTGGCTTCCACCAGCACAACCACAGAGAGGGATCCTTGAAGTTTCTGGAGGGCCAGGCTTGTCCACGCCTGAGCTGGATGGACCGGCGGTGTGACCGGATCCGTGGCAGCTTTCCTGTCGCGGCTCCTCGCCGAGCGAGATCTGGCCAACAAACCTGGCTGAGTCTGTTCTGTCTTCACAGCTCCTTAGGACGGAACAGCGGAGAGCTGAGCTTTTGCTCCACTGCAGCTCAGTTAGAGCCTTCTCCCTGAAGAGGGCAAGAGAATTGTTCGCTTCCGCAAGTTTTCAGGCATGTTGCCAGATGCAACTCTTAGCCAGGCCTTTGGCTGAACCAGTTTTGTTTTTCCTCTTGACTTCCCCCCGTCTCCCTGGTGGTTTAGCTGCTGTGGGTTTGGTCAGGTTGTGGTCCAGTAGGTGAATCTCTGTGTTTTGAGACTGTGGAACAGCTTTGAACCCCTTGGGAGAGCAGCGCAAAGGCCATTTTCAAGAGCGGGTTGCACAATATGAGAAGCACATCATGTGGCACTCGCCTTCTCACCTGTTCCTCTTTTTTCTTGCACAGCATCCCAAGGGAGACATCGGCCCATCTGAGGCAGCTGCTGCTGGGGCTCCTGAAGCGGAATCACAAGGACCGCATGGACTTCGGTAAGCCTGCTTCCTGCTGCGTCTTGGTTCTCCGCCCACGCCAGAGACACGCCTGCTCTCTCTCAGCGTTGGAGGGTGCGAGGGGCAAGCTTTCGTTGTTGCTGAGGAGCCCACCCCTTCTGGGATAATGTGCTGGGGGCCACAACCTGGCAGAACGATCCATTGTCTCCCCCCCCTTTGCCACCTCCTTTCCTGCCTCTCCTCTTCCTCCCTGGCTAGAGATCCGAAGTGCAAACCTACAGAGAACCCTGTGAAATCAGGCCAAGCCCTGTTTTTAGGACATTCGCAAAATAATTTTGGTTTGTTCTATTTATCTTTTTTGCACTTCTGATTATTCTTAAAATGCATAGATCACTTTGGTTTTCCTTTTGTGCCTACATTGATTTATGTTTTAGTTTAAGCAAGCATACGTTCTCTAATGTTACTATAGTAACATTATATATATAGTAACATTATATATATATATATTCATTCTAAAACAAATAAAATGGATGCCCGGCAGCTTGGCATCCAAAAGACACACAGCATCCTCTCAATGACAAGGAATCTGCACAAGACTGAGATTAAAATTGGCCGGCGTAGCATAACAAGCTTGTGTGAGCATACAGTGCTTCCAAGCACGTGGTGGTCAGACATCTTTGGAGAGTCAGTTCCAGGATGAGGTGCCGTAACCAAAGATACGCTTTCCCCAGTCGCCCACCGCCTTGCTTCTGACAGTGGGGGTGCTTGGGAGAAGAGCATCAGATGATGTCCTCCATGAACAGGGTCAAACCGTACCTGTTCCAAAGGTATTTAAGGCTTTATAAGCAAGCGTTAGCATCTTGAATTGGGCTGAGAAATGGACCATCCACCAGTGAAATTGCCCCACTGTTGGTAAGATACACACGCGGCCCCGATTAGCAATCTGGCTGTTCTGAGGCTGTCATCACTCCTTCCCAGTATTCCGTATCATCCTGGGTTTTCTCTAGAATTCCTCCTACCATGGAGCTGGGGACTCTTCGGATGGGCCATCACTCTGTGCTGGAGCCTCTGGCTTGCATCAGCAGGTGTGGTGCCCATCAGCCCCAGGTAGCTCTCGGAAAAACTGTCTGAATCCCTGGAGAGCCGCTGTTGCCTGCCTGTGTTGGCAGTATTGGGCTAGGCAGGATGAATCAGCATCTGAGGTTGCACTGGCTGGTCCTTGGATTAAGACAGCAGTGAAAAGGTGTTTGCGAAATAGTTTAACTGAGCTTTTTCTGCAGCTGGGATATATGCACAAAATTATCTTGAGGGTTAAGTCCTGCTTTGAAGCTCAGTAGTTAGCATGGGAAGTATCAGAGTTGTATTAAAGAATAATTCGGTATTTGTCCTAAAGTGGGTAGGGGGCAGGTGTGTCCCCTACACACGAATATCCTTGGGTACCTGCTGGGGAGATATTCCCCTTTATGGTCCTTTGTCTTCCTCTCCTGTCTGAGAACAAGAGAAGAAGGCTTTGTGGAAGCACATAAGCTCCTTGCCATGGGAAGCTGTGCTGATAATTGGTTTTGATGGTGGTGGTGCTGGTTTTTTTTACAATCAGCTCCTTGCAGGACATTATCTGGACAATCATGCTTACTCTTAACGGGCTTGCAGTCTGCTATTCTTTCTGATTAGTGCTGTCACTGGAACGGGTTTTGAGATACCCCTGAACATCTGGCCAAAGGGATTAAATGATCCCAGTTTTAATTGTGGTTCACTCTTTTCTCTGTCTGTCTGTCTGTCTCTCTCTCTCTCTCTCTCTCTGTCTCTCTCCCTCTCTCTCTCTTTTCCCCCCACCCCTTTATCTTTTAGCCGCGTGGGTTTGGGTTTAGGGAAAGCACAGCACGTAGCTGCGGTCGTTTTTAATTTAACTAATAGGTCGGCCCTGTACTGCCTTGGGTTGTATATTCTTAAGCTCCCACCTGCTAACTCTGGGGTTTTCCAAGCTGCTCTAGGGGGGCTGACATGAGGTGCCATGTGGTGCTTCAGGGCAAGGGACCTTGATTTCCTGTTGCATCTTTCCCTGCAAGCCAACGGAAGTGAGGTGGCTGGCAACCAAAGTCCAGGACTTCTTTGTGGGGGCACCTAGTTGATGGGGATAGGCGTGCCTGAGGCTGCTGTTATTTTCTTTCCAGCATCAGTTGAAAACTTGTTTAAAATTTCACCAAGTCCTTTAATATCAATGCATCAATTTTATCTGTCATTTGATTATTGCGATGCGCCGATTTCCATAGTGAAGATTTGTGCCAATGTGCAAGGGACCAACCTTACCCATGGCCAGCATTTCGGAAATGGCTACAGGGCAACATGAAAAATAAAATATCCTGATGCCAGGAAAATTCCTGCTCTTCCAGGATGATCTGCAATGTTTTCATTGATCTTAGTAGCCTTTATGGCTTTCATTTGTGCTGTGTACGGGAGTCTGGAAGCCTGGCTGCTGAAAATAGCTTGTTCCAAAAGCTCGCATTATTTTCCTGATCTCTTGGTTGGCCTAATACTAGCACTGTGGATTTTGGAAATTTTCTTATGGACAGTGCAAGAAACCTTTCTCTCTCTCTTACTTGATGTTTTTTTTTCCTTCCACAGATGAATTTTTCCATCATCCTTTCTTGGATGCAAGTGCCTCAATGAAAAAATGTAAGTTTCTTTCCTTGTTTGTTTCCCGCGTATGCACAGATTGTAAATTCAGCTTGCGCTGAGCCAGTTCAGACACAGGGTTCTGGTCGCACCTTTGACAGGGCAAGAGAACTTGCATGGCCTATTCTGCGAGGTGACTTTGCTTGCTCCGTGCTGAGACTTGGCCTCTGTTACAAATTGCATTGCGCCTCCTGAGTCCTGAAGGTTCTGTTTAAACATGTCCCCCTTCTCAGCCTTTTCCTAGCAAACAGCCCAGATGTCGATAGAATTCCATCTTTCCGTGTTGTGTGGATGTGGTTTTGGATGTGTAGCATATAATTTTAGGGGACAGAAGTACGTGCATTCTGTTCTCAGAATGTGCCTTGGAGTTGATGTGCCAAATTCCAGCTTTCTCAGCGATGGGGAAGTACCTTTTCAATGGGAACAGCAAGTCCTGATCAGTGAGACATAACTGTCTGCCTGAGTTGACACACAGGTCCCCTTGCGCAGTACTACGAAGCCTAACACGTAGCCAAGATCGGCAGCTTCACATTCCTCAGCTAAGTTTTGCAAGAACACCCTGGAAACAACGCTTTGGTGTGGAGTCTGCTGTATTCTCTCTCGTGTTTTGCTGATGCCGGAGTTGTGGTGTTGCAACATGTTACAAGGCCTTTTAGTTCTTAGTCTTTGTAATGGCCATCTTTCTGTTTTGGGTTACCTGTTTTGTGCCTGAGGTAATAGATGGTAACATATACTTAAGGAGAAAAGAAATGCATTGTCCGGGAAGATCCAAGGGGGTTGGATGGAAAGCAGAGCCGCCTTTGAACTGTAATGAAATTAAACGAGAGGCGCTCCAGCGGAGGGAGACGCCTGAAAATGCTGGTTGTGAGGGTTCCTTTGAGGATAGTGCTGTAAACGACAAGTGACTAAAGAATATAGAGCGCGGCTTGGTGGAGGTTGGGATTCTTCTCGAGCAGAAGCTTTTCCTGTTGAGCAGGAAACAGCATTTTCTTAAATTTTTCATCCTCGGGCTGAGGGAACCTATGTTCTGCCCGAGACTTTGATCACTGCCTCTCAGCTTGGGCGATATTTGCCAAGATGTGCCGTTCCTTCATGCCTAAGGTGATGCTGGTGTGAAGTTCCCATAACCCAGTGGTCAGAGATGGGGACCAATGCAATTTGGACACCCAAGGTTGGGAAAGATGAGTCAGATGGACCCGTGAACCGACGTGATCTTTGTCAGCTTCGGAGGTTTGTTTCTGCAATGCGAATCAGCTTCAGCCTGTGTGGTAGCATGACCCTCTTGACACGAGGTCAGCAAGGATGGGTTAGAGAGAGGGAAGAACTGGTCGATATCTTAGCAAAACTGTCATCCTGAGATTACGAGAAGGTGGGTGCAAGGAGTACTTGCAAGTGTGTGTTGGGGGGGGTCAGTGCATGAGTGGGGCAGCGTTTAACCCTTCCTGAACCTTGCAAAGAACCTTCTGCCCCAGAGAGACTCACAGACTGGGTTCAGATAGGACAAGAAGCTACGGTGGGCTTTTACCATTGTTGTCTGAACCTAGTCATGGTATTTCACCATGTTAAGTGTGGTCTGGAGAGACCAGAAACAACAGTTTGTTCTATGGTTTCTCGGTACCATCATGGCTTGTCATGTTGTCTGAACCTAGGGTCAAGATTTCCATGGACTTGGTATGCAACTACCATAGAGTCTCCTGGAAACAGTGGCAACCAGAGGAACCTCTTGAGCCATCCAACCTCTGTGCACAGACCAATGAGGGACAGGCAGACACATAGGCAGGGAGTGATGCACCTTGGGATTGAATTTCAGGTGCAGTGGCTGATGGGATACATACCAACAGTGGGAAGATGGAAACCGTGATAACATAGAAACCACTTGATCATCTGCTGGGTAGATCATGGTAAATAAAGGTGAACCATGGCAAGTGGACAAGGTTGTGTGTCATGTTGGGTGCACCCAGCCACAGTGTAGTGTTTTCCAGACCAGTGATGGTTGTCACTATCCCTTGATTGTGTGTGTGGCCAGGGGGCCTTTATTGCAGATCATTTTATCATAAGGCATAAGGTTGGTAAATTTGCAATGGAAGATGCAGTCTGCTTGTTTTTTAAGTTGATAATGATAAATGTCCCTTGAGTATCTCGTATTGGACACTTCTGGGGAATCGAGGCTTTTGGCTTCCATCGCTTTTACACCGGCATTGTGCTTTAATCCCTGACCATCCGTGCAAATAATACAACCCCAATCCTTAACGGTACTTAGGTGACCCTCCCGCAGGCAGAAAAAAATTCTGCTGGTTTAGGCCTGCCTCCAAGCCCTCCCGGTCCTTACCTGCAGCTGCAGCATCTCCCTGGGGGGAAGCCCTTGAAAGATCCAGCCACCCTCGGACCCGGAAAGGATACTCTCGACTCAAGGGCGTCCACAAGCCAGCTGATTCCCCTGCCCCGATGGCCGTGCCCTTGTGGAAAATGGGTTCAACCAGGTCAGAGCCTCTCACCCAGCATCAAGGGTCGCCTCCGCACTGGCCTGCACCCAAGGCTCTTTGGCTGCCGCCCTCCGCTCCGGTGCTGTGGACGCCGACCCAGCAGGACCCGCTGCAAAAGCCGGAAAGGATCTTCCTAGCCTGGCCTCCCTTCCCCTCCCTACCAGCCTCCTCAAAACCGTCATACGAGGCAACCTCGCGGGAGCTGCAGAACCACGACAGGCAGAGGAGGGCCTCTGCCATCCAGCCGCGCTCTCCAGCCTCGGCCATCTCGCTGCCGTGGGATGCCGGCCCCCTCCAGTGGCAGTGCCTGAAGGCGTTCGTGAGGGTGCCTCTCGCCAGTCCTCAGCAGCCTTCCTATGTCTGGATATGAACCGGGAGTGACACGTCAGCCTGCAGGCTCCAGCCCCCATCTCATGTCGGAACGGCAATGGATTCTTGTTCTGGTCGGCCGATCGGGTGCAGGAGAGAGGCGGGGTGCATGCGGTCACCCGACCCTTCGGGCTGAATTGTGCCTGTAGGATGTGGGCCCCGTTCATGAGCAATAGCGTGGCATTTCATGGAAGGCCTCGTGGCATTTTCTTCTGCCCTGCTGAGAGGCCGTCTGGAGGCAGGGTTTCGAAGGGCTTCGAGTCTGTGCAGCAAGCACCTGCCAGGCTGGGGAGGTGAAGGACAAGCCTGGCTTGGGCGTCTTGAGTGCTTTGGGAACTATTTCAAGAAACAAGGCTGTCTTTGAGCGTCGGTTCTGCCAGGTGCCAGCTGATGGAGAGCAACGACGGAAGAACAGCACGCACGGAGTCCGTTTGTGGCTTTGCCACCGTCTCATATGCATGGGCTTTTTGAACATTTGCTTATAAATATCACTGCGTCCGTGTGTCGCTGCCCAGTCTCCTGGCAAGATTTTGGGCAGAGGCTGTGGCTCAGTGGCTGCGGATGAAAGAGATGTTGCTGGCATCGCATCTTCAAACAAGAAGGCTTCGCTCTCAGGACTGTGAAATTTCTTCTGCTTATTTGAGAGCTGGCGAGGATTCCGTCAAGTCAAATAGCGCTGAGCTAAGTAAACAGGCCAGCTGAGTGGCTGAATGAAGAGCTGAGAGAGGCTGTTCCAGCCTTCCTAGATTCTCCATGAAATCACGAACCTCCGTTTCCACCGACGATACAGTTCTACCTCATTTCAGTTGTCTTCTTTGCTTGGCTTGCTAATGCCAGAATGAATGTGATATCGAACTTCAACTTCAAAATGCCAACATGGCTGAAGGCTGAGGATGATGAGAGTTCTAATCCAGTAACATTTTGGTTCCCCACACTTTGGTAATGAAACAGGAAACTTTGATGATCAGCTATCTGCCATTTTACAGTTTTCCTCTTCTTCTAGCCCCAAGATGGCCTCTTATCCCTATCTTGTTTTATTGACTGTTTTATAAATAGTTTTATATTTTTGTTTATATAATTTATTTTTCTATTTCTGTCTCTGTAAATTGAGAGATCTGTCTATTTGAATTCTAAAATATAATAATAAAATAAAAAACATACCTGAGTTAGAAGTCTTTTTTTGTTTCTTTGTTTTACCTTTGATGTCACCTAATGTCCCCACATTAATGAAAACAGCTGGGTGCTAACAACTAATTACATGGCGTTATGGTGCCCTGGAACTCTCAGTTCTGTCTCGTCTCATCTTTATTCTGTCTTCTGTTAGGGTGCATCGGTTCTGTATACTTGGCCAATGTAGTTTACTTTGTGGATCTCCTTCCCCAAGAGAGACCAAAGAGAAAGGAGAATGCCTCTTCTTTTTTAAGACGGAGCTTGCTACCTGAAGTTTTTAATATGTGTGCTGCAGCCTCCTTAGTCGATCGTAAAGACGGATTGAATCAATGACACATCGCAGCCTCCAGTATTTGCACGAACTCTTCTCAGCCTTACAGCTGTTCAAATCTTTTTGCCATCTCCCCAGCCACTTATTTATTTTAATTTCTATATCATCCAACAGCTGAAGCTTTCTGGATGGTTCAGAAAATACATTTTTTAAACCCTGTAAAAAGAAAGACACACAAAAACATTTAAAGTTTATAATACAATATTTAAAACCGCATTTTCAACAGGTGAGAATATATATAAAATAAAACCTTGAAGGAGGAGAAAAGCATTCCAACCCCTAGCAATGAGCAGGCTTCAAAACTACTTGAATACCCTGCAGTAGAAGATGCTCTTTACCTGTAAGTAAAGATGGAAAGGTTGCCACCAGGCAGTTCCATCCCTGAACCCCCTGTGTTCGTTGCCTTGGTCCCGCAGAAGTTCCCCTTGCTCTAAGATGACCTGAAGTGGTGCTGAGCAGACACAGGCTGGCTGTGGGCCTGATCCCCAGGAAGGCTGGTCAGGGCCAGGTGTGTGATGAACCTGCGCCAACAGTTCCTGGAGGAACCTTCCTCTGGCTCCCCGTGGCTCATCGAAATGCAGCCCCAGGGGCAGGGAAGCTTTGCAGAGTGTGTCCATCTCTATGAATCCCTTGCTCCACCTGGGCAGGAATCGCTCTGCATTGCCAGCCTGCACTGGGGCACGGTTTGGCCTCTGGGTCTGGCCTGAAGCCCTGACAAAGCTGGGTCCAGGAAGGTTCTGAATTTGTGTCGCCCAGCTTGCACACGCACTGGTCCAGCACTCCAGTTGACAGCGGAGGAAAAATAGGCCTTCCTGTCTCCATTCATTCATTCAGAGCATGTGTATGCCGTCCCATCGCATAGCCTCGGGACGGCTTACATCAATAAATTAAAACATAATATGCAAGGTGGGAGCTCGGAGTGAAGCCTTTCATATATGAGAACATGTGTCCCTTCCATGGACATCCACCGAGGGCCTTTCCAGCTCCGTAGCAGAGATCTTCCTCCATCTTTCTCCGGTCCTGATGCAAGCACCTCCCATATGCCCAGCCCGTGAACATAAGGAAAACCATGCTGGCTTAAACCGACAGCCTCTCCACTCCGGCGTTCTGTTCGCCCAGCCAGAAGCAACAGCACCCTCCTTCAGCTGGCATATGGGCGGCACACGATATCCCTCGATGGCCTGGCCTCTTCCCTTGTGAACTGTGTGAAATGGAGCACCAGCTTGATCTTGCTTGCTCTCTCTGTGCTCTTCTTCACTGGCAGCGGGTCAGGTGCACACCAAACCTCACACCTCCCTGTTTGCCCTTGCTTGCTCCCAAGGATTTCTCCAAACCGTCCAGTCAGCGTCTGAGCCTAGAATTTAGCCTCCCTGCCAAAACCGCCTAGGGCAGGCAGGCCAGAGGAGAAAGCACCTGGCTGTGAAGACGTCAATAACATTAAGTCACTTCGTTGCAATTCTCCAAGGATTTCCTAATTCGTTAAGTGTGCTTTTAGTTTAGCCAGAATATTTTCTCCTTGCGTATAGCCCTTGTTGTCTTAGTCTTCTAATCATAAGCCAGAGAAGTTGACCTCATCTCCCACTTTCAGAATAATAGAACTTGAAGCTGGGCAGTAATTTGTCTGTCAGAATCCAGAAGAACTGATGCAATGACAGCATTTAAATGATGGTCTCATAGCTTTAGGTCTTTAAATTATTCTCAGCTTCAGAACCAATAACAAAGATATTCACACCAGAGTGGAAAGTCAGAATGACATGCAAACAGATCTGTCAGTACTGCGCCAGACTGGGGTGTAGCTTGATTGCATTGATTTATCTTGTCTTGACTGGTTTTTATAATGTAGTTCATTAAATGCATTTATTTCCTGTCAATGGGAGACGTTTGAGACTGCTTGCAACATTGTCAAAACAATTTTAAAAGTCCAACTAGAAAACACTGAGGAACTTGAGAGAATAAGCCAAGCTCACTTGGGGAGAAGAAATTGAGTGCTGACGAGCGCATGGCACTGTATATAGAGGAGCGAGTGGGCTGAAGCAGGAGAGTGAATCTTCCACAAAAAATTAGGGGGTTTTTGTTTTTGCTGGTTAGTAACTTTTGGCAGGCTTGCTTACAAGGCTGAGTTGCAGTCCCAAAAATCCAAGTGAGGATGTAGGCGAAACACTGGAAGCGTCAACCAAACGGCCAAGAAGTTGAAAGCTACCCTGAACCCAAAGGGTGTTTGGTTTTGCTCAGCAATGACCTCAGGAAGAGATGCAAACCGACTGCCAGGCTGGGACATCCCAGCGCCTGGGCGCAACAACAGGGAAAGCTCCGACACACGTCCGTGCTGACCAAAATGTTTATTACCTTGTACTTTAACTTGATTGGCAGTCAGAGCAGCTCAAGTGAAAAACCTCAGTCAGGATGCAAAACTAATTAAAACGGCGGCGGCATCACAGCCTCATCCTAGAAATGAGACTGTAGAAGTTGCAGATGTCTGGAAGGCCGTAAAGCATGAAACGTAGCAATCAAGGCATGGTCAAACGGGAAGGTCCCCCCGGGCCCTGGAAGGCCGCTGGAAGCTGTGCGAGGTGAGCTTTCCTAGGAAGCCAGGGGCTGTTCTAGGGGAGCGGCCACTGCAGGGTGCCACAGCCAAAAAGGCCCCGTCCTCCTCCAGTGAGATAGCGGCAGGGGTCCGAGGCACTCAGGACGGCGTGCCCCCTCCCATCTGCCGCCCAGTCAAGAGCTTGTGGGGAGGAAGAAAACACCTGTCACCATCAATTGTGCTCGGCTGCTGACTTGTTTTCCCTCTCGCGGCTCGGTGACGTTGTCTGGCACCTGGGTAAAGCCACTGGCGTGAGGCAGCCCGGAAAGGCTTTCTAATCCCACTGTTGACAGATCCAGAAAGAGTGACCTTTCCTGCTTTTATCCCCACCCCCGCCCCTTTCTTTAGCCGCTTCTGTGCCAATGCCGTCTTATCCGAGCTCGGCCTCCGGGAGTTCGTCCAGCAGCTCTTCCGCATCCCATCTCGCCTCTCCTCCTGTAAGTCCACCTGCCGGGGTGTGCGTGCGCCTCTCCCTCCAGGATGTCTCGGTTGCACTTTCTGCTGACTTGTCATGCTGCTCCCGCTGAGGATAGGCGCACCGAAGGGCAGCAGCTTGGGTGCACTGGGCCGGACCGGTCCAAAGCAGGCCTCCTGAGAACACAGCCCAAGAACAGGATGAGTCCAAGAATACAAGTGTTCTGAGCCCTCTTGGCTGAGGCTCCTGTACGCCAGGCTATCTTTACAGTGCAGAGCTTTAGCGAGTCCATGCACCGCTGAACTCCCCTCTGCTCATGCAAAGAGTGTATTGAGCCAGAACTGGAAACGTCCTCCCAGTCCTGTCCTTTCGTTCACGCTGCAGGCTGTGCCCTCTGGGTGGCTCTCACTGGTGAGCCAGTCAGCAAGACGTTACCTATAAGAACATTCAGAGGCTTTCCGTGTCAGGAAAGGAGAAGCGAAGACTGGAAAGGACCGTGCCTGGTCTCGGGGACTCTTGCTTGCCTGCCGATTCTGTCCCTCCCCTTGGCAGTGCAGCTGTGCTCCTTTCCCTCTCGGATGGGGAACCCCACAGCCCAGACTAAGCCCAGCCTGGCTCTGCCTCCATCTGCTTCTGAGCCAGGGGTTTTGCCTCTGGGCTCACCCAGCCTGCCACAGCAGCCTTTCCCAGCTGGGTGCCTTCCACATGCGCTGGGACTGGAGCTCCAGTAGCGTAGCCAATGGTTGTGAATGATAGGAATTGTAATCGGGCACACCTGTAGGGCTACAGAACTTACTTTTCCTAGATGGGAGCCTCAAGAGTTCCATGGTGGTTTTTGATTATTCGGTATATAATCCCCCTTGTGCAATGAAAAGGGGGTATCCATGTTTTGCTGCTTCTCTTTCAACAAGTAAGCATGCCAGAGACCAAAGGAAATTCAGGGGCAATTCTGCAGCATAGTTTCCAGCTCTTTTGCCCTGGCATAATGGCACAACAGCTGCCAGTTTCTGCTCTCCTCCTTCCTGGGCGATGCAGTGTTGGCAGATGCTCTTTGGGTTCCAGGAGCACTGAACAGCCTTGTTTAGTTCCTGGAGCCTCGCAAAGAGCTCTCTTGAAAGAGGCCGCTGTTTCGCCGAAGTCCTGGCAGCTCTCGTGCACTGGCAGGAACCCACTTCAGGGGAGTGCTTTGTGCTCCTCGGTGTGGAGGAGCCGGCTGAATGCTGAGCGAGCTGCCCAGAGGTTGCTTTTCACGCCGTCTCCCCTTCCTTGCCTTCCTTCCCCCGAGCAGTCCCTCGGAGAGATGCCGCACCTCCAGGAGAAGGCTTTAGCCTCGCCTGTCCAAGGTTCTCCTGGCTTCCTACATGGGTCCAAAGAGTCAGCTGGCAGCAGCAGCAAGAATTCCTCCTGCGACACCGATGATTTCGTCATGGTGCCGGCCCAGTTCTCAAGTAAGCGGCATTTTCTTTGGAAACTGGTGGCAGGAAAGGAGGCCGATGGGGTGACAGGCAGAGGATGGAGGATGCATTCCATAGACTGGGAATGGCGGATGGGAACGTCTTCCTCATTCCCAGCACTGCCAAGACCTGGACGGAGGCAGTTCTTTCATGGCCATGTTCTTTAACTCAGGACTTCTTAGAATGAGGGCCTGGATTGCTTGACGGGAGAGGTCACAGTGCAGCTGGGTTTGTTGGGATGAGTTTTGTGGGACGCTGATCATATGATTAGAAGTCTGGCAGTTCGTGTTCAGCAATATATTCCCAGAATTAGCAGGTTTGGGACCGGTGCCTAGAATCCCTGGGCCACTGCTGGGGCCCCAGTACTCTGGTAGGACCACTCACGGAACTGAACCCCCATGTAGCCATTTCCCCCCACTTAAATTTGTTACAATATTATAGCAGGGGGGTTGTGGGAAATAAAAATGGCAGCTCCTGGATCCCCTCTGAGGGCTGCTTCATGCTGATTGGTATGTTGCCTCCTAGCATTAGGAAAGCTCATCCAGGTGGGAGGGGAGCGGACAGAGAAGGAGACACCTGAACTGCTAGTCCTAGCAGTCACATGGGTTGAATGAGAAGCAGCGGGAAAGGTGTGAATTGAATGTGGTATGGATATGCTTTCACTAGGACATGATACGCAGACACGACAGTGCCAGGGAAAGTTGCCATCATCTCATCTGTTGCAAATCGAAATGGGGTTTTGCATGCTTATTGAAAGGGGAGGCTGCATTGCGACATGGAAAGCTTTCTTCTCAAAGCATGAAATTCTGTACATCTTATGCGAATGAGGCCTTGGCAGTGGTGAGCTAGGTGACGGGGCACATCTGTGCGTAAGTGGCATGTCAGGTCTGGATGACCCTCCCGCTATTCCATGTGCACTTATATAACAGCCTGGCTAATGCTTGCCTAACTCCCTCCCAGAGTCCAGTTTTAGGCTCCGTCGGAGGTGCATGGGGACCACACTCTGCCCTGGCCAGAAGCTGAACCTCCCTTTGAGAAACAGAAGGAATTTGAATGCCACTTAGGGCTGCAAACCTAATACTTGTCATGACAGAAAAAGGGCCTCGATTTCCCAGCATGCCTGGCTGGGGCATGCTGGGAAATGTTGCCCTTTTTTTGTCTTAACATGAGAAAGATGGTGACCTGTTGTTTGTCAATGGGCAATCCTTCAACCTATTTCTGTAGACCTAGAAAGAAACTCGTACCATAAACTCGTTTATGTCTCAGTGGTAACATGGACCCCAAACAAACCCTCTCTGTGCTTCTTGAAACCTAGGTGATATAGCCGCGGAGGCTGCAGGTGGGAAACCAATCCAGGACAGCTTGATGTGTAGCGGGTAAGGAAAAGCAACGGAAAGCTGAATTTCTAACCTGAACACACAAAGCTGCTGCAAACTGAATTGGACCATTGGCCTAGCCCAGTCGTGTCTGCTCTGACTGGCAGCCCCAGCCCTAAGGTCTTTCCTACCGCTGCCGTCTGAGATCCTGGTTGCAGATACAGCATTCGACCTTGGACCTTCAGAATATGAAGCCCTTTCACTGAGTGATGGCTCTTGTGGGGGAAAACCTGCCATCCTTCCGGTGAATTCTCCATTGGGGCAGAGGCTGGGGGAGTTGGGATCGCTTACAGCGGTTCTAGAGGGCAGGGGTTCTGCCTGTCGGTCCCTTTTAAAAGCATGATAAAACGGACGGGAGCAGCATAATCAAAGAAACTGGCCATCCGCTTCTGCAAAAGGTCCCCTGAAAGGATAACGTAGAAACAGAGTGAGTCAGAAGGGGTCTCCCAGGCCATCTAGTCTGACCCCTGGCTCCGCTCATGACATGCCCACCAAAAAAAAAGTACCAGCTGGCTACATCCATGGAGAAATGCCAGCATGCTGCCTAAAATGTATATTTGAAATGGAAAGGGGGCAGCTGACCTAAAGGTGTGGATGGGGGTTGTGGAGATGGCACGGGTGCTAGGCGCGTACAGACGGGGACAGGCAGGCTCTGAAGCCAGAGTCGTCCTGGAGGTGAAGAGCAGCTTCTTCACATCTCTCTGAGTCGACCCAGGACGGGCGGGGTGGTGCGGTCACGACCTTGTCTCCTGGGCCATGCGGGTGCATCGCAGAGAAACCCCAGGTTTGGGGATGACTCACCGTTAGAACAAACAGCTGCTATTCTCTGCAGCCCACTCGCCACCACAAGTCCCAGGAGGTCGGGTCTGGCATGCGAGTTAATTTCATTTCCTGCAAAAGTGGCAAAGAGGCCTTTCGAGCGTGACGCTGTCGTCCCGTGAGAAAGTCCGGCTTTGGTGGAAACCGAGTACAAGTAAGGCTCTCCTGGTTGGGGTCTCCCCTCTTCTCTTTTCCAGCAGCTCCCTGGTGGCGTCGGCGAGCTTGGACAGCCAGGGGCGGACCTCGTCTCCTTCTCCTCCGTACAGCAGCTCTCCCGGCTCCTGCAGGCAAGTGGAAAGAGCATTTCTGAGCATGCAAAGGGCAGCGAGGGTGAGGAGACGGAGCTGCATCTCGTGCTGGGCAGCTCTGCAGGTTGAGAGGAGGAATGAGCCACCGTGTCAGTCGGAGGGAGGAGGCCACTGGGGGCATTTGCCAGCCCTCTCCCCAAATTGGGGCGGGGGGACAATGCTGTGTCCACCCCCACCCTGTCCTACCAGCTGCGAGTCATCCAAGCTTCCTTCCCCAGCTGTTCCTCCTCCCCTTATCTGTATTTTAGGATTGGGAAGTGAGAATCTTAAATCTGGGCATCCAGAGCTGGAAGGAATCTTGGGGGTCCCTTCCCACAGTCGCCTGTTTAGTGCCAAGCTGCAGCATTCCTGGTGGGAGCCTCAATGCTTCCAGCAAAGGAGAACCCACCACCTCCCGAGGAGATCCATTCCCCTGCTGAACACCTCTTAGACTCAGGAGGTTCCTCTGAAAATCTGGCCAAAGCTCAGTTTCCTGCTCATTTCCGCCTGTCGGTTCTAGTCCTGCCTTCCTGGAGAAGCAGGGAATAACTCTGCTCTGTTTTCTGCCTGGGAGCCTTCCCGGTCTTCCGCAACCACAATCCCGCCTGCCTGCCTTCCACCTCCCTTCTCCAGGCGCATTGTACCCCAGTGGTTCCTCATGGCCCCTCTGCAACGGTCTTTGCCTGTGTCCTTTCGCAGGCCCGGCCCGCTGTCCTCGAGTGGCAAGTGCGGACAGTCCGTGCCCATCCCGGTCCCGACGCAGATTCACAACTACCGGCGTATCGAGCAGAACCTTCAGTCTCCGAACCAGCACGTCTCGCCACAGTGAGTACCGAGACTTGCCGATGCGGAGGTGGCCCAGGAGGCTATTAGCTGGCCCCGCTGCCCAGCCCCTTGGCCAACCTCACAACCACCTCCCCCAGTGTGGTGTGCGGATGGGCTGAAATCTAGCATGTGTCGCTTGCACCCCGTGAAAGCTGCACCGGCTTGAGTTAAATGCATTTAGCAGGACTGTGGAACGGCCAGTTTATGTCCGATGATCTTGTTGTTCTTGAAAGAGTTGCCCTGCTTTGAGATGTCCTGCACACACACAGTGGGCGAAGCCTTGAAACTGAATGGTTGGGGAGAAGAGCCCTGGCCGCGGGACCAGTTCCTCCTCCCTTTGTGGAATGTTGCCGTTTGGGACTTCACAAAGCAACATCTAGAGGAAAAGGGCTGTGACGTGTCGCAGTCTGCCCAAAGATCTCCCGCTGTGGGGGCTGTAGAAGTGGAGCAGAGAATAACGCTGATGGAGGTCTAGTTATTCTGGCTGAAGTGAAGGGGTTGGAATTTGGCCAAGTAGACGTCCCCCGGCATAAACAACTTGGTTTCTTTCTTCCCTGGGCTTTGAGCTCCCTTCCTGGGCATTTCTGTGAAGCCCCCCCCCCCCCCCACACACACACACTTCAAACCCTTCTGGAAAGCCTGTTATGCCCCCATCAACAGATACGGCACATTACAGGGTAATGATGAAAAGACAGGGCTCTGCCCCGAGGGGCTTACACTGGATGCAACACAGGGAGAAGAGGGTAGGCCAAGTATCCCGTGGGGCCACTTGGCTCCCATTGGTTGGTTCCCTTGCGTTGGCAGGAGTGACCACTTTCCAAAACTAACCCTGGGAGTGCTTGTGTCTAGACTGGAGCTGCTCTCAGACCTACTTCTGTGTATATTTCTGCTTGTTTCAGGTTATTTCTAGAAGTGTGAAAGCCCCGTTGTGCTCGTGGTCAGTCCTGCCAATGCGGAGGCACAATGAGACATGATCCTGCGTGTTTGCTCGAGTTGCTCTTTTCTGAAGGACGGAACTGAAGGGAGGGGAGTTGTGGAATCATAAAACCCAGAGGGGGTCCAGCCTCGCGATTTATTGTGATGCCCAAACTCTGCCCCTTTGCAGAATTCAGGCTGTACGCTCCTTTGAGCGAGACACCCTCCCTTCATTCTCTTTTGTCGCTACACTGCAGTATAAAAAACTACAGTATTTACAGGGGCTTCATTTGATTTAATCATATGGGATTTTGGCTACTATTCTAACTGATCTTTTCCTGAGTAAGATCAAACAGGCTTTGTAGAATGAGGCAGCCGAATCACGTGGATTCAGGGCTGCTAACCTAATAACCCATTCAGATTAATGAGATATTCATATAAATCGACGGTCTTTCAGAAGCAGGGAGACTTTTATGGTTGTACATTTCTGTGTCGCCATCTCAGAAGAGATGTGCGAAGAAAAAAATGCTTGTTTTCAGACAGTGGCTGTCACACTTTTCTGGTATTGAAAATAATAATTAGGCGCTCACTGCCTGGGAGGTCTTTGATTTCGTCGATCAAAAGATGGATCAAAGCATTTAGCTGATATGGCACCACCCTTTTTTATGCAAAGCAGGACATAGATTGCTGGCTTCGTTTAAAAAAAGGAAGCATATGTTTTTATTTACCTGTGCATATGTGCTTCGTCAGGAATTTCTGCCACGTGTCTTAGGCAAGCTCGCTACACTTGCATGATAACAATCATTGCACAAGCGCATTTGCGCCTGTAGACCGGAGGACTGACACAGAGCCGGTCAAGTCACACCGGATGCGTCGCCCCAGGCTGGCGGCACATTCCTTCCGTGCTGTGTGGGTGGCTTGCTTTCCTCTCCCTCGTCCGTCTTCCCTGTCGGTTTTACAAAGAGTCTGGCCACCGGCAGGTTGCGTCTCCAAGGTGCTTCTTAACCCAGTGGAGAAAGAGCCACAGGAGAAAAAAGCATCTTGGAAACAAGTGGAATGGAAAAAGCTGCTTTTTGACAGATGCCCGGGTACGATAAGAAATTAAGGAGGAGGTGAGTCTGCTTGAAAAGGAGAAGGGGCGGCAGAGGAGGAGGTGACAGGATGGAGTCACTGGGGTGGTGAGTTTGGGCTTGGGTGGACTCCAGGGGATGGTGGAGGACAGGAGAGCCTGGAGGAATGTTGTCCATGGGGTTGTGATGGGTTGGGCACCACTTTGCGACTAAACAAAACAAAAAAGTCTCTTTGAGAGAACAGCTTCTTGGAAAGGTGAGCTCTTTCTTGGATTCCTCACCCTCCACCTGGCACAGCTCTGGTCCCACCAGAAAGCAGAAGAAAACGACTCAGCAGAACAACCGGTGCCGGTCCTTGGGCAAGCTGTGTCCAAGTCAGGAATCAAGCTTCCAAGCCAAGCAGGCAGGACTCGGACCTGCCCAGGCAAAGCCTGACCTAGAAACTTTGGCAGCTGGGATGCAGAGCCTTCTTCTGCCCCAGGGGCTGAAATCCTTGCTGGGAAAGCTCTTGCGAGCTGTGTACAAACGGAGGGCGGGACCGGGGGCGGAAAGGCACCAAAGACACCAGCCAATTCTAGCTCAAAGCTCTTTGTGCCAGTCACTCATCCTAGGAAAGGTGTCAGAACCTTTCTGAATGTACAGAGGCTTGGAAACCCTCAGAAGACTGGTGGTCCTGGAAGGGGAGGCAGGACCGGGAGGAAAATGGTTGGACCATCTTCGCAGTCACGCGTGGTTGAGTTCCCTTTGCTCCTGGAAGGGCTGCCTTGGCATCAACTCCACTTGTGTCCCAATCAGCCTCTCGAGGGTGCGTGGTCCCCAGCGCTGAATTTACCGGTGTGTGCTCTTCTCATTGCCGTGTGCAATCAATCAATCAATCAATTCTTTATTTGGTCATTGATCAGCCAACAAGTAAAACCCAATATCACCATTAGTTACAAATAAGAAAAATACAGTACTAATAAAATTGCAATAATTAAGATAAGAAAGTAAAAGCATTCTAGTAGAAACTAACAACGTTTGTGGTTAATTCTACCATGCACTGTACAAACTGCCGAACAGTATTTGGCTGTAGTCAAGGAGATAAAATTGGATTGATTGGATAAAGGTAACTTAAGATAAAAAGATTTGGAGTAACTGGGATATTTAGGAAGGAGTGGGAATAACAGTTCCTGGCCAGCTCCTGTAGAGAGAGGGCAGTAAAGAATATCATGCTCTGGTGATTCAGTTGTTTCTCCCCCACATGGAGAAACAAGGCTCTGTTCAGGGGGGATTTTTCCCTCTGTAATGGCTGTGTGTACAATGAGATCCTGGCTTCTCCCTTGGAGCAGACGGACCATCCAGGCCCCTGGACCCTGCTCGAGGGCCTGCGCCCCAGGGTCCTAGAGCCCCCTCCACACACCCTGCTGCTTCCTTGTGGATTTGCAGTCAAGGTGTCCGTGGGCGCGGGACTAGGCCAGTTGGCCTCTGCAGTCAGGCTGCAGTTTCCCGATTTCCCAAATGCTCAGCCGTGCTGCTGTGTCAGCACAGGCCGGGGGTCTTCCTGTACCCAAACCCTCTCTGTTCCGTACTTCCGTGCCCCAGCTGCTAAGAGTGAAGAATGTGCAAAGCAGCTGAGGATGGCCTTGTTCCCTGGAAGATCGCGTGCTCGGGCTATCAAAACACACAAAATAAAAGGCAAGAGAACTAGGTTATCCTCTCGGTGGTTTTTCCGAGAGCGTTTCGGCTCAGCCAGGAGGGCGATTGGCTTTCCCCACTCCTCCTCCAAGTGACTCATCCTTGCTGCAAACCTGAGCGAGTCAGAAGGGGCCTCTGGAACCATGTGCACCGTCATCCATGTTTATTTCGTCCCTCTGCCGCCTCACCCCGGAAGCTTCCTCATGTCTGGACCCAGCACTTTGCCGCTGCTCCCCATGGGCTGCCCGGGTCGTCCTTGGGTAGCAGCGTGGGGAAAACACTACCCGTTGCCTCGCATCGCGGCCCGTCACCCGAGTGACCGCGTGGTTCTTCCCCAGCAGGTCCGGGATGGTCCGGCGGTCCGGCAGCACGAGTCCGCTCAGCTTCGCGAAGGCCAGCCCCTCGCCTCCCTTCAGTGCTGGGGAGCATGGAGCCTGCCGCAGGTTCTCCTTTGGCGGTGCGAAGCCCTACACGCCGTCCCCGCAAGGTAAATGGCTGTGTCGTTCCCTTCTGGCACAGAGATGGGAATCCTGGGTCGCCGGCAGTGCCTGGACATTCCCTTAGCAGCCTGGGAGCCTGCGTGGGATTCCGCACGTCTGTTTCTCTTTCCCAGTCTGCCTGCGAAGGACGAAGGCAGTTGCAGCCACGTTAGATCAGGGACTCTGGTTTGGAACTGTCCTTCACCGTGCTCGGGGTTAGATGCTCCTGCTGCTTTTCAGTATGGGTGGGAAGTCAGTGGCCTGCCAGATGCTGTGGGACTCCAGTTCCCATCAGCCCTGCTCAGCATGGGCAGTGGGTATGGGAGCTGAGGTCCATCCCTGCTCTCTAGGGTTGAGTCACCAACACCGACAGAATTGAAAGGCAAATTTATCTCAAGCTTGTGTGATCTTTGCATGTAGGGGCTTAGCTTCAGTTCCTGGCGTCTCCAGTTAAAAGTATTTCAGGTTCAGGGCTTGGAGAGGAACTGCTGTGGAGAAGAAATGGCTAGTCAATGGCTGCTAGTCCTCATGGCTAAATGCCACCTCCAGTATCAGAGGCATTGTTGCTGGGGAACATGGGCAGGAGGGTTGTCCGGCTTGCGGGATCCTGTGAGCAGCTGGTTGGCAACTGTGAACAGAATACTGACCCAGAGGGACCTTTGGTCTGATGAGCAGATAGATGGATACACACGAACAGACCCTGCTTTTCTAAAGCTACAGAGCTTAGATGCCTGATTCATCTCGAGTAGCTTTATATATTCTCGGGACAGCAGAAAGTTCTTGAGAGCCTCCGAGTGCAGCTTTGCATGCAAGATTAATCCTCTCCCAGCCACCCTTCTTGCTTCTCATTTGAATGCCCAGCCATTTATCAAATGGGGTACCTCTCTGCTATAAGGAAATTTAATTACCCAGGACCTTGTAATTTATTGACTTCTCTGTCTCTCTCGTCTTCTCTTTTGAAAGTTGGAACAATTCCAGAGCTGCCTGACAAGTCTGTAATCCCTTCTGCTCCCCTCGGAGCAGAGACGAGAAGCCGGGCCCCCATGCCTGGTATGTTTGCCTCAGGCCGACCTCCCGCCTGCCTCTTTCCCCGCTGCTCTGTCTGCATCGGGATAACCAGGGCCTCTGCCTTGCCGTTCTTCCTGCAGGTGCTCCAGTGCCTGACCCTTCCCTGAGAGGGATGGGCTCTCGCCTCCACAGCGCGCCCAACCTGTCCGACTTGCACTCCTGCCGGCAGAAGATCACCAAGCAGTACTCAGATCCTCTGGTGCCCCCTTTCAGCCCCGTCCCGGCCGGCCAGCCCGCCCAGCCCCACGGCCTGCAGCCGTGCCGCCCGCTGCGGTCCTCCCCGAAGCTCTCCGAGTTCATGCAGTGGAGCCCCTTGCCCACCATCATGGGCTCCCCCACAAAGGTACTGCCCATCCCGGGGATCTCGCCTGTAGCCTCGTCCCCGGTAGACCCGGGAGCTGTGTAGAGGGCGAAGGCTATGCATTGGTGGGAGCCAGACCACACGATGCGATAAGACCAGTCAGTGCTGGGTTTGGGGTGCTGACAGAGACCCTGGTGTGTGGGGCGGGAGAAGGTGGAAGCCAGAGGAGCAGAGCCGCTGGCTGCTTGGGCAAGTCCGGCCCACCTGGACCCCTGTGGGATCTACCAGAGTTCCCCGTGTGCCCCCTTTCTCCCGACCACCAGTGTGGTTTCTCCATTCTGAAAGGCTGACCCTAACCCCAGCCCTTCCCTAAAGCGTCACTCATGGCATGAAGTCATTGCCGCTAAAATAGACCCACCTCTTTGGCCCCGCCCCCTTTGCCTCTGGCCACACCCCCTCCTGGAAAGAGCCCCCAAGAGTCTGTCCAGGACAGAATGTGGCCCTCGGACTACAAGGAGTTCAACACACCTGTGCTGCAGGAACCCGCTGCTCTTTGCACCCGGAGGGATGCTCCCCTTTGGGCCAGAAGCAACTGCCCACCTGAAAAGCCAGGTGGGGGCGGGTGAGGGTAGCGCTGTGACAGTGAGGGTGGAGGGGAAGGGTTAATACTGCCTACACTCCACTGTCTCCATCTTGATTTGTACAGCTGTTGTAAAGTTAGCTGTTGGAATGCGTAAAGTCTTGGATGAAGCATTTTTGCCACGCATATGACTGCGCTTGAGGAATCCCTGTTCTTGCAAAGCCACCCTGAAGTCCAGCATGATGTTTCCTCAGAGTTTGCATGGAGTTTTTTCGTATCTATTAATGCCAAGATCATTCTCATTTTCATCTACCCTTCTTCTTCTTTAAATCTCTCTGCTTAGGCTATGTCACCCTTTGATTTCAACAAAACCCCCAGCTCCCAAAACCTGCTCACCCTCCTGGCCCACCAGGGCGTTGTGATCACGCCAACGAGAAACCGGACGCTGCCGGACCTGAAGGATGTGGGCCATTTCCACTGTCAGCAGGCCGGCCTCGGTCTGAAGCCCATGGAAGAAGCCAAGGGCAGGTAACGAAACGGCACTCAGTTTCACCTGGCTGGGAGCTCCCAGGACCAATGGGCACACGGCTTCCTTTGCATTAAAGCTGCCCCCTGAGGGTCGTGATCCCTTAACCAGGGAGGTGCCGCAGGCCTGCTCTGGGTCCCCTCTAATGTGACAGCTGGGAGAGCCAAGCTAATAGCCTGAGCCGGCCCGAATGACTCTATCAGTGCTTTCCATCCTCCTCTGACAACATCCTGGATTGGCCTCCACAGCCTGGTGCCCGATCTAATCTGCCGTAATAATTGTAATCCATGCTGCAATGTACTCTCTTGATGCTCGCTGATAACCAGCCGGCTCTAGATCAGCTTCCCACGTTCCCAAGAAGGAAGAACACAGGCCTGGTTGTCAGGATGCTGGACTGGTCCAGGCAACAGGCAAAAGCCCACTTCTGCGGTGGCTCTGTGTTTGGATCAGGAAAACATCTGGGTGGGCTGGAAGCCCAGCACCATTTGGCTTCCCCACAGCATTTTGCCTCGCATCAAGTGTAGAAATGAGGATGGACGTGAACATCGCAAACATTTTAGAGCAGCTTTTGCATGCTGGTTCTCTCTGGAAGGGGTGGGTCTCCAGGATGCAGGAAAGTCAAGTCTTGGTTACCCCCGTTCTGGAAAGTTCTGCCGTTGCTCTTTGCCAGCGAGGGCCCAGCACCTGTAATGAGTGGTAGCACGAGGCTCGCCGGTTAGTTATTAACCCAGATCCACCGTGTGGTGTGGGAGGGCTGCAGCCCACGAACTCCTCTCTCTCTCCCCCTTGAAACGGAGCCTTGCCTAGCGGAAGAGTCCACTTCAGGGTCCTCTTGCAGACCTGCTCCCCAGAGGGTTGAAAAAGAGCTCCATTTTAAGCATCCAAATCTCCTTCCACCGTCAAGTTAGCAGAGTGCAAGGGATGCACTGCTCCAGCCGCTAAGGAGGATCCGGAGACTTCCTGGCCTGCAGCCCCGACCTTGCATAAAGAGAACGCACTCTGGCTGCAGCCAGTCCACCTGCTCGCCACGTCGCTGCACTGCTCCAATATGCCATTTCTGGTTTCATCCTGTCTGCAGGTCGCTCAGCACTGGCCGCCTCACGGATCTGCTCCTGAAGGCTGCGTTCGGGGATGCTGGCAGCAGCGACAGCTTGAACCATGAGAAACCCATGGAGGTCACAGGTATGGGAAGCCGGAAAGGCCGGGCTTTGCTGGTGCTGCTCTGCTCTTCCTCCCGAATCCCCTGGGCACCTGTTTTTCGTGGCTTTGCTGTGCAGCCCCTCTTTCCGCTTAGTCTGAGCTGCTCGTCTTGGGCGTTCTTTCCCTGCAGCATCTCCCGCTGCCTGTGGAGGAAGCCTGCCCCCAGGGGCCGGGGAGGGCGGCTCAGCCAGCCCCTCTCCCGTGGTCTTCACTGTTGGATCCCCTCCCAGTGGGACGACACCGCCACAGACCACCAGGACTAGAATGTTTTCAGGTAACGAGGCTGCCTCACCATCTTGATAGGAATGTCCGGAAGGGATTTGGAGCTGGCCAGGGGAATGCCCACCGGGCGAGGGGGTGGCTCAGTGGCAGGGCACCTGCTCGGCATACGGAGGGTTGCCGGTTCGGCCCCCGGCTTCTCCAGGTGGAGGTCGTGCCCAAAACCCTGGAGAGCCACTGCTGCCACCCATGTCATCAGTGCTGTGGAACACCATGACTGCCCTCTCCACACACGCACATGCACACACACACATACACACAACTGACTTGGGGCAGCCACTGCTGCCTGTGCAGCTCTTGAGCCACCTTAGTACCACCGACATCAGCACAGCCATGATGGGTTTCTGGCAGAGGCTCAGCCTGGACTTTCCTTTGGGGCTTAGTCAAGATGCCGGAGGATTAAAGGAGAGCTGACATTGGGGTGCTCCAAAAATTAAGTAGTGGGGGATAGCAAGCAGTTTTCCTTGGGCGGCTTTAGATTTCGCATCAAGATGGCTTTGGCGGCTTTTGTAGCTGCATATAATTACCGTTGATTTTTTTCTGTAGTGGGATATTCTAGCACCCTGAACTCTGGAGGATCTTTTAGTGGCCGGCACTTCATCATGGGAGCCGGTGGGGATGTCCTAGAAGCCCCCGTGGGCCTCCGATACGCTTTTGCTGATCCCGTTGCTGCCAACCTGGAAGGAGCTGTTACTTTCGAGGCACCTGAACTGCCGGAAGAGACGCTCATGGAAGTGAGTGGCTTTCCCTTGCCCCTGCCGCACACACAAAGCTGAATTTCAAAACAGTGAAAAATTAGATTTGCTTGTATCCAGCACACTTGCGTATATCTCACACATTGCTGGGATTGTCAGGTGAGGACTGGGTGCAATGCCTGGTGTGGAACTTTAGCTTCCCAGGTTTCCTCAAAAAAGGAAATTCAGGTTTCTAGTCCTGCTGATGATCGGCAGTAAACTGCAGCCATATGTATTAATGTCTCTTTCCTTCTAGGGTTGGTTGGTTGGTTGGTTTTGCTGCCGGCTATATGGCTTGGCTCAGGAGGATGGAACTCCCACCCATGTCGGTGTGCAGGGGGATTCTTTGCTTTTCCCTAATCCCTTTTGACTCACCGCTGCCAGCTTCCCACCCATGTCAATTCGATGCAAATTGAATGAAACCCTTGGCAACCTCCACCTTCTTCGCATTCTTGATAGTTGAGTCGGGCTAGCAGTTTGTGGCAAGAGCAGAGGGAGGGGAGGGGGTGGAGTGGAAGGAAACGAGGCCACCGTTCCGTCTTTATTCAGAATCTCTGTACTTTCTAAAGAGCCGCATACACATCAGCGAGGGACACGTCTCAAGTCCAAAGAACAGGTTGCTAATTTTGGAACGCCAAGTAGACTAGCAAGTTACAGCTGGTGCAGATTTGGCAGCCACAGGATTCTCTTTTCCCCTGCTGAGGCTTTCCAGCCCAGAGCGACATCGGGAGCCATGGAAACATGTGCTCCTGTCTCCTGTCTGCCTGTCTCCTCCTCAGGAGTGAAGCCCTCCTACCTTTCTTGGCAAAGGATGCAACTTTCATTCTACGATCAAATTGGCCACTGGCCTTACTCTTCCTTTTCTGTTCTCCTGATAACTGTCCGGTAGCAAAGGCAGGTGGCTTGTGGCCTCCTAAAGATGCACACATTTATCATGACAAAGGCTTGAAGGCTGCAGCCCTCGAGCGGGATTTTGGCTCCCTGTGAATTAGCCTCCCTGCCAGCCAGCCAGCCTGCATCGGGATCCTTTGCATCACCCCTGTTGTCTCCTGGTTGCAGCAAGAACACACCGACATCCTGCGCAGCTTGCGGTTCACCCTGGCCTTCGCCCATTACGTGATGGAGATCGCGGCCATGAAGGGCAGCCCCAGCGAGATGACCAGCTCCGTGGCCTCCGAGTACCAGCTCCAGGAGAGCGTTGTGGCCGACCAGATCAGCCTGCTGAGCAAGGAATGGAGGTGAGCCACAGGGGGAGCCCCGGCCAGCTGCCTGCGCCCGCGTCCCGCGACGGGTCCAGGTGTGCCGCGTAAGGCCGGGTGTGTAGCTGCTCCACTCACCTGCCGCTGTGCTTTCTCCACAGCTACGCGGAGCAGCTGGTCCTGTACCTGAAGGTGGCGGAGCTGCTTTCCTCGTGCCTGCAGATGGCCATAGAGCAAATCCGGGCCGGCAAGCTGTGTCTCTCCTCCACCGTCAAGCAGAGTAAGCGCTCAGCCACACGCAGGGGCAGCGACTCCTGATTTTCTCACCCCGGAGAACTGCCCCTTGGATGCTCTTGCAGGGGCTGGGGGGAAGGGGATTCCGGGAGATCCGCACCCTTCTTCCTTCTCAAGAAAGCTGTTCTCACTCGGGAAGGTTGCAGGTCTTGCTCAGGAATGGTTGCATTGGGTGACGGCGTTGCTTGTCACCATGTCCCAGATTGGCTCACGGCTCCTACTTCCCCAGATGCCAGGAAGTTGCATAGCATCCCCCTGGTCGTTGCTTCCCTTGTGAGGATTGTTTTGCAGAACGCGCCCTGGTTCTAAATGCTTGTGCTGCTCAGACAAAAGGCAAGCAAGCGTGTGACATGAATCCTCAAGCAACTGCAGTGCATGTTCCCCCTCCCCCCCAGCTGATGGGGTGCACTTTTCAGTCGAGCCCCAGGGTTTTGAAGGCCTTGGATTCTGGCCGCTGCCTGCTCTGAACTTCTGGGCTGTACAGGAGCCTGGAGAAAGAAGAGAAGCAATGGGCAGATCTGCCTCACAGTCCTCAAACAGTTCAGGAGTAGTTGTGCCCTCCAGGTTTTGGAGAGCTTCTGGCAAAGACACCTCCTGCTTCTCAGCCTCCTCACTAAACTGCAAATCATAGAATTCAGTGCACAAGGACGGAGAGAATCCCTGGCACTCCAGCAGGGGCAAAGCAACAATCTCTGCAGTGTAGGAATCGCCTAAGCAAACGGCAAAATTTTCCTGCCCTGCACACGTCGACCTGCTAGACGTAGTTCTGGAGGGCCCTGTTTGAGCCAAGAACATTGCTGGTGGCCCCATTTTCTGAGCAAGTAGGCGATCCCTTTGACCTGGAGTGTTGGAGCCTGAAAACTGAATTGCTTTCAGTAGAGGGACCACGGGAGTGAAACGCTGAGCTTGACTGCAAAGAGGAGCTTGCCCACTGCATCGCGCATGGTGTGCAAGGAGCCGCAGGCTCCGTGGGAGCGTGCTTAGGTAGGAGACTTAGGAAAGGGGATACGAAGGCGCACACTTTTGCTCTCTCCTCCCTGAGCTCCTGGGGAAGTGCCTCCCAGCAGGGAAGGGCTCCTGGGATAAGGCAGTCCTCTCCTTTCCCAACCTCTGCCTCCCATTGCAGCCCGCAGTGCTGTGGAAGCAGAGCTGGGCAAACATGTTAGGTCGGTCTGCTTCCTGTGTACCCGTTTCCCTCTGCAGCAAGGGACTACGCTCTCTGGCTTCGCGTTCTCTTGGCTCCGAAATCCAAATGCCACAGCAGGCTTCCAGATGCATTCAGCTTCCCAGTCTGGAATACACGTTGCCTGATCCAAGTGTCTCAGCACATAGCTATGTGCGGGGGATTAATGATAATTAATGTGGGCGCAACTTAATAATTACATGTTGTGCCGGAGCTGTTAATAATGCAGTCACTCAGCGAGCTGAATCACCCATTGCTTGGTGAGGGGTTGTGACGAAAGGTGGTGAAGGAAAATGGTGACCTATTAAAAGCATGGCATTTGTGCAGTCGTATTTCTTGAATTAACTTGCTTCAGAAAGCCATTTTTCGGTTTATCAAATTTACAAAGCAACCTTCACACTTCACATTGAAAATCTGCCTGCGATGTTTTAAACGCAGCAGCTGAAGTGACGCTGTTCCACGAATAAAATTAGAAATGGCTTGAGGGGTGTTTAAGCTCTGTAAATAAAAAGGTTGCCTAGAAACTTATCAGACAGGGCACTTGACATGAAAACTTTCTAGGGAAGGTATTGCATACATGGGAATATGCCACCACGGAAAACGCTCTCATTCCTACTTCACCTAAAAAGAATTCAGAGAAGGCCTTCCAGAGACCTTAGCAAATTTGTATGTATTAAATTTTTATCCTGCCTTCCGTTCAAGATGCTCAAGGCAGTGTATGTGATCCTTTTCTTCTCCAGCTCCCATTTAACCCTCACAGCAACTCTGTAAGTTAGGTTTGGCTGAGAGATACAGGGTCCATTCACACGTAACAGCGGCAGATCGTGGCTTAATTAACCTACAATTAGCTGTGCCGCACACTAGGTGTGTCCCAGTGCCATTTTGAATATTTTCTAGTCAGGGTTGCTGTGTGATGCCTGAACTCAGAGACAATAGGTTAATTTTGGGTTAAACTACCCACAGATAACCTAACTGCTCAGTGTAGCTTATCTGAGTAGCTTAACCCATAATTAACCTATAGAGTCTAGGTTCGGGTGTCCCATAGCAACTCATGCCTGGCCTAATCACAGGCTGAACATTCAAAATGGCCATGGGATGCGCCCAGCGCACACTTTGTGACAAATCATAGGCTGTTCAACCCATGATTTCCTGCCACAGCATGTAAGCAAGGTCAGTGTGGAGGTGTGACTCTGGGCCTACCCAGTTCTTGTTGGATTCTCTAGCCCAGGGCTGGAGAAGCTTTGGGCCTACAGACGTGGGGGATCCAACTCTCATTGCCCTCCCAACCAGCAAGGTTAACGGCCAGGGGTGCTGGGAATGGTAGTCAACAATATCTGGAGTGACACAGCTCCCTTCCTGCTGTGACTGCTGTTGTGCAGTGACGATACAGAAGCCGCTTCCAATGGCTGGTTTTCCAAGCTTTTCCTCCGTGCTTGGTGAAATATCGGCCAGTCTGTTGAAATGCCGGACTCGAGTGTCTCCATCCAAGGCCGGGAAAGCCCTTGCTAAACATGCTGCTGAGAGGGAGGGCGATGGAGCAGGTGGGACAACCAGCAGTGTGTGGCTGAGGAGTGGCATGAGATGGAGGGGCTGCAGCCTGGCACGGGGGGCTCACCCGCTTCGCTCCTCTTGGCCAGTTGTGAAGAAGCTCAACGATCTCTACAAGTCCAGCGTGTCCTCCTGCCACTGCCTGAACCTGAGGCTGCAGAGATGGTTCTTGGACAAGCAGAAGCTGATGGATCGCATCAACAGCATCACAGCGGAGAAGCTCATCTTCAGCCACGCCGTGCAAATGGTAGGGAAGGCTCTTCCGGCTCCCGTGGGCTCCCTCTCCCTCCCTGCACTGTGTGTGGTGCTCGAGTGTGGTGGCATTTGCGGAGTCGTAGGGGGAAACGCAGCAGCACCCAACCGCCAGCTCCCCGTGGGGAGGGCATGCAGACCTGGAGAGGATGCTGGCAGAAGGTCATCAGTGCCCTCCTCGATCTTCAGCCATTGGGCACTTATGGGGCTTCCAAAGAGAAAGGGGAGTGCACCACCCTCTGGGGCAAAGGACTTGTGTGGGGCACGTCCCCTCGGTGGGGCAGAGGCCTCTAGCTCAGTAACACATTCGTTCGTTCGTTCGTTCATTCATTCATTCATTCATTTATTTTAAAATATTTCTGTGCCGCCCCCATCGCAACAAAGCCTCGGGGCGGCTCACAAAGGATACATAAATACATAAATAACAACAATATAACAATTTTTAAAAAATGGTTTAAAAACCTTCTGGCAACGCATCCCATGGTAGGAGGCCCAGCTGCACTCCTGGGCAACTCCAGGGGCCTGGTAGCCAGGAAAGACCTCTCCTTGCAGCCCTGAGGACGGCTGGCGGTTGGACCACACTGTTCCACCCTCTGGTTTGCCTTCAGGGGGGTTGCTCTGCCTCAGGGTCCTCTGGAAGGTGGCACATCCAGGATGCATGTATTTTAGGGATGCTCCACCTTTCTGCTGAAACGTGGGGGTGGAGGCAGCTGAACGCCAAGGGCCCAGAAAAGCCTCAACCGGTGCATTCCAGGCTGGAAAGATTCCCCAGATGTTCTGAGCAAGACTGGTGGTGCTGGTGGGCTTGTCCCCCATCTTCAGCCAGCCACGCCCCTCAATTCAGGTTGTCCTCGGCCTCCTTTCTAGCTGCCATCCTAGATCCAAGTCTTAAATTTTACTCCTTTCCGAGGTCCAAAGTCTAGGGGGGGGGGGACTTCCTTGGAACACTCCACAGTATCAGACTCTGCTTTTGGAAGGTTCCACTGCTCATTTTCTGGCCTAAGCAATGGAGAACATGTGTAAGGGATGCTGCCCTGGTTGAGCACGGACAGCGGATGCCTCCCATGATGAGGATGGGTCGGCACCTAGCCATTCTTCGGGCACCTGCAGCTGTCTTGAGTGCAGGATGGGGCCCGTCTTCGCCTGCCGGTGAATCCAGTGCACCAAGAAGACACCCAGCAGCAGCAGCAGCAGCAGCAGGATGACCTGTGAAGGTGTCTGTCTCTCTCCCTCTCTCCAGGTTCAAGCGGCAGCACTGGACGAGATGTTCCATCACCGGGAAGACTGTGTGCAGAGATACCACAAGGCACTGCTGCTGATGGAGGGACTCCTGAACGTCATCACGGAGCAAGGGGACATCGAGAACATCAATAAATGTAAGGGCCACACCTGCTTGGTCTCAGCAAGGTCCTCCCCAGGAGAGGCCAGGCCAAACCGCTGTCCCACAGACAAAGTTAGAGAAGTCTATTTACCCCCGCTGGCTTGGGGCTTCGTTGTTGCTTTGGGTTTCTCCTTGTGTCGCTTGAGTGTCCCAGTGCCAGGCCCTCTACATGATTACTCGGAGGTAAGCCTCTTGGGTTCAAGGGGCTTACTCCCAAGTTAAGAGACACAAGGATTTTGACCTAACCGTGTATTTCTAAGGCAAGGTTGTGGGTACCATTTCAGAAGAGGCGCTCTCTCCCGCCGGAGGAGGCTGGGATGCCTTTTCTAGGAGGAAACCTGCTTTGCATGTCTCGTTCCTTGAAAACTGTTGTTCAGCCTATTCATTGATGAACGGACTAAGATTTCTTTATTGGGTGGCCCTGGGACTTCTGGCAACAGGTGGAATCCAAGCGGTGGATTTTGCTGCTGTTCCAGATACGTCACCTGAGGTTGGGGGTCCACCCTGCCTCATGGGAGGGCTGGCCCTGCTTTGGCACATACAGCATGATCATGATCACACTGCATTTATTTCCCACCTTTTTCCTCTTGCAAGGAACCCAACTTAGAATGGTTTAAAGCCGGAAGGTTTCTAAAAAGTCTGAGTGGGTGTTAGAAAGGAGAAAAACACAGAATAGGGACTCCACAAAGCTTTTGTGGAATCTGGAAGCCTCTTTTGTTTTCTTATCATTGGCTAAAGAGCCAGCTTACATGTTCATGGCTTTTTAAAGGCAGCCTGCCAAAACCTGGTACCCTCCAGGTGTGCTGGACTGTACCTTGCATTATTCTGAGTCCATTTCAGAAATCTTCTAGCTAAAGGAGAATGCAGGGGAAGCAGGACATGAGCAAGAGGTGGGGGCCAAGGAGAAAGTCCAGGGAAACCTGTTCTTCTAAATTCAGAAGCAAAATCAGATCTTGTTGCTGCGAAATGCAGAGCATTTTGGCAAGTATGTAAGGTTATTGGTCACGGCATTTCAACTTGTAATATGTAATTGTTCAGCTTACACACACACACACACACACGTTATCAATACTGCAATTGCTGCAGTGAGGAGGAATGGCAAAAAAACTCCTCTTCCACATGCATTTTTCTTGCTCCAGGTAAAGTCTGTGTCGAACGCAGGTTATCGGCCTTGCTTTCAGGGATCTGTGCATGAAGAAAGCCGGCGTGCTGGTCCTGCAGGTGGATTCCCCCTTCCATCTCTGACGTGCCTGCCAGCAAGAAGACGAAACCTGTTCCAGCAGGCCCCCGTGGCGACAGATCCCTTGGATGGCTCCGACGGGTTCCCTCTTCGGCATGATTCAAGGAGACCTTCCCCCAGTTTGGAGCGCCAACCTCTCCCCTGCCTCCCTCCTCAGGGACACGAGCAGGGACGGCCGCAGTCCTTTTGCCGCAATACAAACTGAGGAGAAAGCAGAGGACCAGTCAGGGAAGGCCTGCGTTTTACTTCCCTGGATGATACTTCCTTGTGCATGATGTGCATTTTTGGAGGAAAGGACCGCCACCCGACCAGCGTTGTCCCAAGAGCTGGAGACACGACACGCTTCCCTGCTGGCAGTGGATCTACTGGGTGCTCCTGCTCTCGGAGTGAAGACCCTGTCTCTTCCGGAAGGGGACGCCGTTGGTTAGGAGGAATGCCACTCTCCAGTCTAGGCCAGTCATATCCTCGACCCCATTTGCCAATAGCCAATCTCTCAGGAGCCTTCTGCAGCACTGTGTCCCCGTTCGCGCTCTCCAGCATCTGCCTAAGCCTCTCACAGCTCACTGCATGGGAAGAGAAGCAGCGGTCCTCCAGCCGTGGGGAGACGCCCCGCGCTCACCGTGGCTTGAGCAGCCGTGGCTTCTATCCCTCCGTAGCGATGTTGGAAAGAAGACTTCAGGGAGCCTCACCTGCGTGATGAACGGGGACGAGCGGGTGTTGGGGAAAGAGGCAGTTCTATGTTTACTCTGTGGACTTAGACAGAACTGTAGAAGAACCTTGCAAAGCGTCTTTAGGTAAAAGCAAATTGGAACAGGAAACAAATGGACTCCGGGCCATATTGTAGTGGCCACAAGAAGCCAAAATCCTCTAGATGGACGATTTTCTACGCCCCACGAGGGGGTCACGAAGTAGATGCATGCCTATAGCCCTTTCTTGCGAATGCGTCTGAGCTGTTTTGGGCTGTTGGCTAGATTAAATAAATTCCGTCTCCCTCTCACCCCTGGTGGGGGTGAGGATGGGAAATGAGAAAGAACACACACACACACACACACACACACACACACACACGCTTTGCGAAACAAAAGGAGCACTTTATGGACAAATTGAACTTGAACTTCCGGGCACTGAGTTATCCTGCAGTGTTCCAGAAACGTCATAACTTATAGGAATGCTGTTTTCCTCGCCTTCTACCACCTCTGGTTCCTAGTTTGCTGATATGTTGTTCTTCGTTTGTTTGGTTGTTGGGTGGTTGTTTTCTTCTTTTTTTTAAAGAAATTGCACTACAAGTGTGTACGCGTGTTTGTGCATATATATATTAATATATATTAGTAGATTTAATATGTATTAATATCTATATGAGATAATGTATAGTGTATTTGTATGTGTTTTTAACTGTACTGTATCTTATGCTTGTGAGGAGAGAAAAGAAACAATCACACAGTCCCTGTTCTCCAGGACAAGCACCACTAGCTTGAAAAGGGTCCGGCTTCAGAATTATTTGCTTTACCTTTTGCTATCTTTCATTTTGCTCTTTTACGTGGGCACACCACTAGGACTTTTGGAGAGCTCAAGGACAAGGCTTTGACGTCAGGCATGCATACAAGAGTTAGACATTCATTGTTGTCTTTTCCATTTTAGGGTTTTTTATATAAAACACATCAGTTTTCTAGCGGCCCCTTTTATCGGTTGACCATCCTCCCCTCGCCTGTATTTTTAACTAAGTAGCCAAAAAGAACGGAGGGTTGTAGGACGTGTTTCCTTCGCGCGGTTTTTGTGTGTGCGTATTTGGGCTGGGGGTGTTATGACGCTGGTCAAATGTGTGAGAGATGGACCCGAGGGCTACCTTTCCGTGTTAGTTTTGTACATGTGCGTGTCCGAGTGTGCGTGTGTGCACGTTTTTCGTTTTTTAATAGAATGGATCCAACTTACAGCAGTATTTTGTCTGTGCTAGGCTAGAAAACCTGGATTTCAGGATTAATTTTTTTCATTTTTGTTTTTAGAAGAATGGGTCATGTATATTTATTTGCACGCCATGGGCTGAGACTTCACTTATTTTCCGACCTGCTTGTGTGTACGTTCCCCTTTCCTTTTTCAAAAATATGCAAGGAGCAACCCGACTGTCTTGGAAACCAGTTTCGTGGCTTCTGGCAAGAGGTCTTCTGGTGCCAGAAAAAACACACATGATTCTGTGAAATTAAGAACCACGTTCGTGACATCAGCACAGTGGCTGTGATCTTCGCGCCCTTCTTTCAGGGCCTGCCGCTGCAGCCACTCTGTTGTGCCTCAGACGTGTGCGAAGAAGAACAGTTCGGTGGCCTAGGGAATGCCAACAGCGTGTAACAGCGCTTCATAGAGAATTGTCGGTTGTGCTTGCAGCAAGCGTGTTCCGATTTGGACTTGGCCAGTGGGAAATGGCTGTGTTCTTGGTGGCTGTGTCTGTATGGAAAGACGGCAACACAGCACAACTGGTGTCTTGCTTTTGTTCAACACTGACACACTATGACAATGTATGGGGTTCGGGAGGCCAAGTGAGCCAGTCCAGATGTTCGGGGCTGCATCTCCCATTGATTCTAGCCTGCGTGGCCAGTGTGCTGTACGACAAAACATCTGGAAGGCCACAAATAGTCCACCCCTTTGTTATACTTTGTTTCCAGTGCTGGGTCTGTTTTTACATATTCTCCAGGTCCTTTATTTTCCCCCTTGATGCGAAAGCCATGACCACTGCTCCCCACGCTGGAAATTTCAAGTGCCCCCGCTCGGTTTTGTGCCGATTGTCGATTTTATGAGTTTGAGTCATTTGTTTTCAATGTGCATCCGTTTGTATACGAGTCCAGCAACAAATTTGCAGGGAAATTGGTTTTTGGGGGCACACAGGGGTGCCCTCTTGGCTTTCTTGTCCTTGTAAAAGGAGAGGGGAAGCTCTCTTCAAAGCGAAATGGTACTTGCCACCACAGTCTTAGGAAGCCCTTAAATTACAATTAACCAGATGTTGCCCCATGAATCACGGTGCCATTTCTGTTCAGTCAAAAGACTTTCAAGTCCACGAGCCACGGTGACAGGTTGTGTAAATGCTGCTACCTGGCACGTGTACCTTGTGATTGGACTTTCAGTAGGGCTTCTATTTAATCGGGATGTGTGCACGGAAAGGAAGCACGGGAGACCGGGAATGCCGCTCCAAATCAAACTGAATCCGTGAGCCTGGCAGAGAGGAAAGCGCTTCCTTCCCTGGAGGCCAGTGTGACCTTGGCCAGGCCATGCGCTTCAACGTGGCATTCCCAATTTCCCCAAAGGCTCACCCCCCCAAGTCCGCTTGGGTGCTCTGCTTCATTTCCCCGTTCCCTGCATTTTAACTGGTGGTGGATCCCAGTGGGGGCTGCCTTCTGGACTCCCACCGTGCCACAGAGTCCCCTTGCACCCGAAGCATTGCCGGGCATCAGAAACAGCACCCATCGCCGGGCAAGCTCGCCCTCATGATGAGCACCGATGTAGCAGAAAGCTCGCCACCTCCTGGGGCCGTTGCTGCCCTCATCCCAACAAAACGTGCTTCCTGCATCCCCGAACACGGCTCATTTCCTAGCTAGCGAGACCAGTAGGTTTGCTCCCAGATCAGCAGGGGGGCCTCCCTCCTCCCCATCCCTGTAAGAACATGGCCTAAAGCCACGTGTTGAACGCAGCTGTAGCATTTGGCCAGCTCCGCACGGACTTTCTAGCTGTACTTAGTTACTTGAATGTATCACAGTTGTCCCACATCCGACCCAGTCATTGCTCCAAAAAAGAATAGATGCTATACGGTTTACAGAACTTCAACCTATAAATATAATCTCAATACTTGAAATATAGCCACTGTGCTTGGATGAAAAAATAAGACAAGGAATATTTGCCATTGTGTTGGCATTTTTTATTCTATTTTATTTTCCCCCAATCTAACTGCATGTAGCATGAAACGTTGGGCCTTTTTTTTTTTTTGGTGGAAAGCTAGTATATTTATTGCTTTGTAAAGTAAACAATAGAAAAGTTTGAAAAACGAGGAGGTGGGGAAAAGAAATCCAAGCGGAAGTGGCTATTCTAATCTATTCACTATTGTTCAATGGATTTGTTACTGTTTCAGCGTTTTGTATGTAGTGTCTTAAACTAGATTTCAAGAAACCTCAACCTATTAATGTGTATGTTGACAGTCGTGAGAGAGCTGTTCCGTCTCCACATGGTTATGCTTGATAACTGTCATTTTTAAAAAAGAAAAGACGATGTGTCATGTGTTTTCATTTTTGTTCTTGCTTTAAATTGTATAACGCTGACTTAAGGAAATAAATTGATTTGTAATTGTTGTTTCTTCCTACGCTCTTCTTCAGAGGTCACTGTCATGGCCCTCTGCTGTTTCAGAGCTGGAAATGGTAGCTGGGCAGATGGGGACACCTGTTCGCATGGCTTTTCTCCCTCGGGGCCACGGGGCCAAGGCGTGTGGGCTTGGAGTCCGTGCTGGCTGCGGGGTTTGGGGGGATCATGGGCAAGGCGTTCTCATCCACCAGCGAGTCTCCTTCGTCGCTTCCTCATCCTTTCTCATCGGTTGCTTGCTGTGATGGATCAAGTCACTCTCTGGTGGGCCAGAGCAAGGTGGAAGCAAAGAAGCAGGTGGCAGAGGTGAAGAGGCAGGTTTGTGGGCCCCTCCTGGGGGGAGAGGCCTTGGCTGTCTGTCCATCCGTCTGTCCATCCATCTATCGATTGATTGCATCTGTATGCTGCCGCATAGCCAAAGGCTTTCTGGGCAGCTCACAGTGCAATATAAAGATATTTAGAAAACAGAGAGAAATAAATAATGATAAACCATCATAAAATTAAAATCCAATATAAATACAACCATATAAATAGGTTGCATTTATATTACGGTTGCCCGGCTATGCCTCTCCTTGGCACCCCCTTAATGATGCGGTCTTAATGGTCAGAGCCAACCGAGCCTCCCTACCGTTGGAAGTGCATGGCTGTGGTGCCACCACGGCAAAGGCGCTGTCCTGCCAGTGTATGCAAGAGGTTCTCTGGGGCGGATCAAACATTCGGGACCATGCAGTTGAGATCTGGGGGTTGCCTGCCTTGGCCCGTGGTTCTCTGGGTGAAGCAGCAAGACTGCTTTATTTCAAAAGGCACACGGGAGCTTGTAACACCATTTCTGAGTGCTTTCTTCTTCTGAGGCTGGCTTTGCCTGCGTTTGCGTTATTTTTCGGTCCTCTTTGTTCTGATGCCGTCATTTGCCTGTGAACTGCATGCAGGACCGTGTAGGTCAAAACACAGCAAGCTGGAAAAAGGCCAGATGGAAAAAAGCAGGCCAGCCGTGGCCGCTTCAGTTTTCAGGGTCCAAGAATGGCCTGCCATTGTGCAGCCGGGGTTTTAAAATTCCCCAGTCTTTTCTGGGAGAATTGCAGGAAGTGATTCTTCCTGCTCGTACATATGCGTATAAGAGGGATCAGGCTTAACGAACCCTCTCCCCTTATTCTGAACTGCACTGGGGAGGGTTGAATGTTGCTATTTTTAGCAGTCCTTGACGTCAGACTTCTTTTAAACGTTCATGATTTATCTTGTAATGCATCAACTACAGCCAGCTTTGCTGTGTGGTGGGAGGAAGGTGAGAATGATGCTGCAGGAAGGGTTTCAAACACAATGACCCTCGCAGGGGTACACACGCACGCACGCACACTTTTTCCTGTTTGTTTCAGCTGGCAAAATACCCTGAGAGCCAAGGGCACCAGCCCAAACCTTTTAACCCAAATCTCCTTGGCCTTACAGTTTTGTTTTGGATTGCTTGTGGATTTTGCTAAATTTGGCAACCCCCCAATCTGTTGCCGCCGAGAACCATTCGGGCTAAGCAGGCGACGCCAGCATGGGTGGGACGGAAGCCTGACGAAGAAGGATGCCAGTCTTGAGTATCCTAATTTTAGCTTGTATGTCAATAGGACGTGCATTGATGGGGTGCAGAGTGTGGGAAAGCATCGCCCAAAGGAGTTTTGACTGCAGACTCGCTTCTACCTCACAAGCCAAAGGATGACAGGAGCCTGTCCAAAGTGGTGCCGGTCTTTTTAGCCCTGGGTTCTAATGTGCGCCAGGCAGAAAGCTTCCAGGTCAAGCTTAGCACATGCTCCAAAGGGACCTCTTTGCAATCTCCCTGCACCAATTGCTACCTCCAATTGCTCCAGGGATGCTTTGGGCTGAAGGTGAGGAGCTTTGGGGCTCCCTTAAGGAAGGAGGGTAGGATCAGGGCTGGGCCCAGCTCCAGGTTCTTGAGGCCCCTGGGCAAGGCTTCCTCCAGAGGCCCCTTCCTCTTGCAGTCCATGTTCTCACCTCCATAATCGCCTTCCTCCATGGCTTGTTGCCTGGAGCAGAAGGAGAGGCAGGGAAGAAGCCAGCTGCAATGCAGGAGAGAAGGAACACCTCCAGCAGAATGCAGAACCTCAGCAAGCGCCTGATTACACCTCTTAAAGCCAGCCCTGGATGGGATGAAATGAATCTATAAACTCACGCAGAAGAGACTGGAGAGACACATACAGGGAAGGGTGCCTGAATTTCTGTCCTCTGTTATGTGCATCCCGTTTCTTTCCTTTTTGCAGGAGATCTTCCCAGCTGCATAGGAGGGTGAGGAGGCAGAAACGATCGGGGGAAATGCTGTTCCGTAGTCCATGATCCAACATGTCTGTCTGTGTTTTGCGAACATCTTGAAAAATGTTGACTTTAGCCATTCAGAAGAGCAATCCTGAAACTGGAAGTAAATTTATCACCTCTACCAGCACATTATTATTACTGTCACTAATATTTTTTCCTGGCAGCACTAAGAAGGCAAACATGAAAGCTGCGCAAGGTCACAGAGCTGCCATTTGCATTCAGGCCCAATGCTTTGGAGAAGCTCTAGCTGTGCTACTCAAGCCAATTCTTGCTCGCTACAGAAATAATTTTCTCCCTTCTAAAGGTGGGTAGGGCTTACATATCCTGTAACCACTAGGTAACATTACTCTATGTGGCTTCTACTGACTGTTTAACTTAGGGCCCACCTAGAATTAATCTCTGGGCCAAATTTTAATCGAATGACCGGTAGGCTTCCCTTTATTCTGTTCTCTGCCTCACACCAGATTGGTGCTGTGCTCCAAGTAACTACTGGATGTTACGTGGGTGCCCATGTTTTGAAAAAGCACTATAAAATGTGTTGTAAGCCGCCCCGAGGCTTCGGCAAGGGGCGGCATAGAAATATAATAATAATAATAATAATAATAATAATAATAATAAAATGGGTGCTCAGCCATATCTGTGGCTTTGCTCCATTAGTCCTCAGGGCAACCTGATCACCCCTTAAGTGCCTAGCAGAATTGGGTTGAATGAAGGCTGTGATCCTATACATGCACTGAATTCTGGGGTTACTTCTGAGCGGGCATGCCAAGGATGATGCGGTCAGCCTGCACAGCCCTCCACCCAGCCTGCCTGTCCCAGGACCGTTACAATATCCCACCTGCGGCTTTGGGGCTTTAGGATTTCGCGGGTGGTCCTCGTTGTCTTTCTGTGACTTCGGGTTCTGACGGATGGGCGCTCTCTGCTGCCCTCTGCTGCCCTGTTGAGGCAACTTTGGGAAAGGAGACGCACCCAGAAGAGCCTTCAGGTGCCTCCACAGGGTGAGAACATCCTGAGCTTTCTTGGCCTCGTGCGCACCGTGCGCTCGAGCCCCACAGCTTCTGGGGGCTCCTGCTGCGATCGGCCTCTGCTTTTCTGCCTCGGCCGCAGCGCTGCCCAACACTGCATTTAAGGAGCCCACAGCCTGGCCTCCTCCACCAGCCCAGGCAACCTTCCTCCAAAGCCGGTGCCTTCCAGATGCTTTGAATGACACCTCCATTGTCTTGGGTCTTTGGCTGCGCTGGCTGAGGCTGGTGGAAATTATAACTTTGGAGAGCATCAGGCTGGGGGAAGGCTGATGGGTGATGGGCAAGACCTGGGCCCAGCTCAGGGCAACTGATTAAAGACCCAGCAGGATGGGAGCGGAGCAAAAGCGTCGTCCTGCTGAGAAGATTAGCCTGCACTGATCTACCTATGACACAGGCTGCAATTAGAATGAAAGAAGCGAACTCCCAGCATTTCAAGCAGAATTGAGATTAGGGGAGAGAACTGCCTAAGCACTGGGCCTGCTGTTTTATACGAGGGCAGCGGCTTTTTTAGGCAAGTTTCGGGGGGGCAATAAAATTGGAAAGCAGCATGCAGAGTCTACCTGTCTGGCCTAAGCGAGGAGGGTGCCCATCAAATTCAGTCAGTGGTGAAATTGGCCTCGTGGAACCACTGCGTCGAGGGAGCCCGTGACTTCCGAGTCTGCCACACCAAGGGACACATTCATGCTTCACAGGCAGGTGTTTTGTGCTGAATCTCCAGTCTGGAAATGTGCCAGAGCATGAATTGTCCAGTTCCAAGTGGGCTCGAAAAGCAACGCCACGGGTCTCAAGGGAGACGGCCATATCCACCCCTCCAAGTGCTCCGAGGAAGCCAAAGTGGTTTGATTGGCAATTCCAGCTGAAGTAGAAACCTGCAGGTGATAAGGTAGACGCGTCTTGGCTGGCAAGTATTCTGGTGCTGGGCTGGGTACCCGTAGGCATGTGCAGGGTTTCTTTACCTCCACAAGAAAGTGGGTTTTCACAGAGGTCTACAAAGGTGCTCCCCGATAGAACTCCTTTCCTTTGCATGAGAATCAGCAATGCCATGAAAGTGTTGAACATGAGACCTGAGAACTGAGACCCCAAACCTGCAGGTAGCTGTGTGTATCCAAACAAGGAGCCACAAGGCTGTCTATTTTTCATCTCCACCTGGAACAGGGCTTTTGTAAAGCAGAGGGATCTTCGATGCCCATGAAAAGCCAAGGCACCCCCTCAAATGCCATGCATTGCAACATAGAACAGTACCTTGTTACTGGGAAACTCCATTTCCCACCAGCTGTGTGGGGATTGTGGCTAAACTCGGAAGAGGGAAGTCTTGCGGGGAGGGTGTGACATCCCTGTTCATAAAGAAGTGGCTTTATGAGCAGCATTGTCCAAGCAGAGATCTGCTCTCTGTGGGGTGTCCCCCTTACAGAATCAATTCTCCAAAGAGGTTTGCCTGGCACCTATATTGCTATTTCTGGACAGGAGGCAGAGACCGCTTTTCATGCAGGCATTTTAGGGGTCAATCCTATGCAGGTTTAGACAGCTAAAAAACCCTACAACTCCCAACATATCCCAGCCAGCCACAGCTTGGTACTTTCCCACGAGCACTCGAAACATAGCAAATAAAATGAATTCCTAAAAGAAATAACCAAGGCCGGTTTAATTAAGGCTGGGGATGGTGGGAGTTGTAGTCCGCCACGTCCGCAGGGCTCCGGGTGTGAGGGGGTGGGCTCGTCCCCGTCATCAGCCCGAACGTTCTAGGCGAGGTGGGGGTGCCAAAAATAAAAGGTGGGAGGGCAATTCATCCGATGTGCAGATCTAAGGCGAAAATCAAATGCCAACCTTTTTTGAGGCATCCGTTTGCAAAGCGCGGGGGGCGCAGAGGAATGTGGGGGGGCAGACCAGGGAAGGGGAGTCCCCCCCCACCCGCGCGCTGCGCCTGCAACGCGCGCGCCTTTGCAGCCGGCCCGCCCGGCCGGGCCCTCCTTGGGAGGAGCGCGCGATTCCCTCCCGGCGCTTCCGCGGAAGGTTGTTCCTCGCCGGCCACCGTAGGGGAAGCGGATTCCTACCCCCCCCCCCCTCCGCCGCCGCGCCGCGCCGCCTCCTCTGCCTCACGTGGTCCCGGGTTGAGCCGCTCCAGCCGGTGGCCGCGGCGTTGGCGGTGCGGCCCCGCGCGAGCGCAGCCCCGCCGGAGCCCGCGGGAAGGGGCCTTCCTTCTGCACGGCGACGCCGCCCCTGCTCCCCGTGCTTCTTCGCACGCTCGCTCTTCTCCTCGCTGGGAAGGGGACCGTGGCTGCAGGCGGGCGGTGCGTGTCGCGGAGCCCTGGCATGCCCGTCTTCGGGGCCGGGTCGAGGCTCCTGCGGCTGGCTCCCGAGCCCCTCCAGAGAGCGGCCGGCGGCTGGTGGACGAGTGGAGTTGGCCGTGTAGGTACCATCGTCGTTAATGGCGTTGCTGCAGTGCCCGAGAGTCAAGGCTCCTATGGCCGCCGTTCGCTCCGCGGGAAGAGCGCGCCGCTGGAGCGTTTGCTTGTGCTTTCCGACGAACAGTGGTTTCCTGTGACTTGCAGCATCTCGAAACAGTGGTTCGTGCCAACCGGGCAAGATTGAAGCATGTTCTTAGATCCTGGCTTGTTCTTCCAACTGTCCTTGAACCACAGTTCACTTAGTTTGGGCATTGCAGTGGACTGTGGTTTGTTCTGGGGTGGAAATAGATGCTTCTGATGACTTCTGATACTTGTATGTGGGGAGGAGAGGGGAAGTACCCAGGGCTCGTAGCAGGAAACCGTGGCTTCCCGTTACAGGGGAACTAGCCCTCTATGTCACTTGCCCTGCCTCAATCCTAAACCTTCCCCGCTTTGCAGAACCTCTTCCAGTGTCTTTCCATGGCTGAGGACCTGAGAATCACAGCCAGCAGCCCATCCAAGATGCCGAAAAACAGGGAAGAGGAGGAGAATGGACATGAGCCGAAACGGTTCAAGGCCAGTGAGGAGAACGCTGAGGATGGGACAAAGAGGTTTCCAAAGAGGAAGATCGTGCTGCTGATGGCGTATTCGGGGAAGGGCTACCATGGGATGCAGGTGTGTCATCAGCTGTGGTGTTGATGGGGAGCTACACCCTGGTGAAATGCCATTGTGTTGTATGGGGGGGGGGGTTGAACTGGGTGTCCCCTTCCATCTGCCTCTGTGAGGTCTTGAAGTCTGGCTTCTGGGCGTGTTGGTTGCTAGTCCAGCAGATGGGCCTGAGGCCAGCATGGGGTTTGTCAGGAGGAGCTGCTCTGTAAAATGGGGCAAATCTGCAGTATGTATTATTTGTTTGCTTTCTATACCGCCCGCTGGCCAGATTGGCTCTCCGGGCAGTTTACAAGTATCCCCCTGTGACAGCCAGTGTGGCATAACGGTTTGGGAGCAGCGCTCGGGAGATCGGGGCTCAGCCGTGGAGGGCACTGGGTGACTGGGCCAGTTGCAGATTCTCAGCCTGACTCACTGGCTAGGAGTAGTCCTGCAGTTCCAGGGGGTGTTGCCAAAGGTTGTGTTACGCACACATTGATGTCCTTTGTTGATCTGGCTGATTTTTCCCTTTGGCCTTCTCTTCTTTCCCTTGCATGAGTTGGGCGGATTCGACCTCTCTAGCCTAGTGAGTGGGGAGGCGCTCCCTCTTTCTGCAGTCCTGCTCAGGATCACTTACTGAGCGTGGTTAGCCCAGTCAGCCTCATTCAACATCGCCTTCGGTGCTCAGCTCTGAGGTGGCTTTGGAATCCACCGCCTGGTCCCTTAACCACTGCTCAGTCTCCAGCTCTGCTCAGTTTTCTAAAAAGCATTTTTGCTCCTTCCAGCGCAATGTGGGGAACACCCAGTTCAAGACGATTGAGGATGACCTGGTGTCGGCCCTCATTCGTTCAGGGTGCATCCCAGAGAACCACGGCGAGGACATGAAGAAGATGTCTTTCCAGAGATGTGCCAGAACGGACAAGGTGATGTGCTTCAGCTTGGGTCTTTGTATTGTGTGGATGTAAGGGTGTAAGGGGGGGGGGGTTGGAGGGGGGGTGCAGGGGCTCTGGACACACAGTTGCACTTGCAGGCCAGCTACCTTTGGTGAACTGTGGGCCAGTGCAAATGCCAGGACGCTAGAAGGAAAGCATGTGGTATGCAAATAGCTGGGTGCCCTGCAGCCATCTTGCGGAGATTGGCTTGTTTTCCCATGTCACGTGTTTCCCTGGATTTCTGATTTCTTGGAGGGAGCCGTGAAGATCCACTCCAGGGATGGTAACATGCAGGCTGTCATCTGCCTGCCACACTTGGTGGTGGCAAATATATATGCCTTGCCAGGGAATGAAAGGGGTGTGTTGCAAGCTAAATCACACCCTTTTAGCAGTCTGTAGCTGCTATGGAATGCTAAGGGTCAAAATTGGCTTTTCAAGTGATCTACAATGGATTTTTCTGGTGTTCTGTAACAGCAACGGATGCTACTTTTTGCCTAAATACCACAATATTTTGAATTTTTTTCTGGGCCTGCAGGGGGGATGTTGGCTTGTTTGGGAGACAGAAAGTCTCCAGGCCTTCTGAATTTGCCCAGCCTTGACCTAGTCCAGTCCCCTGAAATGGGACACTCCCCACTGCAACACTTAGCTCTGCCTGAAAACTCCCAGGAGAGAAGGAACTGGTGCTGTTGTCCAGCTGCATTTCAGTGGTCAGGGATTTACTTCTGGATAACTCCAGGTTGCATATGCCTGTGCCAGTCTAACCAGGGGACTTTCCTGTATCCTGTGACTTGTCCCCTGTTCTGTTCATTGCAGCTTTCGGCAACTGCTGAGCTCCCTGAGGATCCTGTCTTAGGCTTTTGATTCAGAATTTCCGGTGGGTTTATTTCCTTCCTGCTGTCCATTTACTGGCCACCTGTTGTTAAACCGCAGGGTGTTTCCGCAGCTGGGCAGATAGTCTCTCTGAAGGTCTGGCTGATAGAAGATATCTTGAGAAAGATTAATGAGAATCTTCCTCCTCATATAAGAATTCTAGGTAAGTGTGCATATAATGGGGTCTTAGGCACGGGTCTGGATTGAGATCTCGTTCCCAGGCCTGCCCCGTCCCCCGCTCAGATAAGAGTTGCAGGGCATGGGCGAGGTGGGTCACTGGGGCACATGGGTGCTTTCCTCCATGGCATGGCAGCAATGACTGGCCCTTCCCCTTTTGGGAGCATTTCTTCCATTGCTCGTTCCGGGCAGATGGGGGGAGCCATCCCAGGCTGCTGTCCCACAGGTCAGGCTGGGAACAGGCGGAGTTGCAAGGCAGCATTCCGGTTGGGGAGGGCTGGCGAACAGAGTCATAGCAGACTTGGAAAAATGGGTTGGTTCCAATGCTCTTGTGAAGCGAATGCCTGCGGTTGATTCGGGCTCGATCCAGGCTTAGCTGCCCAGGGCGGGAAGGGCTCCATGCCAGCTGCCGGGTGTGTGGGCTTTCCTGCTCACCTCTCTGCTCCACCGCTCTTCCGGATATGAGGTTCTCCTGGCTGTGCGGCGAGGGGACTGCGAGCGATCATAGGAGGGGCACGGAAGTACGCTTCCATCGACACACTTGATCCAGCCTAACTCTGGACCCCAGTTATAACGTCGTTTGGGGGTTTTTCTTCCTCTTCAAATGTAGGGCTTAAACGAGTCACTGGAGGCTTCAACTCCAAGAACAAATGCGATGCCCGGACCTACTCGTATATGTTGCCGACATTCGCCTTCGCCCACAAAGACCGGGACCCTCAGGACAGCACCTACCACCTGAACGCGGAGACTTTGGCGGCTGTGAACAGCCTCTTGGCTTGCTACAGGGGCACTCACAACTTCCACAATTTTACCTCTCAGAAGGGGCCCAAGGACCCCAGTGCCAGGCGCTACATCATGGAGATGTATTGCGAGGCGCCCTTTGTGCGGGAAGGCCTGGAGTTCGCCGTCATCAAGGTGAAAGGGCAAAGCTTTATGATGCACCAGATCCGAAAGATGATCGGCCTGGTGGTCGCCATCATGAAAGGTTACGCCTCCGAATCCATCCTGGAAAGGAGCTGGGGAGAGGAGAAGGTGGACGTGCCCAAGGCGCCCGGGCTGGGCCTGGTGCTGGAGCGGGTCCACTTTGAGATGTACAACAAGCGCTTTGGGCACGACGGGCTCCATGAGGCCCTGGAGTGGCAAGAGGAGGAAGAGAAGGTCGCGGCCTTCAAGGAGCAACACATCTACCCCACAATCATCAGGACGGAGAAGGAGGAGAGATCCATGGCCACCTGGCTGGAAACACTCTCCAACCACGACTTCAACTCCACCGCCTCCAAGTTGCAGGGGGACAACAACGCGGCTTCAAAGGTAACGCAGGAGAAAAGTACCGCTCAAAACGGCCCTTGTCCCTGGATTGCGTTTCCCCGGGGCTCTGAGCACCCTTTGCCCTCAGTGCTCCTGCCTTTGGGTTACCTGCTCCTAACACGGTCCACCTGTTCTCCACGAAATCTTCCTGTGCACAGGAAAACAACCCGGAGCCCGGTGGCACCTTCGCAGCCTTCTGGCCCTGCTCAGCCTGGTGTCTCCAGATTTGTTAGACTGCAGCCGGTGGCCAAGCAGGCTGGGAATTATGAGACTTGCATTCCTGCACAACTGGAGGGTGGCTGAGTGCTGGGAAGGAAAGAAGCAGATATTCTTGCTAGGCTTTTCAGGGCCAGGTGAGGGTCGGGAAACAGGTTTAGACACAGAGATGGCAGAGGAGGGAGAAGTCTTGATGTTTTCAGGCCGACTGTGGGAACAAACAGGGTTTGGAAATGCAGGAACGGGCATGGGAGAGGAGTGAGATGAGCCCAGGATGGTCCCTGAAGCAGTCTTTTGGTTTCTGTGCTTTTAGATCAATGGCTGCACTTCACAGATTTACCTTGCTGCCGGGTTTCACCTTGTCTTTTTAAATTTTGTGCTGTGTTTAAAACTCGTTGCATTGTGTCGTGTTGCATATTATGGTTTTAATTCTTGTGAGCTGCGTGGATCAGTGCGATGAAGGAGGGAGAATAAATAGATGCTTCCAGAGTTAGAGTTAACCTTTTGGCTTAGCCCTTCCCATGCCTGTGGGAGGAGTTATCCATAATTGTGTCATCCTGAGTCAAAATGAACCCTGCTCACGGGTGGGAAGCAAGCAGATTTATGGGCTGGGATGGGCCAAGTGGCAGCAGCAGGCAGTTTAAATGATATCTCCCAACTTTCCGGACCATTGCCTGTGGTGGGTAAGGATGAAGGGGACTGAACGCCAAAGCAGCTGGAAGCCACCAGCTGTGATGGTTACAGCAGAGACCCCGACAAGCTGCTGTCACTTAGAGCGACACTGCAGCTCCAGTGGAGTGCTGCTATTATTATTGTTGATTTCTGAACCACTGCAATAGTTGAAGCTTTCTGGGCAGTTGACACCTGGATTATAGAAGGTCTGAGGCCTGGTCAAGCTTTCCAGTAGGAGGGCAGGGCAAGAACTGGGCAAGTCACGATCAAGAAGGGTAGAGGCAGCATGACGACCCGGTGGGACCACCAGCACTGACTGCCTTGTTGCCAAATGCCGCTGACTGTTGTAACCGCACCGTTCCCTTTTCAGAACGACCAGGCTGAGGGCAGTGATGGATGTGACGCCGACTCAGACTGACCCCAGATGGTTCCGGGTTGTGTTGACGTGTGCTTTAGTCCATGACAATCCAAGCATCTGCTGCCCAGTGAATCCGAGACCTCTCAAGCCCTGACTACGAGAGGAGGAAAAGCAGAGGCGGCCCTCGAAACAGGACACTTAATCCCCATGTGACTGCAGAGGGAAGGGAATTTCATCAGCGAATCATGCTTTCATTATGCTTGATAAAAGACTATTTTGTTTTTTTAAAAAATAGCTGAATAATGTTATTTTGCTACTTAAATATATGAGAGAAAATAATTATTAATCAGGCTTTCAGGGCAAGGGATTAATGGCATCTTTCCCCTATTGTATTTTTCTTGGTGGATCAAGTTTCTTGCTCTTCTTTTAGGCTTTCTTTGGCTTTGGGTTGGTCAAGGAAGAAGATGGAATTGCTCTGCCTATTCTCCAGTCTTCCAGAGGTGAAATAACACGAGAATTGATGTAAATTCTGATTGTGGCCTATCTGACTTTCTACCCCATTTCCTTTTTAAAATGACTTAATTTTCAGTTAGTGGACTTTTTAAAAAGAACCTCTCTGCTTTTTTAAATAAAATGAAATAAAAGCTTCACAGGGCATCATGCAGAAGAGTAAGCGCCATCTCTTTCTCGGGTATATGAAATAAAAGAGCTTGTGTCTGGTTGGTATGGCTCAGAAAAGATTAAGGTAGTTCCCCGGGCCATTAAAGAAAATCCTAAACCTGTGCTATCGTGGTACCCTTTATGAGGACAATTCAGTGGTCACAAAAAATGGGCATGCCTTCTCAGTCTCCGGAGAAGATCGCTGACATGCTGGGGGGGAGGTGGGCACAATCGTGGCCATCTCCCCCTCCCCAGCTTGACCGCAATGCAGAGTTTGCGACCTGCAGCAAAATTTTTATGACATTTCTGTTCGCGACCCGATTTGGTTGTGAACTGAGGTGTTTGTGAGCTGAGGTACCACTGTACTAAGTCATTTAAATCTTCATTTTTTGTCTCTGGCACATTTTGTAGTCTGAAGTAGTTAGATGCCTCGTCCATCTCCAATGTAGCCACTGAGTCCCATAATGCCTTGTTTGTCTGAGTTAAGTGTTGTATTTTGTTACTCATCTCTTTCGCCTTATCAATATTCTCAGTCTTGTCTTCCACCTCTTTTATTTTTTGTTCATTCTGCTCAGTTTTCTGTTGGATATCTGCAAATTTAGCATTTATAGCCTCAAAGTGACTGTCCAGCTTATCTCATCTTTCCTTTTGATCTGAAGTCAACTTTTCTAATTTGTCATTTTGTCCCTTTAGTTCTGTAGCCAGTTGCCGAATAGATTCTTGAATTGTTGGAAGTGTTGTTTGTATCTCCTTCTGATTTTTTTCCTGTTGAGTCATCAGATCCGATGTTTCTGATTGATTTGGGTTACCAGCAGCCGATGGAGCCATTATTAAGGAAACGGTACATCAAAGGCACGTCTAAGTGTATCGTCTAGCAAGTGAGGAGTTAATGTTCAAGCTTTTATTTTAAAGAGTCTGTCGTAAAGCATATTAGCCACACGTTGGCAGCAGAGGGCTATAGATGCATCCAAAGTCTTCGGTTCTCTTACACAATGATCGGAAATGGTCAGATCGCCGTAAGACTGAGGAAAACAACGTAAACGAACAGAAGAAACAGACTTTTTCTTCAGATGATTTACAGTAGGTTTCAAAATCTAATTCTTTGCCCTTGGGGAGATTAAAAGGATTTTTATTTTCCAACTTTTATAGTGTTAAGCCTTCTCGTTTAATCGCCCCAGTTCTGTCTCTGCTTAGAGTCTGTAGGGGGGAGATGTTCTCTGTTAAAGAAGGGCTTTTTTATCTGGATTAATGCCTGTTCCCAGCATTTCCTTTAAGGGCTCAATTCTGGAAAATAATAGTAGTCTCACCCAGTAACTCGGAACTCTGAGCTTTCCTTTCCTTTCACTGTTTGGCCAGAGCTGATGGCTAGCGAGGGGGTAGACCCCTCTCATTCCGTTCACCATGACAGCCGCCCCCAAAAGCACACCAGAGGTAGTCCGTGTCCTTTCACCACCTCTTCGGGGCAGCGATTGGGCTTTTCCAAGCCCCCTGATGAATGGATTTTGGTGCGAAGCACGGAGCTCCCGTCTTTGCTGCCGATCTTGCCGTGACATAAACCGGAAGTGCTGCCGTGTCAATTACTGTTATTGACAGATTGCTCTGCTGAGATCCTCCCAAAAGCTAATATTCTCATAATTCCTTGGACAGGCACATCCTGTGGCTTAGAAGTGCATCCTGAATATGTCTGCTTATATGAGGGTTTGTCGCTGTTGCTGCATTGTAGTGCCAGTTTTGAAAATAGTGCAGTGGACAAATAGAAGAGCGAAAAAACCACGGATGACCTCTGAAATTATGGTCGCGTTTTCTGTTTTGTCCCTGAGGTGCTCCTGTAGCCCCGTACAAACCACCCTGCCTTCTGGTTGAGCTCCTGATAGGTGGGTTGCGCCATCCGTCACTGTCATTATCCGATAATGCGGGAGTTTATTTTTTTATTTTTTTATTCGATTTATATCCTGCCTTTTTCCTTGGTATCAACCAATGGACTATATTTCCTGACCACATACTTGCAATTGGGAGGGTGGCTCTAGAAACGAGAGCCGTAGTTATACCCCCATGTACCCTTAAAAATGGTATTGCCCAATAATGGATATTCTTAGGGGCAACAGCACTCCAGACCAAGGGGGGATGTGGGGTGGGGGGTTAATTCAGTCATGGCAGCCTTGCCTGAGTGGAAGCAAATGGATGGTGCGGGGCAATGTCTTACTGGTTTGCTTTTTTCTGTTAATTAATTCTTCCCTGAATTATGAAGGAGACCTTCAGCAATTGTATGGCAGGCAGAAGTTTCATTGGTACAGCTTTCCTAGACTTGCATCTTTCTATCCATGAGGACAAGCTGAGAGAGAGAATTGAAAGCAAACCTGTAACTTGCTTAAAGGAGGCAGATAGAGATCAGCCAAGTTCTTCCAGAGACAGGTAGACGTGTTGGATTTCTGTGGACCATGGATATGTTAAAAGCCCAGGGGTCTGGTCAGAGGGGAGAGATTTCCGTAATCCACAGGTACTGTATTTGGCTTATTCCTGAGCTTGTCAACCACACCCCCCAGTGCAGTGAAGCTGCTTTGATAGGAAAATGCTCAACAGGTAGATGACAGGAAGAAATCAAAGAGATGCCCTTTTCTTTAACAGAAGAATCTGAAGCTGCTCACATGTTTGTCTTGGAAGTTGTTCTGTATTACAAAATGTGGGTCAGTGGTTTGTTGGATTTTGCTGCGCGTTGGATAAGCAGGTCGGTTGAATGGGAACTGTGTGCTAATTTTTAAAATCAAGTCTGCTTTTAGATACGTTGGTTGATGGGACCTGTTTCTGCCTTTAAGAAGCTGGGACTTTGATCTTTTTGGCTGATAAGAAGACTGGAGGAAAACACTCTTATTTGAAGGTATGTAATCTAAAAGTGTATTTTGGTTCCTCTTCATGCATAATTAAATCCACTACCACCTGGGATGTGAGAAATCCTTGCAGTGCCTTAGCCCGCCTTGCTTGTGAGCGGAGTTAATATGAAATGGGCCGTCTGTGTCTTCTTCAGGGTGGGAGAGGCATGGAGGTTCTCTTCCTGTATTTGACTAGATGGCTGATCCATGTATCAAGCCATTATGAGAAGAATTAACACAACTCTGTGGAATGTTCCTTCCAGCTTGGCGCTTTAGCTGTAATCCATTCAGGAAGAGAGGAAAGGCCTTGCTTTTAGAGAGGTTTTTACATCCAGTCTTGGTCAGATGTGTTGGTGGCCCTTCCCTTTTGGTTACTTTGGATTTATTGTGTTAATAGTCTCAGCAGAGGTTTCTGTATAAACTGTGTTTCTCAGCCCTTCATTTTTGTACTTCTGAAAGCCTGCTGATACTTCTCTCTTGTGTGTGAACGGTGTTATTTCATATGGATCTGTGCTGCTTGGATGTATCCTGGGTAGCACCATCTTGTGTGTGTACAGTGCCCTTTTGGAACGGCGTGCATGGCTTGAGTGCTGGAAATGGCAGGAATGGAAATTTACTTTGCTGGAAATAGTGGGAAGGTACTGCTCTGGAGGAATGGGAACTATGAAAGTTCCAAGTCTGCTCTGGGGAAGACAGTCTTGACGTCTTTATCCCTTGGAGCAACACCATCTGGTATTATCCAGGCAATGTAGTAATGGGTTCTTAGCATCCGTCCTTGCGCTGCTTTCCTCAGCCTTACTCCAGGGGCTCTTTAAACCCGTAGGTGCCTTGGCATTGCCTGAGGATATATTGAAACTATGCTCAATTCCCTCCCCAAGAGGACTCTTGCCTTTCTTTGGGGCCTACAATTTGAGCACACATCCATCCCTGTAATATCAAATGTAGCTCATCTTTTGCTCAGGTAAGAGTCTGAATCAGTGGGGTTTTTTTAATTTCAGTAGCTGAGCAGTTCTCAGTTTATTTAGAATGGCGGCTGCTTAATCCATAGCGAAGAAACGGTTGTGTTGCAGGGGCCGTGGGTGTCTGAGAAGCAGCGGTGGTTGGATCTCTGTCTCCAAGGAAATACGCTTTTTATAAATATGATGCTTTTTTAGCAAAAGTGAAGCATCTTGCTAATGTCAGTGGCAATAAATTAGATAAAACTGCTCTTATAAACTTACAGGAATGAAATTTGGCTACCCAGTTTTCCAGATCATGCACTTGTGGGCTTCCCTGCTTCTAAATTTCAGCCACCTTGCAAGTTTCAGGCATTGGCCGTTGTGATACAAGGATCAGGAAGTGACCTGGATTGCAATTTCTGCAATTCTGTTGGTAATGCTGTGTTCATTTACTGGGAAAAGCAACAAGGGGAGAAGGGGGGCCTCTGACCTTCGTAGGTACCATGCAATGACTTTAAACAAACCAAAGCTTGTCTTTGCCTGCAGGCTTACAATCTCGTCAACGGGATACAGAAGTAAGAAAAGTTGGTGAAGAGAAAGGATAACACACAGATTCAGGCACTAATTTAGGGGTTGGGGGGCTGCAGTGCCCCCACCCTGCATTTTACTATAGGCTGTGTTTCTCCCCAGCTGTCTACACTGCCAGAAGCGGCTGGATTCCCAACATTTCTGCTGGGAAAAAATGCATGATCCCAAACCACCAAGCCCATGGGTGGACCACATAAGGTCCACAGGTTACCTCCCCTTACCTCAGTTCTGCATAGAAGTAGTAGACAACTTGGTTTTAGTTTAGTTTTGAAGGCAGGGTTGGTTTTGTTTTTTGAAGGTAGTGGTTGTTAAATGCATGGGAAGGGCAAGGAGAGAGCAAATCTGCTCCCCAAGACTTGATGTCATGTCATTCTCTATGCGTGTCTTTAATTCCTGTTATGATATGTTAACTGTAGTTAATGCTTCTTTGTTTTGTATCTCCTTTAGGTACCTGAACTACAGCTGTTCTTAGGCTGCCAAACATCAGACAGTCCCTTTGTAAGCTGATCTTTATTGACACTTTGCAGCTACCAGGCAAACTAGCTCTAAAACCCCCCCAGCTGGTTGGAAGCTATGCCTCTTCACTTGTCAAGAAGGGTACTTGAACCCAAACTGGGGACTTCTCCCCAAAACTTTTTCCCTTTAGCAACCTTGTGGGCTTCAAGGTATAGCTCAGTCTCACACACGTTTATCCTCAGTACTGCCTAGTGCCAGAATGATGTCATCATGATTTCATTTCTGTATTGCCCCACAGCCAAACCTTCCTGGGGGGTTTACAACAATCCATAAAAATATCATAAAATCATTAAAAAAAAGTTTAAAATAAGTGCAACAAACAAGAATGAAGGATGATGTTGTAAAACTCCTGGAATAGGTAATATCAAGCCCTGAATATTAATATTCTAAAGGTTCCTTTTGTGTTAAAACCATGTTTCTGCTATATTTGCTGAAAATGGCACTGCTTGTAATGTCTAAGCTGTGCATTTTCAGGAACAGACCCTGAAAAAGAAGGCAGAAAAGTATGATTTTTGGGATGAGCACAACTGATCCTAGCTAATATAGTTCTGAACTCTGTCCTTGTATTTGATAGCTGAGAGGCCTTGAATTATTACCATCACACCTAATTTAAAATTGTCCATGCATAGTTTTGTAGCCTGGGGATGTGATTTTTACATTGCACTCAATGTAATAAAGTGGATTATATTTTTAATAGAATTATGGTGTCTGGATTTGTTTGCAGCTTTTTTTTTCTTTGCATCTTTGTTTTGTTAAGTTGTACCCTGAGGTTCCAGAGCGGGTGGAGCAAATTGGCTAACACAAGAGCCCTATATGTGTGTTCTGAGAAATAAAGCTCATTCCATTCAAAAAAAGTTTACTCCCTAGTAAGTCAGTGTAGGAAGCAGCTAAGAGCTTCAAATGAGGAAGTGCCTTGGTTGGAACGGGCAAGCCCCTCTGATACCAGGTAGTTGCACTTGTATGCACATTTTTCACTGCAGTGTGGGTCTTGCTGAACTCATTTCAGTGTAGCACAGATGGGATCAGATTACAAGCACCCACAGAACAGCTGTGAACATGTGTGTAGCTTGGGCTTTAATTTGTACGTGTTTACTAGAACAAATCCTATACAATAGATGGGCAAGGACCATTGATTCACCCTGAACATTGATGCTACTTTTCAGTTGAAGGCAGCAATCCATAAAAGCCAGCATTACAACAAAAAGTGTGAAGGGTTGTCTAGGCAGAAAAAGTCCTACAGTTCCTGTAATTGTGTGTATGTGCATGTGCGCGCACACACACACACTGCTAGAGCCATCTGGGATTTTTTTTTCTGCCTGAAACTTGTACCCAAAATGTTTTGATGTTGTGTTTATATTGGATGATGTAAAGTGCTGACCTGTGACAGCAGAGGGTTGGACCCAATGGCCTTCTTGGCCCCTTCCAAGAGTCTTCTATGATTATGCAAACTTGTTCAAATACACTGTTTCTTTCCCCATCTGAATAAAATCAAGAGCTGGAGAACGGTGGTGTCGTGGCTAGGATGTCGGGCTGGGGTTCAGAAGATTGATCCACTTCACTAGAAGCTCACTGGGTGACTTTGGGCCAGATGCTCGGCCTATCCTGCCTCACAGGATGCGAGGAGAATACGTTTCTCTCTTCTTTCGCTTTTGTATCTAAACGCTTGTAAAGAGCACACGAGAAAACGAGTGTCAATGGCGCACGCGCAGTGCAGGCCGCCTGCCCGAAGGACCCGGCGAGGGCCTTTCCGCATGCGCATTTCGCAAAGTGAAGCCGAGCATAGCAGGGGCGGACGAGAGTGCGTAAGCTCCGCGCCGGCCAAGGCTTCTGTCCCTCGCCGGCACCCGTGGAGGCGGCGGATGCTCCAGTTTGTGTTTCCTTCGCAGGCTCCGCCCCCCGTCGGCCAGTTTCCTGTCAGGAGCGAATGGCTGAGGCTGGGCCCGGCTCGGAGGGGAGGAGTGAGGCGCTGTCGTTGCGCGCCGCGGACGGACTCGGACGCTCCTTCGTGCGCGCCGCGGCTTCCTCAGGCTGAGGCGGCGTGGGGAGAAGGTACTGTCAGGGGGCCGGGGCGGGAGGCCGCGGCGGCGGGCGGCCTGAAGGAGCGGCACAGGCCCGGGGAGCGGCCCCCCGCCCGTCCCTGCGCGGGGGGAAAAGTTGACGGGGGCCGGGCCGGGCCGGGCCGGGCCGAGGAAGCCTGGCGCCTTTGCACGCGCTGCCGCGGCGTTCCGTGGACGGAGCGGCTGCTGCGCTCTTCTGCTCGGCGCTGCGCGGGGAGATCCGGAGGGAGGCAAGCCGGCCTGGCTTGGGCAGCTGCCCCGTTGCTCATCGAGAGGAAAAAGTGGCGAGGAGGAGTGCTGTTCTCCCTCTCTCCTTTTGGGACCCGTGGGGTCGTCCCGTGTAGCTGCTAGGTGGGAAATGAACTGTGCACCGTCCAACTGCGGAGTTCGCCGGCAGATGATGGAGTGATGCTCTCAGGTTGGAAGGCTTTAGGAAAGAATTGGAGGAATGCTTGGAAGAAATGACTAGCGTTGGCTACTAGGCTTGGTTTCGGGTATTATATTTATATTTTGCCTTTTATCCAACGAAGGCAGCCTCTGTGTTCCTTCTTGTTTTATTCTCGTGGCAACTCAGCGAGGTAGGCTTGGCTGAGAGCCAGTGATGGGGTCTGGGAGAACCGAAATCCAGATCTCTCGAGTCCCAGGCCAGCCTTCTGTTCATGATACTGCACTGGCATTTGGTTAAATGATAACTAAATGCCACCCTGATGGCGATAGACTGCTGCTTGGGAACATGGGAGCAAGTGTGCTCTTGGTTCATGTTATACTTGTGAGTTTTTCACGGGGAGTTTGTTCACTATTTGTGAACAAAATGCTGGACTAGTTGGACCCTTGGTCTGATCCAGCAGGAATCTTCTTATGTGCCTATTTTTTACAATAATTATAATACTTATTGTTATATTTATTTTATCTGTATTGACAGCCAACTTTTTTGGAAGATATCAGGGTGGTATATGTTGTTCTTCTCACTCACTCTTTTTACCTTCACAAGAACTGTGCAATTTAGGTCAGGCTGATGGCACACAGACGTGGCCCAGGGTAGGTTAGTGAGATTGACAGAAGAGTGTAAGGATTTGATTGGTTGTATAGCTGGCCTGTCTTTTAAAAATTTCAGGTTGCTGTCTGTGGCTTGTTCCCCTTTTTAACCACACCATAACTCATAGTGTGGTAAAATTATACAATGGCTCAGTAGGTGCCTTTTATAATTTCCAGGTCAAATGTTTGTTTAGTTTGTCAGTGAAATTTGAGCCAGAAAAGATAAATTCAACATATATGGATGAGAGACTTTTTAGAATTGATATCAAATGGGCTATTTATTTATTTAAAACATTTTTATGCTGCCCCCATCACAATGAACCTCGGGGCGGCTCACAACAGAAACAAAATACATAAACACATAAACAGATAAATAATAACAATATAACAATAAAAAATTATTTAAAAACCTATGGTGCATCTCGGCTAAAAATTTAAAATCCTATAAATACAAATAATTTAACAAAATAAGTTTTAAATAAAAAGACCTTAGCCTGGCACCGAAAGACAAATAACGATGGTGCCAGGAGGACCTCTTTTTAATCTATTGACTGTCAGGGCTTGATTGTAATACTGTTTACACATTTGGTAAGCTTGGAAGCTCAGATGTATTTATGAGCTTTGATGAGACGTCATTCCTTTTTAGTATATACTACATGAGACAGAAAAGAAAGACTGTTGTTTGTTTATGTTATAGAACCATCAATGTGCACAGCACTTTACAGAGTAACATAAGTAAAATAGATAGGCTTCTGCCCCCCAAAACTTACAATCACTAATTACTGAGAGTAACTGAAATTTAAAGGGGAAGGGAGGAGAAAGGCAAGTCTGGCCAACATCAAAGAATCAGAAGGAATTAGTAACTAAATGCTAATTCTTGACCAAGTCAGGAGGATATTTTTTCCTAATGAGATCTCGTTAACATTTTCTTTTAGAGTTTGAGAACATTAAAAAGGCGATAATGCACCATGGCAGTGGTCCTCAGAATGCCCAGCGTCAGCTTCAGAGGTCCCGCTCCTTCACTGGCAGTGAGGGTGAAGATCAGCAGGCAAACCTGCCACAGTCCCCAGCACCATCGTTTGCGCCTTCCGCAAGCCCCTCTGCACCACAGTCTCCTGGCTACCAGATCCAGCAGTTTATCATGAGCAGAAGCCCAGTCGCTGGGCAGAATGTGAACATTACCTTGCAAAATGTTGGATCCGTTGCCACAGGCAACCAGCAGATCACACTTACCCCGTTGCCCATCCCCAGTCCGACATCCCCGAGTTTCCAGTTCAGTCCTCAGCAAAGGAGATTTGATCACGGGTCGCCGTCGTACATTCAAGTTACTTCACCATTGCCCCCGCAGGTTCAGTCTCAGAGCCCCACACAGCCTAGTCCTGTGCCAGTTCAGACCATTTCGAATGTTCGGGCAGGTACGCCAGGGCCTGGCCTGGGTATGTGCAGCCAGAGCCCAACACGTAGCTTTGTTGACGCGAGCGTGCTGGTGAGGCAGATCAGCCTGAGCCCTTCCAATGGTGGACATTTTGTATATCAGGAAGGCTCTGGCATCGCCCAGATTTCTCAAGGTGGCACTGCTCAAGTACAGCTGTCGTCTTCTGCAGCACCTTCTACAGTTAGAGAACGCAGGCTGTCACAGCCCCATTCCCAGACTGGAGGCACCATCCACCACCTTGGTCCGCAGAGTCCTGTAGCTAGTGGAGCAAATATTCAGCCTTTACCAAGCCCGGGTCACATAACAACAAACAACCTTCCACCGCAAATCAGCAACATCATCCAAGGAATGCAGCAGCAGCAAGTGCTCCAGGGGCAACAATTGAGCAGGCCGCTCGGGTATGACAGGGCTTCTGCTGGGCTGATAGCTGGGGTTGGAGGGCCTTCTGCTTTTGGAATGACATCACCACCGCCTCCCACAAGTCCTTCCCGAGCCAGTATCCCACAAGGACTGACAAGCCTCCCTCTTGCTCCATCTGTCTGTGCTGTGGTGAAAAAGCCCAAAAAACTGGAGGAGATTCCACCAGCCACTCAAGAAGCTGCACAGATGAGAAAACAGTGTTTGGAACACCACCTCAAGCAAATGGAAATTCTGAAAGATGCTTTCAAAGAGTATTTGATTGAGTTGTTTTTCCTGCAACACCTTCAAGGAAACATGATGGATTTCTTAGCGTTTAAGAAGAAGCATTGTATGCCATTGCAAACATACCTTAAGCAAAGTGACTTGGATTTGGAGGAAGAGGAAGAAGAGGAACAGTCAGAGGTTATCAACGATGAGGTAAGAAGTTTCATTGTTTCAGTCATTCAGAGTTGTATTAAAACTGAGAATTTGGTGCCAGTTATTTGAGTTCTAATACTGCTGCCTTGAGCCATGTTAGAGCCTGGTTGTAGCATCTACTGTGCTTTCAGTTACCGCTTTCATTCCAAATTACACTATTAGTCTAATGTTGCAAGCAGATTTTCAGGACTCAGATTTCGCATCACACTTACATTGGGTTGTGTGATTTAGTTGGAATCGAGCTGACCCTGCCCACATTTCTGTCCAGGGACAAGCAGTGTGTGGTTTAGCGGATGGGGTGCTGGGTTTAGGTCAGGGAGAAGCAAGACTGAAGTGTGTCATTGGTTAGTTGTGAAACAGCATTGTGTGGCCTCAGGCCAGTGCTCATATCTTTGAATGAATTGCCTTGCAGGTCAGTTAAGATAAAAATAGGGAAATGAGGTGATAATGGAATGCTTCCTATGCATTCTGCCTTTGGCTCCCTAAAGGAAGAGTGGGAAACGAAATGTAATGCTGAGATAATGCTTTAAAGCAATTAAGATGGCAGGTTTGGATAATTTATAGTAAAAACACCTTTTGCTTCAGGGATGTGTCAGTTTCTGAGATGAACAGTTCATTCTAGTTGTAAGCAGTGCGTGTGAATGTCAGAAACAGTTGTTTGTCATGGGTCTCAGAAGCTGGAGATGGCTCCCTTATACCTGCCTTTTCACCATTTGCATTTATGCAGACACAGAAATGTTCTCTCAGTATGCCTATTGCAACTCAGGTGAAATGAACTGTCTGTTAAAACAGATACGTGATTGGACGTGAATGCTAGGCATGTTTTGCCCAGGGCTGGCTGCGTTCAGTGGGGTTTGCGTTCTGGTAATTGTGCATGATATTGCAGTTGTCATTTTGGTAATGCCAACAAGTAAAACTTTGAGTCAGTCTTAGTTTAGGCTCTTCCTGTTTGTGTGATAACTGATATACTTAGGGCCAGGTTCTGAGTAACTTCTGTGATTTGTTCCATATGCCTAATCAGCTTTTGGGATTGTGTTTTTCAAACATGAGTCCCATCCCAACTTGCTGCATGGCAGAATTTGAAATTCAGGTGAGCTTCCCAAACAGATGCTTCTGGGGCTGCTACTAGAGTCAATTTTTAAAAAAAGTAATTTTAATTTGAATGTTGATCCATTTATGTCATTTGGCTACACTGTTTAAAAAAAAGTAGCAAAACAGCTTTTTAAAGCAACATGGGCTATAGCTGTCCAGTGTGCTTGATCTTGCAAGCATATTTTCTGTGACGTTCCTGATAAAAATGACAAACTGAACGTCTCTCTCTTTGTAGAAGCAAATGATCTGCGTTCTTCTATGCATGCCTACTCAGAATTAAGTCCTAACTCTTGCATTATGGCATAAACTTTTTTGGACTTGGCATCTGATGAGGTGGACATGTCCAAGAAATATTATGCCAGAATAAATTTGTTAATATTTAAAGTGCTACCAGAATCTTTTTTTTTTTTTAAATTGGAATGGATTTGTGTTCTTAGCAATGAAAGGTCAGTATCTACATACAGATGCTTATTTTATTTATTTATTTATTTATTTATTTATTAAAACATTTTTATGCCGCCCCATTCGCCGAAGCCTTGGGGCGGCTTACAACAATAAGCTAGAACATCATAAATAACCTTTTAACATATATACATTAAAATAGAATACAGATATACTGGTAAAGCGTAGGCATAGACAGGCTGTCTCTGGATATGTCCCCTATTTTGAAGTGGATGTTCCTTATCGCAGGACATTACAGTCCCTTGAGCATATTGGATGTCTCATTTAAACTTCCATGTGTCATAATGGACCTTCTTTACCTGATGCCTCAGCTCCAAAATGCCCCCCCCCCCACACACACACACGGGGAGGCTAGTCTTGCCAGTATATGGTAGTCTGCAATTCCAAGTTCAGCCAGAATTGGACAGTCACTAAACTGGAGCTTATGATGTCATGAGTGATACACAGAGCTCTTTTATTTCATGTGCAAACCTTTTTTTTTTTTTGCACTGTAGTTCTGTGCATGGGCATAATGACCACTCAGAACAGCTGTTTAAAAACAGTGGGATGTACAGCTATCAATCCCATTTCCTGAGAGGCGTTTTGGTGCCTGCAAAGATTACCAGTTTTCTTCCCCAGTTAATTATTGTAAGTGTACTGACATTTCACTGTCAGTTTGAAGGATCCTTTAATGGCAGTTGTTAGTTGTCCAAACACCTGTTTATCCTTCCAAGTGATTTAGTGGTATATTCTCATAAAACTAGAGGCATGGATTAGGTGAAGCTGATATCTTATACTGGACTTTCAGGTTACATGGAACTGATTATCAAGCACAGTGAACAGCCAGGTGGAATAAACTTTCATATGTACTTTGGATCTCGGTCTGGGAACTGTAAACCTGAGTTCAAATGTTTATAGCAGTGAATAAGTTGAATCGAGGTTGAAGGGTGATTTCAAATGAGCCATCCATAACAGCCCCACCTTACGCTGCATATTTCTTTAGTTCTGCGGGACCAAGCCTAATGAAATCAACTTGTTAATATTCCAGAAGCTATCTCACTGGTATTATGTGCCTTCCCCCCCACCCCTCCCAAACTTAATATTTTTACTATGTTAAAGGAGGTGTTTTTCCCCCTGGAAGGCAAATTGTTCTGGATCGTGAGCCATGGTTTAAATATGCTTGCTGGGCTCGTGAAACATGATGTCTATTTAAGACTTTTTTTTACTGAAATGCCTTAACAAATTCCAACTATAATTCCTCAAATGTCCTTGGTAGTCCTGCCTGTCCTGGTTGACAGACAAGCAGATCTCTCCTTTTTTGCTAAACGAAAAGCTATGAAACATGAATATTTGCTGCGAGAATAATCAAAGTGAACGTAGGGAAGATTTTTAGAAAAATGTGGCAAAAAGTCTCAGTAGACATTACCTTGTAATAATGGCACTGAGTCCTTTCTTTGTATTTTGTGGTGGTCTTCTCTTTTATCCCCCTCCCCTTTCTTCATCACTTTCTGCTAAAGCAACGCACTTCATCCTTTGCCTGGGTGGACTGGTCACTATGAGAATCGTGGGAGGGGAGAGAATGCAGGCTATGCTCATTGCTTAATAAATGTTGGGGCTCTTCTGACTGTGAACTGTCTGTCATGCTAATTTTGTTGTCTGTTAGGAATCCAAGATCTCAGAAGTTATGTTTCTGCCTAGATTAAATGTCAGTGTTGATTTTTAGATGGCAAGAAGCAACAAGAGTTGCAGCTAGTCTGTCCCTTGTTTTGTTTTGCTGTTTAATGACAAAGCAGAACTTTATTTTAAAAACAACAACAAAAAAACATCTGGGTTCAAGTCAAATCACACCGATGGGCCTTTGTTACAATCCCCTCTTCAGTGAGGAACCATCGGTGCAATGTAAGACAGAGTGTGTTGATCAGACTTTTTTTTAGAAAAGAAAAGAAAATGATTTCCCTTTTTGTTTTTCCCCAAAATATCTTCTCTCAGGTAAAGGTTGTGACAGGAAAGGATGGGCAGACTGGTACTCCTGTTGCTATAGCAACCCAGCTTCCTCCAAATGTTTCTGCTGCTTTTTCATCTCAGCAGCAACCATTTCAGGTACTTTTTCAATGGTTCTAAACTTGTAGTTTCATCCCAGATTACTACTATTCTCATTCTGATTTGGTATTTGAAAACAGAATTTGTATTTCCCCGAGAGCCCATCCCTTCTCATTTTAAAAGAAAAACGAGCAATTAAAAACTTTAAATTTTCAGATGCATGAGTGTTTATGGAACACTAAGGAAGTTACTTTTCCCTCCCTTGTCTCAAAGTTGCTGGCTTATTTCATTAACTTTCAGCTTTTAATGTGTTCCACTTTGGTTTGCTTGTCTTTTGGTTCCCTTGTGCGTTCTACCTAGTAACAACGTGGGTCTCTCTCTGTCTGTGGCAATATGACTGTGGATTCCTTCTGAAAGTCTGTTCGTTCATTTTTAAAGTCTTCCAATTTGAAGGATACAGATGCAAAAAGATGTCGGATTTGCAGCGGTCCCTTCATTCTTTCTGATGCTCTTTACGCTATGGCGTTTTCTAAATGCATAATTAAATCACACTGTTTTATTGCCAAATAGATATGCTACAGATCTTTCAAATTACTGATTGTGGGTGCCACAGTGTGGGCTCACAGGTCATTGCATCCGCCGCTGAAGGACCATGTTGGAAAGAGCGACCTGCTTCAGACATAAGAGGAGCCAGGGTTTCTCCTTGCGAGAATAGGCCTCAGGTTCCCACACACCTCTCTTCCCTCTCCTCCTCCATGCATGAAGAAAGTGACAGCTTCTGATTTTGAACTAAATACAGCTCTCCCCCAGCAGGGGAACATGGTTTCTTTGAATGGGTGTGTTCTGACTCGGCTTGTTTATAAGCTTGTCCTTGTTAGTTGCTGACTAAACCATAGCTCCTTAAGCTCACTGTAGTTAGTTGAAATCTGGAAGCCTTTGACTGGTTCACATGCAAAGGGAGGAGAGAGGTTATATGCAGGCCATCCTGTTGTGCTTAAGCCCTTCTGATTGTTTTGGGTGACTCCTTGGCAGAAAGACAGTTCATAAGTCTTTATAGCTAAATATGATTATTACTTACATTTCTGTACTGCCTATAGCTGATGCTCTATGCGCAGTTCACAAGAAGATATACAAACCAACAAAAAAGATACAGAAAACAGTGTAAACATAGTGTAAAAACTTCAAAGAGTCTGCTGCGCTTATTCTCCAGGATTTTAAACAGTTGTACAACCCTAAACATGATAAACTAAGCCCTTCAGAAATATTAATCTACGATGCACTAGTTTGTTTGAAATGTCTGTAATTTATAGCAGTAATCCTACTGTAAATCTTTTCCCTTTATCTCTTTGTACCTTCCAGTGCTGCAGCTCTTTTTTTGTTTTTTATTTTTGGCTTAAAGGAAAGACAAACTTGTGTAAGCCAATCTTCTTATAAACACAGTGCACCCACTGGCTTCGTTGGTCAACAATATTAATATACTGCCTTTCATTTCTACACAAGTAATATGTGGCAGGTGACAAAGTGACAGGACAGCCATTCAATTAGATGGCTTCAAAGCAGGGATACACACATTCATGAACAAGGAAACCTCCCTCTAACTTCCAAGGCAGTGAGTGAGTTCATACAGTAAGGGCAGCCCATCATGAGTGGCTCCCTCCGTGGGCTATCCTCTCATCCAGATATAGACTACTCTCACAAGGTTGGCTTACTGGGGGGCCGGAAGCCACCCTGATGTCCCATGGTGCTTTGAGGAGTTGTCCAGCCCATGATGGGTTGCCGTGTGCTCCAAGCTCATGGGGATCGGCTCGCAAGCCGCTCGGGCACCCCTGCCACCTGTTGCCTTACATGGTCTTGCTGCAGTGGCAGCCCCTCTGTTAATGCCCAGGCAGTTCTTTGGCGTGACCGTCACTGGTGTGCCACCTTATTTATTTATTACCCCTGAAAATGGCACAAATATGTTTGCTGCTAGTGTTCTTCCTATTACTACTGGGTTTTTTGCAGGTGTACAATCGTGCACGGATGGCTGTCGTATATGTGTAGTCTTGCCTCGTCAGTAGTTCTGTAAGCTTCGGCCTACGAAGGAAGTGGAGTAGGTGACATTGACAAGGCAAGACTGTGTAAGGACTAGTTTGCTCACAGCTGCCTGCTCTCAAGTGGAAAGGAAAGGGGGAAAGCAGTGAAAGTAGGAATACCAGAAGGAGATGGTGACCCTGTCACCCCTTAGCAACATAATCATCAGGTTTTTAAGTGTTGAACTGTTAGTTCTGCTTGTCCTTTAATAGTTCAACTCCTCTTCAGGTTTAAAGCTACTGCAGAAAGGGCGAGGGGAATATTAAGGCCTCTCCTTTTTGTTTTGTTTTGTTTTGTTTTGTTTTTGGAACACTTGCTGCTGCAGCTACTATGGTTTCTGATGGTTCTTAAAAAGAAAAAAGAAAACCTGGCTAAATGGGACCGAGTGAATGATACCCCACTGGGGATCAGGTGCAAATACTGCTAGTGCTGCTACTGGTGCTCTCTATTCTCTGTCCTATTTTACCACCTCTCTGTTGTTTTGCTTTTAATATTTGCAGATTTTTGGACTGCAAAATGTAATAGCTGGGAAGTAAGTAAATGGAGGTGGAATGGCATTAATTTAAGGGAAGGGCCATGCATGGAGGGAGATGTTTGTGTGCCTGCAGTAATGGAACAGTTACTGCTGGTGCACAAATTTCTCCTCTATTTTCTTCTTACCCATTAGCTTTGTATATATTTTCTCTCTGTATAGCTGGCTTTGTTTCTTAGAAAACTGGAAAATGGATGGCTACATACACTGGATGGTCACATACACTGGAAATCGGTTGGCTGCCGTGTGCTGTGGGAAGGGTTAGGGTGCTCTGAATCTGGGTGGGAGTCACAGATTTAATACTCTTGATGTTTCTATTTGTAATGCAAAATACCGTTATGATTCATTGGAGGATCAAGCAGATAGAGTTTCTGAGTGATGAGGGAGTAAACACCCAAAGTATTTTTGCTTTATTAGGAAAGAGAAAGTAAAATAATCAGCACACACATCCCCCCCAACGTATATATAAGTATTTTGTTTGAAAATAAATGTTCTTTATAAGATGGTCGCAAAGTCATCTTAAACAGTAATGCTTGAAAGTGCTGAAATTGTTTTACATTTCTTCACTCTAGGCATCTTCAAAAACGGCTATCAGCCCTTGGACAGATCTTTCTTTAGAGCTCCTCATGAAACTTGTTGTTGTTGTTAAGAATTGTGCAGCTCAGGTTCTGTGATTAATGTAAAAGAGGATTTAACTGAATTTTGATGGTTCTGTTTTGTTTTATAATAGCAGGCGCATGCAGGGGCTCCAGTAACAGGAACTGTGAATTCCATAGAAATTGAAGCTTTTAAAAGACAACAAGCACTTACTTCAGCAGGTACGGTTCCTTTCAATGGAACTTTTGTCTGTCCTTTAGGATCTTAACAGGAGGACCGCTTTTGCCTAGCCCTTGCTTAGAGATGCCTTTTTTGGTGTGCCATGTCACTCAAGCAAATATGGCCGGTTTTTGCGATGGGGAGTTTGGTGTGTGTCATGTGTTCCTCTCGCAGCCAGTAGGCTGGATTTGAGATACAGGGTCTGATTCGAAGCATCTGCTGCAGTGATGCTGTATTTTGGCAGCAGACTTGCTCGATATCAACCGATCTTAAAGACACGGGGCATCTTTGTAAACATTGTAACCTGAAACCCGCTGTACCCTGCCGTAAATGGAATTTGAATATCACCAGATTCGTCTAAGAGACCCCGAATTGAAGTGGGCCGTCATGGGATGGTTTTTCAGCATCCAGGCGTGACTTCAGGAGTCCCTCTTCAACAGCTTATGCCAACAGCACAAGGTACTGTGTCACCACATGCCAGCCGCAGATTAATTTAGCAAGGTGGGGAGCTGTCGGCGCTGGAAGCAGGAAACTTGTGCGTTTGAGCCTTTCTCAGATCACTGGCTCCACCCTTGTCCTTCCCCCGTGCAAATTAATACATGCTCTGAACTGCCTTGTCCGTGTCAAAGGAGCTGAGAGACGGGCTCCAGTTGTGCATGTGGGCATGGAAAACAGGCACGCATATCGAAGCAAAATCGTTCACCGGGGAGCCTGCCCATCTGTAAAAGGTTGGCTCTTGGTAGTAGATTCAAAAGAAAAACAAACACCCAGGAAAACCCCCGTATTAGTTTCTACATTTGTGTCGTGTTTTTTATTATGTTTCTCTGCCAGCAACATTAAAAAATCTTAGGACATGTAGATGACCACTTAGAAATAAGACTTGTTTGTGCTGTGTGTACTGACTGACTCATTATCTATTTTTTTAATCATTCATTTTTGTGGCATGGTAGCTTAGCGTTAACTAACTTTCTCACGGCACTGGCCTGATGTCATTTTATTTCATTGCTGAATTGTTAACTTGATCCCCTTGATGTGCTCCGGCCTTGTGCGAGTCCAAAAGCTCCGCCGTTTGACATTCACGTCTTCCTGTTCTGTGTTCTTTCTTTTCTGCAGGTGGAATGCCTCCCACCCCTCAGGCGGTGCAACTCACGGGGCAGAAGCAGAACCATCAGCAGTATGACCCCTCCAAGGGGCCTCCTGTGCAGAATGCGGCAAGTCTACACACTCCTCCCCCCCAGCTGCCGGGGAGACTGCAGCCCGCCAACGTCCCACTGGCGTCCCTCCCGGCGGCGCTTCAGCTCACACCGCAACAGCCTCCACCGCTCCCGGATGCGCCAGCGCCACCTCCGATCCACGTGAAGGCCCAGCCCCAGAATGTCTCGGTCGCCACCGCCACCACGTCTGTGCCCCATAGCCAAGTTCAGATGCCGCTTCAGCAGCAGGCTCAGCCAACAGCACACGTGCAGGGACAGCTAACGGTGCAGGTTTCACAGCCCCAAGCTCCGGCACAGCAGCAGGTACGTGGGCTCAGGTGGGTGTGGGACTGTAGCTCGGGAGGGCAGAGTAATGTCGCCAAAAGCTTTCACAAGGGCAAGCTCCCTGGGAAGGTGCTCGGTGTCTCCCATTTTCAAACAGCTCTCCACCATCTGGTAGCCAAGCCTGTCTGTGCAGCTCACAGAAGCCTTTTGCCCTGCCTTTGGTGCGGGACTGCTTTAAATAGCTGGCGCCCCACTTATGGAATGTGCTCCCCAGAGAGGTCCGCCTGGCGCCATCGTTATTTGTTTCTCGGTGCCAGTCCAAGACCTTTTTATTTCGACAATATTTTAATAACTCTTAATATTATTTATTGGTTTTAATTTCTACAACCAGGGGGAATCCAGATTTTATATGTATTATTTATATGTTGTTTATTTATTATGTTGGAAGCCGTCCTGAGGCTTATGCGAATGGGACGGCATACCAAAACTCCAAATAAATAAATAAGAAAGACTCTTCTGCGCAAAGCAAAATACAGGTGGCATGTGCTGCCTTTGAATTGCACTCACATGTCATGTTAGTGGATTTGAAAGGCTGAATGGGTGGCCCTTTCCCAGTGGCAGCACACCTCAAAGCAGTTGTGGCGCGCATGTGCAGAGTTCAAAGATGGTGTGCTGCCGGCCTGTCTTTTGCCTGGGCGTCACAGCCAGTGCCTGTGGAGCTCTTGCCACCACTTCCCTCCTCTGCAGCTGTTGAACCGATTGCGGAATTGGGAGGGGCTCACAGTCAGCTGCAGAGTCTTGCAAGTCGATTTGCACATGGATTCGGTTTTAATTTCCTTCCCCAGCCTGCCCCTGCTTTCTTATGACTGCACAAGACATGGATGGGGGGAAATTTATTTCCCTACTTTCCGTCCCACCTCTTCAGCATAGGTTTATACTCCCAGGGCAGCTGAGGCAGCATGAAGAACAAAATGTAACACAGCACAAAAATGAACCATCCCTTTAAACACCCGCTCAAGTCAAAGTGATCTGAGTTAAAAATGCGAATACGAGCCATTCTTAAAACTCTGGGGGAACAGAATGTGCTCGCCTGATTCGAGCATGAGAGGCGCAACTGTTCCCGGTTGGCGTCTTTGGGAGGGAATGCCAGTGGCTAAGAAACACCACGGACATAAATCTCTGTTTGCCGCCTGCCACACCTCAGAGGGTGGGGCACCGGAGAAAGATGGCACCTCTGTATATTATAGATGTGCAGTAAGAGAGAGTCGTGATCCCCATGAAATGCTTGAAGCATCCTGAATAGCTCCGGTTACTTCCAGGTGTTTATGCACTCAGGGAAGAGCAGTTTGCGCTTCGGAGCTGGCCTTCAAGTAAAGACACAATTCAGAGGGTGCAAAGCCCGCTTTCTGGCCTAGACATTAAGGTCATAGGGGAGTGTTCTGGGCAAGAACCTGCTATTTCCCCTGAGTGCAACTGTTTACTAAGCCAGTGCTGCCATTCATTTGCATGGGGAAAACCTGGCAGGCTTCCTTTGAGCTCAGTATTGAAGGCAAAGAGTTCACTTGCTAGGTAGCTCGCCCTTTGCCAGCAGGTAACTAGTATGTCTGGAAGCCTTGTGGGGTGCCTATTTTGTGTCTGCCTTTGCACGTTGTGGTCACCCTACCACACCTGATGATGGCTCCCCACAGTCTAAAAATGCAAGCATGATTTTATACACTGGTCGTGATGGTGGCTTGTCCAATCTCCAAATTGTAATATTAATTTGGGAGTCCAAATGGGCACAGTTAAGGCCTGTTTGGTGAAGTCATTTTTGTATGGTAATGTAGCACAAATAGCGGCAGAGCATCGCTTGAAGCTCTTTGAGCTGTCATTTTAATCCTGCCTCAGAACGGCTGTCTGTCTTTGCAGGCTGTGACACTGGCCAGAGCCCCAGCAGACTCCGTCCAAGTCTCTCAGCGTCTTTCAGCAAACACCCTTCCTCCCACCCCGTCCAACCCACCAGCAGTCGTTTCCAGCGGGGTGCCTCAGTCCACGTACCCAGCCCAGACAAACCGAACCTCGCCAGTGACCAATAAATCAGCATCTCCCATCGCCACAAAGCCTCCAGGCTTGGCAGTGACCACGGCACCAAAGACACAGAGTCCCACGCAGAATGCAAACACACTGCCACAGGACAGCTCCCAGGAAAAGCTGGCCGAACAAGTGAAGCTGGTAAAGACATTTCCTCTCTCCGATAGCAAAATATCCATGCGACGTTTTGTTTCAAAATTATGCATTTGCAGCTGATGGAGTCTGGATTTTTCCTTCCTGGTTTGTAGCAAAGCTGTCAGTGCTGCTTGCCTTAGATTTATAGTACTGAATGAGGGGCACCCGTTGGCAGCTCTGCTGTCTCTGTTCCACAACCAGTCCTGTTTCTGTGCAGGGCAACTTGTTCTCAGAAAAGGAGAAGAGCACAGCTGGGCATAAGAGGAGTAACTGCTGTTGGATGCACAAAGTTGGGGTGTTTCTTGTGAATGTCTACAAGTTTAAGATGTAATTTCAAAGTTGATTTGTGTACCCAAAGTAGCATAGTAGCTGGTCTCAAAGTCGTTTATTGCTTTGCCTCCACAATGCATCGCTTTGAATTAGGCTCTCCGCATTTTATAACGCTGGAAGTCCCAGCTTGTTTGCCTGCCTTTCTTTCTTGAATAAACTGTAGCCATGTTGCATTGGGCTTCTTTTTCATGCTCTTTGCATATTTAAAGGGCTGGCTGAAGACATCCCTGCTCCCCACAGAGGACCTGGCATGGGGGCTTCTTGCTGGCCAGCACCAAGCAAGTACCTTGTTGTTTTGTTTAGTCTTTTTTTTGGCCCTTCGTCTTTTGCTGTCTTTAATTTTCTGTTGAAGTAAGAAGCTTTTCAGTTTATAAAACACCCCATGAGTTGGTTTTGATGTGAATGGCAGAGTAGTAGAAAACTAAACTAATTTTTACAACAACGGGTCCACCAGCTATCTCCCTCTCTCTCTCTCTCCCCAAAATGTTGCAGTGTAGACCCCATTGAAGGTTTCGGCCAGTCATTCCTCCTCTCACTTCACGGCACTCCATTTTTTCTACTTCCCAGTTTTTTCTGTTTCTCCCCAAGGAACGTGGAGCATCTCAACAGCTTTTTTTTTTTTTGGGGGGGGTGGATGGGTCCCCCCTTAGGACTTTTTGGGGGGTAGTTCTGTACTTCTTTTCCACTCAAGTCTGCAGATGCCTCCCAATTGAGCCAAGATGATGCTATCCCACTAGGCACGGGTCCACACTGAGAGAATGAGCTTATTATTAGAATCCACCTAGCTCTTGAACTGTAAGATGGAACTGTGCAATTCTTGGAAGCTGTGAGTTTTTTCCTTCTTTTATTAAGTGCATCTTGAAATGGTGAGCAGTCCGTTGTAGCTTCTGGTAACTGAATCGTGCTCTAACCTGGGAATGGTGATGTTTTCTTCCGATTTCGGAAAATGCAGTTTGCTTCCAACAAGGACTTGTTTGTTTGCTTGCTTGTTTCAAAACAGGAGAACCAAGTCCACCAGCGAATAGCAGAGCTGAGGAAGGAAGGCTTGTGGTCTCTGAGGCGGCTGCCTAAACTTCAAGAGGCCCCCAGACCCAAGTCGCAGTGGGATTATCTCCTGGAGGAAATGCAATGGATGGCCACAGACTTTGCTCAGGAGAGGAGGTGGAAGATGGCCACTGCTAAGAAGGTCTGTGAGTGTGTGGTCTGCTCTCTGGCAGGGTCTAAGCAGGGAGGGCCAAGCTCACCCTGTTACGCAAACTGCGGGTCGGGTGGCTCTTTGGTCTCCTATGTCGGACGCCTCGTAGTTGATCTGATTTGGTGATACAGCCGCTACTGTCGGCAGGGGGGCTCTCCAGCCGCAGAACATGCATGTAACTTTATATAGAAATGCAGGCACTTGCTTATTACAAACCAACTTCGGGAGAGAGATGTAACATCCAAGCGTGCATTTCCATATTCCCGCCACCGTGAAAATGGGTGTCTTCTTTCCTTGTGAGTAAGGAAAGATATCAGTGTGAGACACGCCTGATCCTTGTGCCTTGGTGCTTTGCTGTCGGCTGCTGCTTCCTTCTGCAACTAGTCTTGACTTACCAAACTCAGGCCTGGAAGCCAAATGTGTTCTCCAGAGAGCTGAATTCCTTCAAATTAAGCCAGCACCATGAGTTGGTTTTGATGTGAATGGCAGAGTAGTAGAAAATTGTAGAATTTTCCTCCTTTTCTAAAAGGTTGATTTGCCTCTCCAGGGTTTCTTTACTGGAATTTGGAGTATTTTGGTCCCTCCTGCTTGGTCTTTGACTCTGGTTGCTTTTGTCTTTGGCCACACTCCCCCATGGATTGCAGCTTTTCTGAAATAGAAGTAACATTTGGGCCAGAAGATCTCAATACCTCTGAAGTACACAGTGCTAGGATAAGTACTGTACCAGTACTGCATATACAGCTACTGGTATATGCTATCTTCCCACTTAGAAGTGGAGAAAATGGTCAAGTAAATAACAGTTGTAAAAGCCAGAACTACGGTCAGTTAGCAGTGATGCCCCTCATTCTTTGGAGACCTAATTCTGTAATTTTCTTTCTTAGATGGTTCGCACTGTGGTTCGCTATCACGAGGAAAAGAAGCTGAATGAAGAGAGGGCCAAGAAGGAGGAGCAGAACAAGCTGAGGCGCATTGCTGCAACCATTGCAAGAGAAATTGAATATTTCTGGTCAAATATTGAACAGGTAGAGCTTTTCTTCCCTTCTTTGGCCCGTCTTAAAATAAGTCTTAAAACCTCTTTTGGTGTTAAAGCAGGAATAGGGCAGCCATTCTAAATGTACTTACCTGGTAGCAAGTCTCCTTGAACTTAATGGCATTTACTTCTGAGTAGACAAGCAAAGGATGCCATTGCATCTCATCTTTTGTGATGTTGCTTCAAAACAAGGGTTGTCAGTTCAATAAACAGCCACCCAGTTTCTAAACATGTTCGAGGCCTGATTGTAGTTCTCCTGCTGCAGTGGTAAGGGAAGGGCGTGAACCCTAGTAATGGCGTCTCATTTTCAGTGTTGCACTTTGAAGATAAATAACAGGTTTGCCTCTGTTACTCATCTGTCTTCTTCACTATTTCCTTTAGGTTGTGGAAATAAAACTGCAGATTGAATTTCAAGAGAAAAGGAGGAAAGCTTTAAATTTAAAGAGACATTCAAGGAAAGGTAATTCTTCCCTGTTTTATGCCACTTTTAACAAATGAGGCCATTTCATAATTGCAGGATGTGTGTTCTTTGAGTATTCAGTGCTAGCTGATTACTTCTATCAGGACAGGAATAAGAAGGGCAGTATAGTTCTTTGATTTGCATGGCATTTAGAAATGGCTAAAGTAAACAGCCACCTCACCTGGTTGTTGTTTGGCTATGGCTGTAATATCATGTTAACTTTGCAGTCTTGTTTTAAAGTTAACTTTTTTATTTAAAAAAATACAAGATGGGCATTGAGACATACTGAATTCCATTCATTATTGCATTATAGCTTATATTCAAGTGATAAGCATATTTAAATTATTTTTATATATTTGGTTCTAATATTGACTTGGTTTACATGCCACAGTAAAACCAGTTTAAAAAAAATGTCCTGGCTTAATTTGAGCAGTCCAGATTTTAACCAAGCTCTGCTCACTGTGCCTGAAAATGCAATGTTGACTTCTCGCTGAATTTGTTTTCTTGATTTTGGATGAATTTTAATGCACATACTTGCACAGAATGTTGAGTGACTTAAAAGTGGCATAACCCCTAACAATGTTGCAGGTAAAGATGCAAGACATTTAGAAGATATTCTGCTGGAAAAAGAAATGGACTTGGTAAGGATCTTTTCCCTCCACCTGCTTCTCTTGATTGGTTAGCTTGGCTATCGTTCCACAAATTTGTCCATAGATTGTGCAGTCCAGGCTTTCAGTTGTCAATCACGTGCCCCGGATTGTTCCCACTGAAGATGTGGGGCTTTCATCAGAGCAAACAGAGGGAAACAGTTTCCCTCTTTCCCTCTTTGAAACTAGCAGGAAGAGATGAATGCAGTTCAACTTTGAACTGCAGGAGCCTTCCATTCGCGAAGGGTTGATTCTCCAAGGGTTACAGGGTTTTTGCAGGTGTGCTGGGTGGGGCAGGACATGCCACAAGAACTTTGGCCAAAGAAAAAAAAACCTTTGCACAGATTTGGGATGCTTACATGCATTTTCTTTTCAGAGTTCTTGGTCATCCGGAAGAAAGAGAAAGGCGAGCTTGTCACTGACGGATGATGAAGGTTGGTGACTTGCAACCTGCAACTCTGCTCTTATAATTGCCGCTCCCAGACTCACGCCTTTCTCTCCAAATGTGATAGAAAAGCAAGGCCTGCAACAAAAGCTTGCTCTCTGGATTAAGAAACAGAGTCATGATAAATTACAAGACAATGCATTGAAAAAGAGTAATCAAGCAATAAAACTTAAGATAGCCGTGAGGAACTGGGCACTGCTGGTGGCCAGGAAAGCCCTCGGGCATGCTCAGCCCTCATTCAGCTGTTTTGGTTCCCACCCTTCGTAGGTTGGTTCTCTGTTGCCCCTCTCTTCCACCAGTATGTTTGTACTTTGCAGACCTTGGAATTCTCCCAGTTCTGATGCATCCCTTATGTATATAGTGTGCCATTTTGGTTATGTAAACCGCAGCACTCAGATAAGTGAGCTTGCTTTTAGTAGATGCTAGTAAATAGACTGAGCTTTCCATGAGCTGGAAGGTCCCTTTACTTTTAGATCCGGCCGTGCATCTTCCGAACTGTTTAGAATCCTAGCCTTTGGGTATAAGGCAGCTCTCAAACCAGTCCAGAAAAAACAAAACAGTTGGTACAACTTTAAAGTAGAATTTAGCATGATTGAAACACAGAGGGAAGGAAGGAATGTTAAACCACTTTATTATATTATATTATATTATATTATATTATATTATATTATATTATATGGTGTAGAAGTATGTCTTATCAATGGAGAACTAAAAGAGGTTAGGAGACCATACTCGGAGAAGAGCTTTCTCTGTGGTGGTGCCCTGACTATGGAATGTGCTCCCTAGAGAGGTCTGCCTGGTACCGTCATGATATGCTTTTTGGCGCCAGGTCAAGACCTTTTTATTTGATCAATATTTTAACATTAAGCAATTTTAATTGTATTTGATTTATTTAATTTATTTTAAATACGTTAGTTTTATGCTCAGTTGTGGAATAGCCAATTTATTTTATTTAGGATTTAGAATAATGCTGTAAGCTGTCCAGAGATGACTGTGATGAATGGCCAATAAATTTCCCTAACAAACAAATGAATAAATGGCAGAAGTAAAACAAATGCTGCTACCTGCATCTGCCTTTTTAATTCTGTTCGTTTGTTAGTTCTTTTTTCTGGGGTGGGCACCGTAGTAATATACTAAACTGCCAAAGTGAATGTTCTGGCAGCAACATCTGGTTTCCTACCTCATTGTGATCTGTGGGATGTCTGTTTTGTTTTAGTTGAAGATGAGGAGGAAACCATTGAAGAGCAGGAAGCTAAAGAAGGCAATGTCAATTATCAAACAGAGCTGTCCACCTTGGCCAAAGAAGGTGAGCCCAAAGGCAGGTGCAGGGATAGCCACAGCAGGTCTGAAACATCCCTGGTTTCTGTCTTCTTTCGCTCATCCTTTAGTCTCAGGATCACTGATGCTCCTGTTCATATGGATATGGGCTTATTATTGATTTATTTGCATACTGGGCTGTGCTGACCTGACATTACACTGTGCCAACTCTGTGGATGTTGTTAAATGTCCAGAATGCTTTCCCATTTGCTTTTCAGAACGTGGCACCAGTAACAAGTGCTCAGCTACTAGTGGGTTGGGAAGTGCTCCCAGAGCTCCTGCCCTTGCTGGGCACTTGTGTTACTAGTCAGGGAAGGCAAGGAGCCAGATCTTGTCCGGGTTTACTGACTGAGCAGGAGATGAAAGGAGAAGTGAGTGTTAGGAAAGGGCTGCCAGAATCTTCCTTAGAATGTCCACGTGATTGAAAAACAAGGCTTGATTGAGCAGCCCTCTCCTCTGTGGTCAGAGCCCACTAATAATCTGACTTCCCTTTCACTTCTTGTTTTCCCCATCCGTGGGTCACATCTCCCCCACAGATCCCTGGTGGTGCTTTCAGGCACTCAGTGCTGAGCCTGGCAAGCTAATCTCATTTGAGATCTCAACTGAAGCTTGAATATCCAGACGGAAAGAACTTCCCTGCTTCAGAAATGAATACATTCTGAAATGGAACTCTTTCCCCCCGTCCCTTAATAGCCTTAAGGGAGGTTGGTGTTTGTTTATATGGAAAACCTGTCCAGACATTAATATGAAAGTCGTCTTGTTAAAATGTTGCATCCCCTCTAACCAGCCTCGTCGTTTTCCTTCTGCTTTGATGCTGAATCAAGGCCGTGACTTCCCTCTTTTACTTTTTCAATTGTGTTCAGCCGAGCTCCCACTGGATGATTTGATGAAGATGTATGAAGGTGCCTTTGCAGAGAATTTTCACTGGCCCCAGCCGAAACCCGAAGAGGAGACAAGTGAGGAAGGTGTGTTTGGGCCACGCCTCATTAGGGAATTGGGAAGGCACCTTTGCCGTGTGCTGTGCCCTTGCTTGCTTTCTGCAGGCTGCCATTCACTGTCATGCAGCCTCAGGTTCTGTTGCCATGGTTTGGGTAATGCTGCAGCTTCTTAGGCCCTCGAGTGGAAATTTCGTGGGCTTTGTATCCGTCATGAGAAGTCACTTAGTCCAAGAAGGCTCGACTTCACCGAGGCTCTGTGGCTGAGCAGGGGGTCCAAGCCTAGTGCTGCATGACCCTGTGTCGAAGGGGTAGATTGCCTCTTGAGAGGGGTGGCACCCCATCTTGGTTCCTGGACCCTACCAGCAGGGTCTGACCTCAGCACCATCCAGATTCACCGTCTTGGATTTTGGCATTTGCAGAAACTTCGCTGCATCACCGATCACTAGGAAGCGCCTGCCTGTGCAGAATTGATTGTTTGATTATTGTTTGATCAGAAATGGAAGACCACGTAGCTGAGAAGGAACTCCTTCAGAAGGACACGATCCTGATTGACTCCCTCCTCAGCATCGATCAGTATAAAGGTGCAGAGAGAGCGGTTCCAATCAAGAAACACGGGAGGGACATAGCAGAGGTGGCTGCTGCAGCAGAAACCCTCTTGCCAAAAGGTAGTGCCCGGATCACAACCACGGTAAGTATTTTCCATTTCAGTTGTGATACACGATGAACAGTCTAGAGAGGGCAATCTGCTAAGTGTAGGCACCTTTGTTTGCAAGAGTGTCCAGCTGTGTTCAACAGAGCTAACTCTCAAATAAATTATGTTTCGGATGGCAGCCTTAACTGCAGCCTTATCCTAATGGGCTTGCCCTCTTTCCTGCGGGAAATCCTAGAAATTCATAGCTCCCTTTTTGGTGTGCAGAGGTACCCGCAATGGCCTAAGCCTTCCTACCACTCAGGGAATGCAGGATCCTGCCATCAGGGTCTTTGGCCTTGTTGCTGGTGGCCTTGGCGTCTCCTCCCAAGTCAGAGTGTGAACTTTTTCCTTTTGGCGACTTCTCTGGTTGCTCAAGCTCTCTTGCTTCATGCTTTCTTGTGGGTTTTGTGCCCATTGACCTTGCTTCTCAATGTTTCAGATTTCCATCCCTTTCTTAAAAATCACAAACATCCTCCTCCAGTATGCTGCTTTTAAGTTCCTCCTGCTTTGATTTTTCTTTTACACCATTTTATCTCCTTCCGACTAAGGACGTGAGATTTCTTTGAACCTTTATTGACTTCATAAAATGGTTGGAGCAGGGGCAGGGAGAACCTCCTGCACTGACCTATAGAAATCAACAGCAGGTAGGTTAAGAAAAAGCCGCTGACCATGCTGTGAAGGAAATCCCAGATTGGAAATGTCTGTGTGTGTTTGTTGCAGGTTAAATACAACACTCCGCCCCTCTTGTACGGCTCCCTTCGAGAGTATCAGAAGATTGGTTTAGACTGGCTAGCCAAGCTGTACAAGAAGAATCTCAATGGCATTTTGGCAGATGAGGCCGGGCTTGGCAAAACGGTGCAAGTCATTGCCTTTTTTGCTCATCTGGCCTGTAACGAGGGTAAGCCAGTCCTGTGGCCCCCAAATCTTTAGCCTGGGGCTGGCCAGCGGGGGCGTGTGTGCCAGACTCAGCTCTCCAGGTGAGTTGCTCTCAAGCTCCTTGCTGCCGCTTTTTTCTTCACAGGCGACTGGGGTCCTCATCTGGTGGTTGTTCGGAGTTGTAACATACTGAAATGGGAGCTTGAGCTGAAGCGTTGGTGCCCTGGTTTGAAAATCCTGCTCTATATAGGCAGCCAGCGAGAACTCCGAGCAAAGAGACAGGTACCGTATTACATAGTTATTGTTTCATTCTGTGTCTGTCTGCTGAGCTGAACTGCACCTACATTATATTATTTGTCCTGTCATGATTACGCCCCATTTGCCAGCCAAGGTTGGCTCCCATTACAGATTTCAACAGTTAAATGAGAAACAAAGCTACTTACCTCAGGGCTGTGGCCACTGACCAATAAATACATCCATCATTCGGTTCGAATGCATCCTCTCCCTTGGATTCTTGTCTCCTTCATGTCTCAGATAAAATCCTTGAGTCTGTGGGGAAGACAGAAATCATTTCGGCTCTGAAATCTGAGTGCTTCCTCTGCCTTTCCGAGCATGGGGGGTATTAAGCGAGAAAAGAAGCTGCCTTGTGCAAAGTTAGACTGTTGGTGTATTTAACCTGGTACTTTCTGGTCTGGTGGGCAGTAGCTCTGCAAAGGCTTAGGGGCCAAAGTCTTTCCTAGCTCTGTTACTGACATCCTGTGGACTGGCAGCTGAGCCGCCCAAGGCGAAGCTCATTTCGGCTGCATTTCACCACACCAGGCAGCCGGTCCGTTTGGCTTGGTGTTGGCTGCAGTGACTGCGAGTGACTCCCTGAGGGCAGTGAACACCTTGCTTCTGTTCTGGACACCTGGGATTGGGGCCCTCCTGCCTGCAGTGCCTGTGCTTGGCAGCTTGACTCGACAGCCTTTCCCACTGAGGAGGTCCTGCTTGCCCGGTGGCACGGGGAGAAGCTGTGGTTCCGCAGGCAACCTTGCCAAGCCTAAATGTGGTAGGAAGGAATAGGCATTGGGAGCTGGGGGATATGGATTTGCAGCCGGCATTGCAGCCACTGCTCTCTTCCAGTGAAACACAGCAGTCTGACCCAGCCAGGCGTCAGCACCAGAGTCCAGGAGGTCCTCTAATTTGCAGGCACTGTGCTAAATGTCTTGTTTGGGCCAGGAAAATAAATGCTAGTAACTCAGCAAGTGTGTGTTAAAGTGGCAGGGAGGGAAGAGTCTGGCTTAGCACTTCTTTGGGAAGAACAGGTGGAGGCCATACTGAACGCTCAATCTGGAAGAAGGTTCCTCTGATAGGAAGAACTGCCGCCGAGAAAGCAATGTTTTCTGATTTTTACCTTTTCCGGCTTCTCCTCGCCTGCAGCATGGAATTGTGCGCCCTTCATTTTGAATATGGCTCTAGTTGGTGCTCTAGTTCTGAGCTCTTTCGTTCCGCTGCAGATCTCTTCCCCTTACGTTTTCTCCTCTTCCTCCTCCTCTCCAGGAGTGGATGGAACCCAACAGTTTTAATGTATGCGTCACTTCCTACAAGCAGCTATTTAAAGGCCACCAGGCATTCATGAAGATGCGATGGAAATGCCTTGTTGTTGACGAGATGCAGCAGATTAAAAACATGACAGAGAAGCACTGGGAAGCGCTTTTCACTCTCCGCAGGTCTGAAGGATTTAGAAATGTGCTGATGTTTGAGCAGCCAGCTGCTTTCCGTTGTTCTGGGTCTTTGGTCCATGCAATGCGAGCCAGCGTTCCACAGACTGAGTTGTGGGACAAGAGTTCCATTTCTAGGGCAAAAGGAGGGACTTACAGGTTGAGGGGCATCGAGGTCCTTTGCAGCTGGGGGCGGGGATATAGATTGAGACCAAGAGGGCACTTTGGGGGCATACAGCAGCTTGGGGAGTGTGGGTTTTGGCGTGGGAGAAGCAGTCTTGCATGGTGTAGTCTAGACCAGGATCCCAAAACACAGCACACTTGCTGTTTCAAAAACGAAACCGTTCTCAGGATGGACAGTCACATAGCTAATGCATCCTCTCATCCTGGTCTAACTAGGCCCTGGATGTTTCCCCTTCTCATTTTGCAGCTGGGGAGGGTTCCCCTCACCCATCTTTTCTCCTAGTTTTCCTTTCCCAGTAAGCTGCTATGGATATCTGTGCTTCACAGAATTTTGAACTGTGAAATCTCTCTTCACAGCCAACATCGCTTGCTCCTGATCGATACACCTCTGCACAACACCTTGATGGAATTGTGGACCATGGTCCACTTCCTGATTCCAGGAATCTCCAAACCTTACTTGGATTTCCCTGTGAAAGCAGCCAATGAGGAGAATCAGGATTACTGTCATAAACTGGTCATCAGGTTACACCGAGTGAGTCACCTGCTTTGTGCCCCAACTGTTGTGTGTGGCTGTCACTGTATCCCTTTGATAACGTCATTTAGCTCACATTATATTAGTGTCAACTTTGCATTTCTTCCACCTTCCCATTGTGCCAGATGATCCAGCCATTTATTTTGCGGAGATCAAAAAGAGACGTTGAGAAGCAGTTGACAAAGAAATATGAGCACGTACTTAAATGTCGGCTTTCAAACAGGCAAAAAGTGATGTACGAAGATGTCATCCTTCAGCCAGGGTATGCGCTTTTACGTTTCAGTTTAAATTCCCCGCATGTTCAGATCATATTCGATGCACATATTGAACTACCAAGCATCGAAGTACTGAACTGTTTTGTTCCATTTATTGTGCAGTAGCCAACCAGAATTTTGCATATACATCCAGCACAGGAACAGGGGAAAAAATACAAAAACAAGGTGAAAAAGTGACCAGTTAAACAAAGCTTAATGAAAAGAAGCTAAGAAATAATTCAATCAGCCTTTAAAAATGGTTTCTATGCTAAACATTATTAAATTAATTAAAATGGCTCAGTGGCTTTTGTTGCTGTTTGCCAAAATGGGGGAAAAAATCCTCTTTCCTAGAGCTGGCTTAACAAATTTATCACTGATAATGTCACAATATAATATATCCCAGCTAATGAAAAATAAGGGGTTGTTTGAAAGGGAATTCTCTCTAAAATTCAGCTCTAAGGGACTCAAGATACTGCATCCTCAAATCTACATAGAATGGGTATTTGAAAAGAACATGGATCAGGTCCTCTCTGGCCTCTCATTGTGTTGCTGCTACAAAAGATGAGAACAAACTGCAGTTTAAACATATCTGCAGTTTGGATTTAGAACTGGATTATACAAGGCCCGATCTACATAGGCAGCACAATGAGGCAGTTGACTGATGGCCTCTCTTCAGTTGGAGGGTTCACAATTCTGAATATTTCCCCATGTTAAAAGCTGCTGTTGAGATTTCAGGGAAGCTTCCAGGGTGGCAGAAGCATTGAGGCTGAGCAGGTGCAGACCAGATCCTGGCGAGCCTTTATGTGCTTCGCATGAGCGGCTCCAGTACAAACAGGATGGCATACGAATTTGCCACCCAGCCAGAAGGGCCCAACTCTCACGGAACTACCCTGCACAGGTTTCGGGTAACATTTACTTTAAACTGACATGTTGCTTTTTCTCCACTTTCTGACAGAACCCAAGATGCTCTTAAAAGCGGGCATTTTGTCAGCGTTCTTCACGTTTTGATGCAGCTGCAAAAGATCTGCAACCACCCGGATCTGATAAACCCTCGGCAATCTAGTTCCTCCTTTGTCTTGGAGGCCCTGCAATATAGAACTGCTTCTGTGGTTTTAAAAGCCCTTGAATGCAATCTGTGGAAGGTGAGTTCGGATACCTTGTCAGATACTCCTTGAGAGAGCGTGCGAGTATTTTCATCCCAAAGTTCTTGCTTGTGGCTCTTCCTCTGCAAGCAGTGCTGGCCAGGGCTGGACCCAAGGCAGGCTGCTGGCACCCCTTGCTGCCCCCAGGTGCTTGTCAGTGGCTCAGAGCCCACCTGTGGCAGCGCCTTGGTTCATTGCTCACATGAAGGTTGCCAGGCAGAGCCCAGATGAAGAGACCCGTGTGATCCAAAGCTTGCACTCAGCATTCTGCTTCTCTAGCTCCAAGGACATTTTGGGCACTGGCATTTTTTCCATATGGATCTGTCTGATGCAGAACTCCCATGCCGTGCCTGCACCGCAGAGAGTTCTGGTGTGTGAGTCTCAGTTTGCTGGAAGGCTGCCTCTGAGATACGTGGCCCACAAATATTTTGGGTAAAGAATCAGTGATTTAAACTATTACCTTTTTGACTTGTAAGTTCTCTTGAGCACCTATTAGTCAAACAGTAGTGTATGCATAGCAACTTAATAATGATAGGAAGAACATTACTAACTTTAACATATTTCCATGCCCACCCACAGGTTACAGACCTGAGTCTCTTTGATTTGATTGGGATTGAGAATAAAATGACTCGGTACGAGTCGCAAGTGCTGCCGAAGCAAAAAGTGACCAGAAAGCTCATAGAAGAAATCTACACCTCTCCCTTACCTCTGCCGAGGCCTAATCCAGTAAAGCTGAAGCCAAGCAGGTGTGTCTTTCAATGTGGAATTAGGAAAAAAGATGCAATTTTGCTCTCATTTTTGAAATGGAAGTCGGGGGAGAACTACTCTGAGCAAAGCATTACTAATTTGTTTATCCGTTTGCAGTTGCAGGAGGAATTAAACAGAAACTGGCTGCATGCAATTACATGCAAATTGTCCATGGTAAACCAGGATTTACCTGTATCCTGGCTTACTCATTCCATGGAAACCCAAGTATTGTGAAATTGACCTTCCTTCTCAAGGCATCTTTTCTGTGTAGTCTTTGGCCTTGAACTGGAGCCGAAGTATGGATTGCTGCAGTGGCCTAGTTGTCATTGAGTCAGTAAAGCTTTGCCTGGGCTTTAAATTGCAGATGGGGAGTTGTGTCCCTGATTGAACCTCCTCCATGAAGTATTTCCGGAGCGTAAACCTGCATAGACTAGTCCCGAAATCCCCAGGGTGCTAGTTAGTTTTCTGTGGAAAGGAAATACGTTTGTACAGTGGAGCGTTAAACGATGAACTTCCCCAATTCATGTCTTGGAACGAGTGCCACTCAAACATGGGTTGACCACTTAATTAACAGCTAGGCAGGGAATGAAGTTGCACTTTCATTCTTTTTGCACGTTTACCTGGCTCTCATTTTCTCCCCTCCCTTCCTGCAGAACTTAGATCATGAACCCTCAAGGGCCTGCAGGGGCCTGCTTGTCTTGCGTCTCTCTTTCAACGTGCCATGCATGTGGATAATGCTGTAAATAAAAGCAGTGGTGAAGTGAAATGCTTTCCTTGGCTCAGCCCTCTGGCCCATCTTGGACATCACGGAGGTTCATTCACCAAGCCACATTTTGGCAGCTGGGGTACCCCATGTACTGAAACTCAGGCTTGGTGGTAAAGCATGTGCTTTGCATCACGACGGCCCCTGGACCAATCCAGTTAAAAGAGTCAGGGAGCACAGGGCACGAAAGGGACTGGCTGAGATGCCTGGTGCCCGTCCGAGCAGACATTGCTGGACTAGAGGAGCAAGGCAGCTCCCCTGTTCCTCCGTCCTTGCCAGGCTCACGTGCGCCGTCCTCCTCTTTTCTCTGGCTTGACATAACCATTGCTTTGCGTTCCTGCCTTGGGCAAGCACTCAGGTTTGCTTCAAAAGCAGGGATTTCCAACCATGACCTGGAGTGCATTGTAAACCACGGTTTGTGGATTGGGATGTTCTGCTGGGTCATACGCTCTTCTTTTGGTTCTCCTATTTTTTTCTGAGGGATAGCTGTCATTACACTGTGGCATCCAAAATCAGACAACATGTTGTTACAGCTGGCCATGATTGCTTCTGAATCGGATAGGAAGCAGGGTTTGGCGTGCGTTTCTGAGCCGTGGTTTGATGGTCGGTGCCTGTGGCACTGAATCCAGCAGGCGTCTGTGTATTGAGAGAACATTGCCCTCGCCCTGCTCACCAGGAAAACGGCACCTCATCTTGCATTTATTAATATAAAAGCTGTGGGAGTGCTTACAGGAAATGCTTCTGGATCTGAAAATGTTACACAAAGGAAGATTTTGCTTTGTTTTACTCCTTTGCGCATGGTGGGAGGTAGTGATCAAAGTCGTTCCCTTCTCAGGTTGTTCCAACCTGTTCCATACGGTCAGAAGCCGGAAGGCAGAACAGCGTCTTTTCCCAGCACCCAAGTGCAACGCACGACAACTGCAGCCACAGTCGCTCAGCAGGGACAAGTGCGAGGCAGGTCACCTATGACCGCAGTGTCTGCAAATCAAGGTAGGAAAGGTATTGGCACTCCAGCTAGAGGAGAACTAGGGTTTCTGCGTGCTAGATTCCAGCCTGTTGAAATTGGACCTGTCCGCTTGCTTGCCATTACCACCCAGCCCATGGCAGTTGCGAGCAATTCGTTCAACTAAAGGGCCATGTTAAAGGTCTGAATTGAGTGGGTCCGTGTAAAGCTTGGCGTAGCAGTTGTGCCATTGTTTCCTCTCAGACTCGACTCTTTATTCGTATCCCTCTTGAATCAGGCCATTCAAAAACTAATGAAAATATAGGTGGTGGTCATTAAAAAGAAAAAGAAAAAAAGAATTGCTGGGTTTTCCAACCAGCTGTGTGGGCACGTGTTCACTTGCTTTGCCACTTGCTGACTTTTGCAAGAGTCTGGTCTCCCTCCATCTCGAGCAGGCTGGTTTAGCTGCCTGAACTGGCCCCTCCGTGGCCTAGAACTGTGGTTCTCAAAATGTAGGGGGAGCCTCTCTGAGCAGTGGGGTGAGCTCGCCCTGACCACGCGGCTCTCTTGTGGGGGCCTTCATGGGGCCAGGCGATCGGATGCTGCTCTCTCCTTCCCTTCCTCTCCGGCAATGAGCACCCAGCGGGCCTCTGCCCACGAGATCGTGTTTGGAGTTGGGCAAGTTCCAGAATCTGGTGTGGGTGCCCCTGTTCATTCCAAGCCCCTGCCCCTTTCACTTGAGCCTCTAAATAAAGCGGAGCCCGTTGAGGATACAGGCTTGTCTGGGTGCTTTGCCACCTCAGAACCCGCTGCACATGGAAAGCCAACCGATAGGTAGGACATTTAGCCTGGCCTGTCCGCTGATCGGCGTGTGCGAGGCATCGCTGAGCGGGGAGGGCCTCTGCCTTGCGATACGTCTGATGCTTTCTAGTGTGGGGAGCATTCCGTCGGGTGTGACTTGCCCCGGGAGGGCTGTGCGGTAAGCCTTTCCATTGGGTTCCATCTGCTCTGAAAGTGAACCCCTCAGGCCAATCAGTCTGACCCTTTTGGTTCCATAGAAGGGGTCCATTCCAGCTTCTTCTTGGATGGATGAACTATGTAGTTTCAGTGAGAGGCCTGCCTTGGGCACAGTTTGAGAACCACATGTTCTAGAACACGAATGGCTTTGGAAGCCAACTAATAGAAGCTGGCAAACATGCTGCCCATCGCTGGCTGTGAGTAACGTGCGAGTAACTTGCGGACACACCGAACTGATTGCGCATGGTTTTGACTGCTGTGACGCGGTTGGTCTGGAAGCTTCCACTTGGATGACCCAACCCGTGGAAACGAGGGGTCCCGCGGCGCTTCTGTGCCTAGCCTGAAATGTTTTACGGTTTAAATCAAATGAAGCTCTCCAATGCTGTAGCTCTTCGAAAACAGGACTGACTCTAACAGCTTGCACACCCCGCCCTTATCGATTGCAGCCGCCGCCACCGCCTCCTCCGCAGCACCACAGTTTCAGCCAGCTCAGTCTTCCATCAGTGCTCCTCCAAGACCGCAGCCAGCAGTGACCTTCGCCACCGCAACTAGCCCGGCCAATCCTGCGAAGCAGCGGGGCCAGAGCGCTGCGCAGGCCTTGCCACTAAGCCAGGCCCCGGCCCAGGTTCCCCCACACACCATCCAGCAGAGTGTCCTGCCTCAGAGGCTGGTACTGACCTCTCAGGCTCAGGCACGGTTGCCCAGTAAGTGCCCCCACCTCCCCTCTCCAGGTTTCTCCCACCTCTTCGTTTATGTTTTTTTCCAACTTCCCTGAGGTTAAGTTCTTAGGCACCCTAAACAATGTGTACAGAATGATTTTGTTTTGACGGCTTGGTTTGGTTCTCCCTTTCCCCCTCCTTCCATCATTCTTATGAGTAGTTTTGCTCCCTAATTTACTTTGTGTATTTGACCAAGGGTTGGAAACAAAAAATAATAACAATAATGCCCCAAATTTGGATGAGAAATCCAGTTTAAAAAATCGCTGTGGACATAATATTAGCGGTGTCAACTTAATCTCTTCTTTTCTGCATGTTTCCTCTGCTGGCCGGACTTCCTTTGGACCTGGAAAGTTTTGTTTTTTTTCAAAGAAAGCTCTCTTCTCCTCCTAATTTGATTCTTTCTTTTTGAAAACACTAACCTCATCCTGCTAAAGAAGGCCTCTCTCTCTCAAAGCCCTGGAGGCGAGCTGCAACAGTTAGGTGGAGGGTGGAGGGGAAATGCGGAGAGGTGGTTTTGCTTCAGAGTGTTTGTTCACTGCCTACTAGCATGTCTACAGAATACTGAGCACTCTTGTACTAATGTTTTAATCCTGGGGGGGAATAAACTGCCTTTGCAAAAGCTAAACATTCCACATCTCGAGTCCAAAACAATTAAGCAGACTTTTCTGTTGAAACCTTTTCAATGCGTTAATGCATTTCTGCAAGCATAGGGCGAATATTTTTTTCCCAGTTGACCTGAATTGTTTCGTGGATGTTTTTTTGTACCTTGGGTTTCATCTCTTGTGAGCCGCACTAAAGCTGTGTTCACACCAGACGGACACTTTAAGACTCCTCTTTAAAATTGCAGCAAGAAAACCTTTACAGTTTTTTTTAGGTAAGCAGGTGGTCTGTGTGAAATAAATTTGACACATTTGACATGAAAAAACCTCACTGAATGTGCTGTCCTAACAAATCGTGAAAAAAAATTCAATTTTTGTTTGTTTATTTAAAGTTTCTATATGTTGTTCCAATACTAAAAGTCTCTGGATGGCTTACAAAAAACAAAACAAAAAAACAAACCCTAACAACAACACACTGCAACAGTTGTTACAACAGTTCACTTCGTGATTCATCCTTAACTTTTTTTATTAGATTACAAGTGATTAGATTACATAGAACAAAATCAACCCTTGTTTCAGCTGCAAATTATTTAAACAGGATGAATTCACTGGTAATCCCCATGAAGTACCCTGTTACTTCTTGCACTTTCCTGCATTTTGCTTTTGAAAAGGCAGTAGAGGTCCAACCTTTATGACTTTCTGCTCTATGGTTTATGAAGTGTCACATGAGTTTTTTCAGGTCACTCTTGTCGCCCGTAAAAGTGGAAGGATAAGTTTCCCTCCCTCCCTCTCACCCTCCCTGCCCCCTTTCACCAAATCTTCTGCATTCAACAAGCAGAGCAAAACCTGTTTGTCTGTCACCTGTATCAAAGCAGTACCTGTGGAACTTTTATATGACACTTTCCCCTTCTCTGCACTGTGTATATTTCTGCATGGGGAGCGGGGGAAGCTTTAGCATCCATCTGACTAACTAGAAGAAGAGGAGAGGCAGGATCCCTGGAGTGCAGCCCCTCTCTCTTAATGTGCCTTTCTGTCCCACTCGCAGGTGGCGAAGTCGTAAAAATGACCCAGCTGACCTCCGCTGCAGGAGCACAGGGCAGAATCGCACAGCCGGAAACCCCTGTGACGCTGCAGTTTCAAGGAAACAAGTTCACGTTGTCTCACAGCCAGCTTCGCCAGCTCACGGCAGGGCAGCCTCTGCAGCTGCAAGGTACGGCAGCAAGCACTGATTCTCTCTTCCCTCTGCAGCAGACCCTTGGGCAGGGGGATGGTTCACACAGTTCAGGAATACACATTTACATACAAGTATAAATGTACTTCCTGGGCCTCACCCCTTTCTTACACCCACCATTCCCCAGCTGGCGCAGGTTGTTCCCCTTTCTCCAGGCAGGAAGAGCTTACAGTGCAATCGGGTGGTCTCTCTCGCCTCCTCCGCTTTTGCCCCAGACTATGGCCCAATTGCCTTTTGCACCCCACAGACCTCCTCTGGAATGGAGGAGGAGGATCTGCACTGCCGGCATATACTTCCTCCTCACAGCTTCCCCGTGGCAAAGGTCACCCTCTCAGGCTGGGAGTTGTCTTGCTGGGGGCCAGTGAATTTTGTTCCTTGATACTGTCGCCTTTGTGTCTGCCTTGAAAATCTCACCCAAGGACTTGGAAGGATTTGCTTTGACTTGCTCTCGCAGTATGTGGTGCAAGGAGACTGGCTGGGCTTGTTTTCGTTTTGACTTCATCAAGTCGGTTAATGGCTTCTCCCTGCTGATTGTTTCTAAACCAGGCAGCGTCCTGCAGATTGTGTCTGCTCCTGGGCAGCAGTACTTGCGGCCTCAGGGGACAGTGGTCATGCAGACAGTGTCACAGGCCGGGACCGTTCAAAACGCTCTGAACGCTTTGGGAAACCAGCACCTTGCCAGCTTGCCCACTTCAGCAGTAACGCAGCAAGGTAAGGGTGCTCTCCCTCGTGTCTGTTTCTAGAATGTCTTAGGAGTACACGCCATCTTACATGGCTGGCTGGATAGTCTTACTTCTCCTGCTTTCCTTGGTCTCTTTCACACTCCCTGCCCTCTTCGCTCCACAGTAGGAGGGGAGAGGTGAGTTTATTTAGACACCAGTGATAAAGTGGATCCAGGGCTTGCAGGGATGTGGTCCATATGATTTTTTCTCAGCAAGACGCTGACATCCTCTGCCACTCCCTCTTGGACTTTCTTGTGACCTCTGCGCTAAGCCGCAGCCCTCATGGTAGCAAGACATGGGTGGGGAGAAAGAGGAACACGTTTTCCTGGCAATATATTTGTCCCTGTTCCCATGTAACGTATTTTGGGGGTAGCTTGCTTTTGAAAGGCTAATTCGTTTTGCAAAAGTCTTGTGCCCGGCAGAGGTGAAAACTGCTGCTCTGGATTACTTGCCATGAATGAATATGGCTCCCCTGCAGTTTTGGGCTCTTCTTGAGGATATGTCTGTGGGGACTGTTGAGATGAGCCCATGAATGTCCAAATTTACCACTGCACACCTGTGCAAACACCCCCCCCCCCCCTTCCCTTGTAGTTCACAAGCTTCTTCACTAGAGCTGTTTTTCCGGTTTAGTCAGGTCTTCTCCCTTCCCGTGAAAGGAAGCTTCTCCCACTCCTTGTTTATTTATTATTTGCATTTATATACCACCCTAATAGCCCAGAGGGGCTTTTGTAGGGTAGGTTCTTACCTGCTAGATCGCTTGCTCATCCGCAGCATTTCCAGAGCTATCCTTAATCACTTTTGTGGCGAAATGAGAAACACGAACATTTCATGCTAGCAGTCCATGTGTTGGTTTGTGGTGGCAGGGTGGGGTGGGGGGGAGACAGCAAAGAAAAGGGAAAAGAGAACAGGCACTTTGCCCTCTGGGTTTGTGTCTGTGTTCATTCCCCCGTGCCCTGGGAGTTTCAGTCAGCCTGTTTCGGGGCTGGGGGGTGCTGTTATGGGAACATGTTCCTGGGAAGCGGTATGGCTAACTAATCCCCACACCCGATGGGAGGGTGGGTGGAGGTTTGTTTCCTTCCTTGTATGGCAGGGCAGGGGTGGGCAGAAAGTGTTGTGGACTGAAAATTCCATTGTTCCTGACTGTTTGCCATGCTGCTGGGGTTTTTGCCCACATCTTTTGATAAACCATGTCTGAATGCTCTGGGGAAAGAAACAGAGAGGTGATGGAAAAAGTCTTGGCTATTACCTGGCTTGATAGCATTGTCAAGCTTTTGCCCTGCAGAGCAATCCAGGGCTCTTCATTGGCCAAGCGTTTATATGGGGATCCGTTGATCGGCCAATCACAGTTGCCTGAAGATTCTCTGTTGTTGTTGTTGTTGTTGTTGTTGTCTGTGTGTGGGAGACCGTAATGCCATTTCTAGTGACCTGGAGGAGTAGATGCAGGGCTCTCGCGTGCCAGTTTGAATTAACCTGCAAAAAGTATGTTTGAAATGTATAAACACCTGGTTTATCTTTTAAGTGTGTGTTCCAGGTAGAGCTATGAGTACTAATTTAGCTTCCGGAGACTCAGCTTCAGCTTTAAAACCAAGCCTTATTCATGGAGGACACGCCCAGGTATTCCAGCGGATTTTGCTCTTTGAATTCAATTGCCAGTTTAAAATGGTTTCCCTTCCATTCTTTTTGGAATTGGAAAGCAAGCAATGAAAAAGCATTTTGATTCTGCTCTCTTCCTTTAGCATGTCAACAAAGGTATTTTTCTGCTTATAGCATGCTAGCTTTGTTTCCTTTTCAAGATGTATGTTTTACAATGAGAAAAATTTTGGAAGATTTAATTACTTTTAAGTAAGATTTAGAAAGAAAGAGATTCCATTCCAACCCTGGGAGTTGCCTTGGCTTGTGTCATTCTAACCTGGGCCTTCCCTTGTGTAGCCCCGGTTTTGCTCTAAGATTGTATGAGAGTTCTTTTAACTCCTGTTGCCTAAATTTGGATGATATGGCAACCCCCACTTAGGGGTTGCATACTCAAAATGTTGGGTGGCATCAGTGTACAATGAGCTGTCCAATTGTCTGAACCAGTTGCCCATGATGCCACGTGCAGATTCGAGTGATGTTTATGAAAGGCTGGATTGCTCAACAAAGTTCAGCTGGCTTTAAACTACTGTTTCTTTTTTTAATGTAGCGACAAGCCAGGAATTGGATTGTGTGTGACAGTACAAATGTGTTCCTCTTGGCCATGTTGGGACTGGGGCTGGGAGGAGCTCCTGTTGCTTGTCTCAGGTGCTCAGAGGCGAAATCCTCCACATTACATGTGGACCAGTCTGCGAAAGTGAAGACTGGGAACCCATGAAGTGGAAGCCCTGTTGTATTCTGCAAAATAACTTCCAGGAAGTTGGGAAATGCTTCTCTGTTGCCTTCTATTCCAGCATCTGAGGCAGCAGTGTGTCTTTCCCTGCCTTGCAGTCTTTTAATAGCAGAGGCCAGAGACTGAAATGGGGGCTTTCAAAGCGTGCGTCTCAGCCCTGCTTCCCACTCCCCACATTTACACTCTCATGGAATGCCCTTACGTAGCATTTTAGTGCATAGAAGCAGAATGAGGTAGTTCATAAAGTGGAACTAATCACTAGGAAGGAGTTTTTTGTTTTACTCTTCTGGAGCAGACTGGACTGGGAGCTCAGCTCACACAAGCCTCGCTGACATGGCTGGGGCAATCCTGTTGTTTAGCTGTGTTTTGTTGGGTTGTGCAGGAAAAAATATTACCTGTTGGCTTGGATTCTTGTAACTGCAAATGCAGCCTCATGTTATGCATCTGTATTTGGAATTAACACCAGTGGGATTCAGTGGAATATGCTCTCAGGCAAAGGAACTAAGCCAAGTGACTGATGTTGACCCACATACGGTCCTAACTTTAAGATGTTATGATTTTTATTATATTTTATTTTGCCATTTTCATACAAAATGAAGACATGTATGTTTGTTGGTTGGTTGGTTTGTTCGCGAAGGAGTCCTTTGAGGAAAAGAACAGACTTCTGAAGGAGCGCCTGGACCGACTCTTTTCTTGCAACGAGCGACGCTGTTCCAGAGCACCCATGTATGGCCGAGACCTTGTGGCCATCTGTTCTCTGGTGGGCGACCGAAAGTCGTGTCCTCAGTTTTCCACCGGGACAAGCAAATGGAGCTGGGCTGGCTTCGCAAACTGCCGCATCTCGCGGAACACTTCCGGGGACCCTCGCAGTCCATTGCAAGGGCTGATGTGGATGTTGGAGCAGCAGCGGGAATCCCTGAGGGATGCTGTGAACAGGTGAGCTTCAAAACTCCCACTCAGGATTTTAACTGGCTGCCTGGCTTCTGAGCTCATCCGCCCGCCCGGTCCTGTTAAGGATGCGCTGGGGGTCTCAGCAGATGTCATGGAACTGTGAAGGCTCACTGGTCCCTGCTTGGCAACGGATTCTAGCCACAGGCTGCTTTTCATGGGGCAGTTAGAAGAGAGAGAGAGTGTGTGTGTGTGTGTGTGTATTGGAGTGGTTTTCTGCATGATCCAGTGCTGCCCCCTCTGTGATCATTGGGAACATTCCAGTGGACGGCCTCAGTGTGCATCTCGCCCGGAGGTGGGCGGCCTTGTGGGCCCATGGGCTCAACTGGAGCTTCGAGGAACAGTCCGGGGCACAACCACAGAAGGGCTTCCCAGAGTGGGCTGGACGAGCCAAGTTGCCCACCTTTTTACCTAGGCCGCTTTCCCGTTCTTTCTTCCGTTCTCTTGATGCTTCTGGGTCATCTACGAGCAAATCATGAAGGCAGGAGCGTCCCTCTTCTCCAGCCGCCCCCCAGCACCTGGCACATGCCTCAGAATGCTGCCGGTTCTGCATAGTCGTCGTGACCAGAGCCACCGACAGCAAACCCTCTTCGTGTTTGTTTAATCGCCCTTCAAAAACCACCCGGGCCAGTGTCCATTACCCGCCCACCCTCCCATCAGACGTGAGAGGGAGAAGGGGACAGGGCCCATAAACCTTGATCCCTGGGGCACTTGGGCGCTTCCTGACGCCTAACTGGCAGGGTCCAAAGGAGCATGTGCCTCTCTCGGTGCCGCTTTCAGCCAGACCAGTTCTGCTGCCTTGCCTGAAGTTGGAGGGTGCCCTGAAGTTCTCCGCAAACCCACAGCAGGCCGCCGTGGTCTGCCGCTGCATTGCTCACCCGCCTCTTGCTCTCCCTTTCCCTGGCCTTCCAGGAAAGGAGGCATGCATTCCAGGCAGCTGAGACCCTGCAGAGAGGCAGTTTTGGTTCCCAGGCTGCTAGATTCATGCTGCTCCGGCTAATGTGGCTGCCATGCAAAACCACAGGCAACGTGACCTGCCTTGTTTCCCAGGGTCCTCTGTGTGCTGCCGGCCGCAGTGGCTGCCGCTCCATCTTTGCACGTGGCCAAGCTTCCCCCGCTGTATAGCCACAAGATGAAACTTCTCCGGCACCACCTGAAAGAGGAGGCATCCCCTTGCCTGCAGCAGCTGCAGCAGATCATCGCCCCGCGGTTGCTTCAGTTTCCTGATCTCCGGCTTGTGCAGTGTGACGCAGGTAGAGGAAAACCTTCTTTAAAAAAAAAGGTGGGGGGGCCACCAAACAACCCAAAAGCCAGGATAATATTCTGCACTAGGATTTTACACTTCCTTCTTTCTGAAATGTAGGGAAGCTGGAAGCCCTGGCGGTCTTGCTTCAGAAGCTGAAATCGGAGGGGCGCCGGGTGTTGATCTTATCCCAGATGATTCTCATGCTGGACATCTTGGAGCTGTTCTTGAATTTCCATTTCCTCACTTACGTGAGGATCGATGAGTGTGCCAGTCAGGAAGAGCGCCAGGTAAACAAGGCTGTCCGCTTCCTTGATGGTACATAAGGGCAGCTCTTTGTTAACTACCCCCCGCCTTAGTTGTTCTTTAAAGGAATAATAATGAAATCGGAGGGATAGGGCGTCTGGTAGGTACCAAGACTGCTAGTGAGCGATGCTGTGCTGGCGACCCCAGCATTGATGGGTCATTTATTCAAGTCGGTCCTCCGTGTGGCTGACACAGGTGCTAGGGAATTCCATGCAAGTGAATGAGCAGGGAGGTGGCCCAGTTGGTGTCTTGCTGGCCTTGTGAAGGAAGAGAAGCCTCTTCCTCCACAGCCAGCGTGGAAGACACAAAGACGTAAAAAATAAATGCAGGCTAGTGACTTTGGTGGGGTTATTTATAAGGCTGCCCAGCACCATAAGCCAAGGCAAGAGAAAGCGTCTGTTCCAGGGAGGACCACGGGTTAATGGTGGGCTTGTGAGCCGGCTGGAGCCGGGGTCAGCCTAGATGGCCCAGGAGGCCCCTTCTGACGCGCTCTGCCTCTGGGTTAATCATTCCCTCTGTGAGTCCCCAGTGCCTTTTATGCTGCTCTTGGCTGACGGTTGGCTCCCCCCATCCCCACCCTCTTTTCTGATCCAGGAACTGATGAAGACCTTCAACAGAGACAAGCGCATTTTCTGTGCGATCCTTTCTTCGCATAGCCGCTCCACGGGCGTCAACCTTGTGGAAGCCAATACGGTCGTGTTCTATGACAATGATTTAAATCCAGTGATGGACGCAAAGGCTCAGGAATGGTGTGACAGAATTGGCCGGTGCAAGGACATCCATATCTACAGGTGATTCTTTCCAAGGAGCTGTCCTGCGTATCGAGAACAAGCCGTCAGCCAGAGGGGCGAGGGGGAGCTTGGTAGCCTCAAGTGCTAGTTTCGTGGCCCTGGTTAGGGGGCACAGTGGAGGCATGGTATTGTTGCGTTCCCAGGCTCCCTGTTCCTCAGCCTGGTGTCCATCAGACGTTTGGACTGCAACTCCTATCAGCCCCATCTGGCATGGCCAATATGCCAGGAATGCTGGGAGGTGAAGTCCAGAACATCTGGAGGGCAGACCTACGATGAAACAGGTCTGCCTTTGAATGGTTGGTTTTGCTTTGCACCAGTGTATTCATGTTTTCTTCAGTGGCTGTAAAGGTTTGGCTTAAAAACCTTGGCAACTCCATAAAGTTCAGGTTGCTGTAACTGTTAGGTTTGCTCTCTGCTTTTAAGGTTTTCACAGACCTCTCTGGTTTCTCTAGGCTTGTCAGTGGGAACTCAGTAGAAGAGAAGTTCTTAAAGAATGGCACTAAGGATTTGATCCGAGAAGTAGCTGCTCAGGGAAACGATTATTCAATGGCCTTTTTAACACAGGTATTGCTGGTTCTCAAAGCACCCTGTTCTGCTTTGAGCTCATTTGGGTCCAAGTTTTAATTGTGGGCTGCCACATTTCCCTTCCCTCCCACTGTTTAGGTGACACTTGTTCCTCTTAGCTCGGTGTGGTGGTGGTGCTGGTGTTGAAGGTTGTGTGTCTCTGTCATAAGTGCTGTTGGAGGGAGCAGCAAGAATTGTCCGAGTTAGGTTTGGAGAGGGAGGCCAGAAGGGGAGCATCCCCCTTCTTGTTGGCAGTGAGGTTGACCTTCTCAAAGAATTTTGAAGAAAACAAGGAGTGCCTTGCTGCGTCAGACCAAGGAGCCACCTAGTCCAGCATTCCGTTCACACAGTGGCCAACCAGCTGCGCACTGGAGAACCACACGTAAGACAGGAATGCACCAGCAGCCTCCCACTGGTGCACAGAAGGCTCACTGCCTCTGATCCTGGGGGTTCCCCAGAGCCCTTGGAACCAGTAGCTGGTCATTCCTAGCCTCCTCCTCTGTGAATCAGCTGCATCCTCCTTTAAAGCCGTCTAAACGGGTGGCCGTCACCACATCTTCTAGTAGCAAGTTCCATATTTCGCCTGCGCACTGTGAGATGTCCTTTCATCTGTCCTGGGTCTCCAGCAACACCTTCATAGACTGATCGACTTTCTAGTATTATAAGAGAAGGAGAAAAATGCCTCCCTTCCCATCTCCTCCACGTCATGCAAAATTTTGTATATCTCTGTCCTGTCTTCCCTGCCACTTTTTTTCTCAGCTAAATAGTCCCAGATGTTGTGCTATTGTAAACCTTTCTTCATGCTCGAGTTTCTCCAGCCCCTTTTGTTGGCCCTCTCTGCACTTTTTACAGCTCTGCAGCCTCTCTAATATTCTGCAAAGCCTCGCCTATCACTGTGGCCAAACCTGTTTAACCCTGAGTTTACCTAGAACAGACAACATACATGGACATTTCCCAAAGAGCTTCATATGAGGCCAACTATTTCTTTTTGCTTTTTGAAAAGCCATTTTTTCGCCCTCTTCTTCCACAGCAAACAATTCAGGAACTTTTTGAGGTTCATTCTCCGATGGAAGATTCTGGCTTCCGGGTAAAAGCAGAAGAATTTGTGATGCTTTCACAGGAGCCGTCTCCAGCAGAAACTATCTCCCCCAAAGTGGCCAGGCCTTTTATAGAGGTAATTAGACAGGAATCATTTAAATGGAGTTTCTAACAGGCAGGATATGACTGCCTGGACTAAGCACGACAATTTCCTACTGCGACTTACATGACTTTTATTTCAGACTAAGTGTTTTTTGACTGTTCTGGTTCTTTTCTCCTCCTTTCTTTTAAAGGTTTATTAAAAACATATACAGGATCTATGTGGGTAATACACTGTATCCCTGATTGCTATTTGAGCCTTTAAAAATGTGTACTTTGTGTTTTTCAAAGGCTCTGAAAAGTACAGAGCGAGAGGCAGAGGAAGAGGAGCTGAACACATGCCTTCCGGATGCAGAGACTGGGTTGGCTTTAGACCCTTTTGTTTCGGAACTTGGCAATTCCCAGTACCTTGATGAGCCTTCGCCACTGCAGGAGTTGGTTGCCATAGTAGATCAGGTGCAGTTGATTCCCCATTCCTATTGAAGAGCCCTTTTGCCCAAGTCTGTAGTCTCCAAGGGCAACTAGGGGCCCTGTCTGCTCAGGCAGAGCTTCCTCTATGCAGTTTTTATAAGTGCTTCCCCCTAAAACGGGGGGAAGCCCTGTGTGTTATCTGGTAACACCTGTCCTGCAATAGCCAATTGCGGCAACCCCAAAGCTGCAAAACCCCAGTGAGTTTCTGCAGGTTTGAGATCTTGGTACACGTGAAACAGAACTGTAACTCTGCCCCCTGCTGAGCCAAACAATTTTGATCAGCCACGTTGATGAGGATGCGGTCTGTAAATGTAAGATCGTGTCATTTTAAAAGAAAACCCTTTATGATAATAGTCGTAAAAAGCCAGCGTTAGTTGCTTTGCTGAGGATGTGAGTCAGCAAAAATTGGTTGCGGTGAAGTCTGATCTCAAGTCCATCCCCTTACCAATGGGTTAGACAATACTGTCGTGCTAGGGGCACCGTCCTGTTGACTGTGCCGTAGGTGTTTGTAAACCTCCAAACTCCAAGACTGACAAGCTGCACAGCAATCCCTGGTTCCCTGTCCTTCCTGCTCTGCAGTGCAGCTAGACAGCGATTTTCAGCATGGGTCTTGCCATGCTGGCTGTGATTTGGAGGACAGGGAGTCAGAGCCTGTTTCCGGCCTTGGTTCTGGGAATCTGAAGTTCCTTGTGGGCCCCTGATGCTGTCCAAGGGCCACAGACTCCATTATTTGTTGGTGAAAGTCATTTCATTTGTTACCTTACATGCTATTTCCCTGTGCAAACAGAATTGTATATGGAATGTTCCTAAAATATTGTATTCCCTTTTGTATAATATTTAAGAAGTAAGATGGAATTCTGCTCCTTATAAAACTTCTGGATACAGATAGAATGGGTGAGAGACCTTGGGAAACCTTGCTGACTCACAGTTGTCCACTTTGCAATGACAAGAATGTGGTGATAGGCATTTTAGTTTAAGTCAATTGTGATTTTAACATTTTTTTCCTGCCACATAATTACTTTTCTGTATCTTCTCTTAGCTCACTCCGATTGAAAAATATGCTTTAAATTACCTGGAGCTCTTCCATGTTTCCACCGATGAGAGTGAACCAAAACAAAATGAGGTAGAGTTGTATATATGTATATATACATATGCATATAGGTTAGTATGCTTGTAATAGTGGACAAGGAAGCATTTGGCAGGGGCATCTGTGAAAGAAGGCAAAATGTAATGAAGATTACACTGTATTTTTAAGGCCATTATTTGATAATATCTTTATTTGGAACAACTAAATTGTTATAATACCAGTTCTCGAGTCCTTCTCATCTGACTTGGATGCAAGAGAAAATGGGATCACAGGGAGGAAAACTGAGTTTTATTTCCCTTAGGACAGGAGTGGTGTGCTTCAGAAACAAATTTATCTTTCTGTTTTCCTTGTAAAATGTACCAGTGTGTTAGTAATGGTCCCCCACCTTCAATAGCTAGGATATTTATTTATCGAGGCTGATTAGCTGTGTTTCTAATAAAGTTGGTCAGAGTGACACTGAAATAAACTAAATTAGGCAAAACCAGAAAGCAAGAAAAGGGCAAGAAAAAAGGATTCTTAGACCCTTGGAGCTTTAGACAAAAAAGTCATACAATTCCTAGCTTGTAGGGTTTTTTTCTGGAGTTGTAGAGGCGTGTGTGTGTAAGTATGTATAAGTCCATGCCCTAAATGAATTAAAAACAGTTACCAATAAAGCTGTATGAGTAGAAGCAGCAGGAAACAAATTGTAGACTGTTTTGCTTATTTACTCTTTAACAATTTTTATTCCACTCTTGGGTGAAAAAAAATCTCTCAAAGAATCTTAGAACAGAGCAGAAGGAGAGTAGTCTTTGCCCTCTGAAAGACTTGACATGCAAGGAAAAAAGGAGGATTGGGAAGAGATTTTTATATGCTGGGTTCACTTTATAAACAGAGTAAATAGTCATTTACTCTGTTTAACATTGGCCAGAGTTGGTAGGCAATTAATTAGCTCAAACCTAACTTCTGAACAGAGGTTTCTCTTCTAGTTAATGCAATTATAAAGTATTTACATAGCTTGTTTTCCAGAAAAACAATGCTATTGTGCTGATACATGATTTTTTTAAAAAAAGAGCTCAAGTGACCTATGATGGCATGTGTTAAAGAAGGTCAGAATGGTGGGGACAAAGCCTCTGGTACTGCCCAGAAGAATGCTTGGAGGGATGGAGAATGGTGCAACGTGTTTGAGGCTACAGTGTCGCTCATGTTTGCTTTTAATGCATGCATCATTGGTTTTTATGTTGGTCTAGGTGGAAGTGAGAATTGCCAAAAAGGCCTGGGAGACTCAGCATCTGAAGGAGCTAAAAGATCAAGAGGAGAAAATGCTTTTGGATGGTGGGGAGGAGGAATTTCTTACCTACACCCGGGAAGATGCATATAACAAAGTAATTTTCCTGTCAGCTTTTATGTAGCTTCAGTAGCTCTTAACATGTTTGCAGCTGGGACCTGGCCCAAAACACCAGCTCTGATTCTGTGTCAGCTGGTCTTGGAGGCTCTAAGGCGGCCTCCTCCAATCTGGTGGCCCCTGCAGGCTTCCATCAGCACCAGCCAGTGGTCAAGAATGCTGGGAATTGCGGTCCATAACACTGAGTGGCTGGGGAAGGCCACATTGTGAGGAAGTCCTCAGCAAATTCCCGAATCCCCAGACTTTGAGACGAGAGTGACAGTTGACTCCATTCCTTGATATCCTCAGAACTGAACGACTCTCTTTTACTCCTTCCTATGCAGGAATATATTTATGAAGGCCCAGATGGACAAACTGAAATAATGCCAGTGAGTCTTCTTATCTTGCCTGTTGTAACCAGAAAGTCAGTCAGTCAGTCTGTCTGTCCCTGTCCCTGTCCCTGTCCCTGTCCCGTCCCCTTCCCCCCTTCCCCTTCCCCTTCCCCCCCCCCCCCCCCTCTCTCACACACACACACACAGAGTATAGTGTGTGAAATGCAGGAGGACTAACCCTCTTCTGACATCTCATGCAGCTCTGGACCCCCCCAACTCCGCCTCAGGATGACAACGACATTTACATTGACGCTGTTATGTGTCTGATGTATGAGAACACCCTGATCCCGGAATCCAAGCTGCCTCCCGTGTATGTCAGGAAGGAGCGGAAACGCCACAAAACGGATCCATCGGGTAAACACGTGGTTTAGGCGAAGCTCTGTAGAAAGGGGTCTGCTTTTCCTTGATGTGTGGAAAAACACAGGTGCTTGGTGCAGGGAACAAGGAAAAATGGAGGATTTTACGTAAAGCTTGTGGAATCTGTTGTCAGCTGTGCTGGTGCGTGAAAGCATGAAGGCTGCCCTTGAGGGGACAGATCAGGGTCTGGGGTCCATGCAGAGAAACCTTTTCTGGTTTCCCTTCCGAGAGGTTAGTGGCAGGATCCAGGAGGGGCACAGATCGAGTTTGGGAGGCAGCAGTCCATTGGCTAGTATCATAGTCGGAGGAGTCGCATCCTCAAAGCAGCACCGGCCTCGCTTGCAGAAGGCTGCTTGCTTCAGTCCTTGGAAGAGGACGTGGCAGCTGCTGCCGAGACCAAATCTCTGCCTGAGAGCCTGGAGAAGCAGGGATGGTCTGGTGGCCGGATCATGTTCTGCACGTCTCGTGGTTGACGCCCTTTTCTGACTGCCTCACTGAGGATGGTCTTCCCCTCCCAGCTGCAGGCAGGAAGAAGAAGCAGCGCCACGGGGAAACTGTCAATCCTCCTCGGTCACTTTTTGACCGAGCCACCCCAGGCATGCTGAAAATGCGGCGGGAAGGCAAAGAGCAGAAGAAGAACATCCTGTTGAAGCAGCAGACGCAGTTCGCCAAGCCCTTGCCCACCCTGGTGAAGCCGGCGGCCGAGGCCGGCCAGGACAACCCCGAATGGCTCATCAGCGAAGACTGGGCCCTCCTCCAGGTCAGCATTGCCGGTGTAGGAGGGGTGCCAGGAGGCCGTTCTCCGCCTGCTCCCCATCACGTGCCAGTCCTTTCTCTTCCTCAGGCCGTGAAGCAGCTGTTGGAGCTGCCCCTCAACCTCGCCCTGGTGTCTCCGGCTCACACCCCCAACTGGGACCTCGTCAGCGACGTGGTGAACTCCTGCAGCCGGGTGTATCGCTCCCCGAAGCAGTGCCGCAACCGCTACGAGAACGTGGTCATTCCAAGAGAGGAAGGGAAGGTGGGTGCAGGCCAGGGCACGCAGGCCTCCTGGCACACTGCGGGGCGTCAGCGGCATAGGCTAGGGATAGAACACGTGTAAGAAGGCAAGGCTTCCCCGTGGTATTTTTGTTGTCTTAATCGTTTTACGTGGCAATTCCCTTTTTTTTATATTAAATTTGCAAGGTGCTTTAGAATCCTCACCACAGACCTGTGAGCTAGGCTGTCATGACGCCCATTTAACTGCTGGGGAGTTGAGACTAAGACATAGCAGCTTGTCCGAGGCCTCCCGGCATGCTTCCCCGCTCCGTTTTTTAGGGGGGTGATTGGGGATATGACCCCTGATCTTCTGGGCCTTAAGCTCCACCCTCTGCCCACTGTACCACACTGGCTCTGATAGAGACTTTCCATATATGTCACTGATCTACCCCCAAACCCATCGCAGAAAGTCAAAACTTTGCTTCTTATTTTACAGCTTATGTATGAAGCGAACCCTAAGAAGAAGACAAAAAGCATTTATAAGGTGTGCACTTATAAATTGTTGTTCCAATACAGACAGTCTGGTATCTTAAGCATCAGCAGAGGTGGACACAAGATGAAGTAGGAGATCATATCTGAGTCCCGATTCGAGAGCTGAACCAGCAATTTAACGCCTTTGCATCTATTCCGCGTTGGCGCAATAGATCGTGGCACCTTGGTCGACCTTGGTCTCAAAGATACGAATTAAAGCACGATTTCTCACACTTAAGCCGCTTTAGCCAGCTTGAATTCTTTAAAAAAACAAAACAAAAAAACAAGTGTTTTGTCCACCTCCCAGAAATGCCACTTCATTCCGCATGATTATTACAATTAGTACTTTTTTGAAATTGAAATGTTTTGTTATTAGCTTTTTTTTTCTTTTTTTACTTTTCATTTTGAAATCTGATTGCTTTGCAGACATTTAATGAATTAATTCCTGCAACGCCCCATCAGGTAACGTATCACACCCCGATTTACAGTTGCAGCAATGTAGCTGCACATTTCACAGCAGCAAAACATCTAGGTAGCTTTCCAGAAACCAGACTGCGCTTCAGGGGACAGAGCTGGGTAGCACAGGCAAAGGGCTTTGGGCATCGCGATGCAGATTCCGCTCAGCCTTTTTTCTGAAGAGCAACACTAAGTAAAACCTTTGAGGTGCTGCGTATGAGCAGGGCATCCCTTAGAAATCAGCATTAGGGTGAAGAAGCTGGCCCGTGTGTGTCTTTTATGTATGCCTGGTGAAAGGTCAGGAGGGACAGGATGCTGTGGCGCTGTTGAAGTTTAGCTGGGACGTACTAACTCAAGGATCCCCACAGGCCCCGTGAATTCTCAGGAAGAGGAGAATTTAATGGAAACTCTCAAGACGTCGTCTTGGCCTGGCTGGGAACAACTCCCATGTGACAGCACAGCTGAATAGGCAGGGTGGCCATGCCTTTCTGGCAGCTCACGGATTGGCTGCTTGAATGCCGTAGGAAGGCTGGGCAATTTCAAGCGAGGCAGGTGGGGGCAGGATGGCGGAGGTGGGGAAGTAACTCACCCCCCTCCAAATCAGGCTGTTTACTGTGATCCAGCTGGAGGAGTGTTGGGCCATATGGCTGCTCAGCCTTCAGTGCATGGTTTCCATTTGTACCGGCAGAATAATCAGGATAATAAGGTTTTCAGTGGATCAGCCAGAATCTTCTGGGTAGGGAATGAGGAGCAGGCAGAAGCAAAGGAGGAAGACCATTTGGTGTTCTCCTAAAGATATAGACAGGGGAAAGAGGATGTGGAATTACCTTCTGCAGTGTGAAAAATGAACAGAGAGTTGTTTTAAATTTAAGGATTCTTTGGAGTTGCAGGTAGATCATATTTCTAAAGCATTCTTAACTCTCCAGTCTTTATGACACATTGCAACTTAACCTGGTATCCTTATTTTTATTATTTCAAACTCCCTTATTTCATGTCCACAGATCAGCAGTGTACAGAATACTTCCTGATCTGCCAGCCATGCTTACGAGGCTGAGCGCAGCCCATGGGCTCCCTGCCTCCTCCTGCCGCCTCCGCTTTCCATTCCAGAGCTATCTGTGGTGCAGAATTTGTCTCTGCACCAAGGTTACTGCTAACCACGATTAACTTTCTACCAGAGCGTATGCATCTCCTTCAGAAAATTCTTGCAAACCAAGAGTTGAAGCAAGGAGCCGTGTTAATGCAGATACGGTGGCATAGCACGGTTCAATCTGAAAAGCAAAGTGAGGGAACGTAAAGGTGAGAGAAGGAACACAAAAACCTGGGCTCGCCCTCCCCTGTGCTTAAGATCTGGGGCCTGCGCAGCAGTAGCTTGCATTCAAAGGTGTGTGTGTGTGTGTGACCTGTTCTTGATCTTGTATTCTTTGTATATTGGGACTCTTACATAGGTAAGCATACAAGCAGAAGCATTTGCTGTATTTTTTCCTGCCCTGCGTAAAATGCTGTTGCTCTGTTCGCATTTAGACAAAGAACAGTCGTCCGCTTCGTACCAATCAGCTGTATGCCCAAGACGAAGGCTCGACCCACACCCAGCTCTACACGAATCATTTTGAGATTATGAAAATGATTGCTGGGAAGAGAAGCCCACCCATAAAACCCTTGTAAGTTCATGAAGAAGCCAGTCTTGTTAAAACTACTACAGTAAAACGATTCAGTGTAAAAAAAATATTCTGATATAAAAACCTCTAGAACTGCCAGGCAGTTTTTTAGAATAATTTCCAAACTTGTTGCCTGAAGGTAAAGAATCCTGTTTCCCATTCTGCCTGGGAAGCACTTTCCATAAACAAGGTGCCACCACTGAAAAGGACTCTGGCAAGTTACTGCCTGCCTCATCCCTGGGGGATGAGGAGAATTGGAGAATCGCCTCCAGTGCAGGCCTTAATGCTTAGATTGACTCGTTCTGATCCTGACCCATGCAGGGCTCAAAGGGGTAAGACCCAGAGACCCCGTGCCCAGGAACAAACAGCAAGCCAGCAGAATGGCTTCAGTGCTGTTCAGAGAGCGCATTCCAGTTATTCCTCTAGCTGCCACACTTTGCACGCACTGAAGCTTCCAAGCAGTCTTTGGAGGCAGCCCAGTTTTGTGCAACTCATGGAAGCGGATTTTGCCAGAACTCGAGTCTGAAGGCCACTGCACTCTGCTACCATAATGGATCCTGGCCATACACTTACTTTTCCTTTTCTTGTGACCAAGTGGTGGTTATTCTCATGTATTTATTTCTAAAAATGTATGTGACATTGTTAAATGGCATCCGTTTACAGCACTGCTCTTCCCAATTGTATTTCAGGCTCGGCATGAATCCTTTCCAGAAGAATCCCAAGCACACTTCAGTATTAGCAGAAAGGTAAGAAAAGAGAGATTGGGAGAAGGCAGTTGTGCTGGAGCTAAGTCCAGTGCTCCGCATGGATTCCTAGTACCCTCCTTTGGTTACACTGTTCTGAGAAATCTGGAGAACGCATGGGGGTTGTTCTGTCTCTGTGTCTGAGGATGAATGACAGAGTAACTGGAAAATGTATTTGGAGCAAAATGCGAAAGGAGTTTAAAATCTCCTTTGTGGTTTTAATCCCCCAGCATTCAGAACTGGCCACTCTTTGCATCTGGGTAAATCACGGCTACTGATGAAAGGCAAAAGCCAAAACATTCAACTTTATATTTCAAATTACTGTGTTGTTAGTCTATCTTTCTTGAGTTGGAAAAAGTACAGAGAAGGGTAACAACAGGGGACTGGAGCCACTCCCCCAGGAGGAGTGGCTACAGCAACCAGGACTGTTCAGCTTAGAAGAAAGGCGAGTTGAGGGAAACATGAGAGGTGTTTAAAATAATGCTGGAGAAAATTGAGGGAGAGGTCCATTCCACACCGCCCCCCATGACACTAGAACCCAGGGTCATCCCATGAAGCTGATTGGTGGGAGGTTTAGGGCAGACAAAGGGAAGTGCACAGGGTACAGTTAAACGAGGGAATTCCCTGCCATGGGAAGTGGGGATGGCTGCCAACCTGGTGGCTTTAAAAGGAGATTGGGCAGATTGGAAGAGGAGGCCACCTGTGTCTGCTAGCCCTGCTGGCCACGTGCTGTTTCCTTTAACCAGGGGTGGCCTGCCTGCATGCACCCGTTGCTGAGGAGCTTGGGCAGGGGGAGGTCTTGCGCCCATCCTGCTGGAGGGGTCCTGTGGGCAGCTGGTTGGCCGCCACGTGCGTGGAGTGCTGGACTGGATGGACCTCAGGTCTGATCCAGCAGGGCTTTTTCCCTGTTCCTGTATATTTGAACGGAAGATCAGCTGCACCTGTAGTTGGTCCCTGTTGCTTGTCTGTGGTGCAGCTTTCCTGCTCCCCCTCCCACCTTTGCGTATGACTCTGGGCGCAGTCCAGCTAATGCAAAGCACGTCCAGGCTCACCGATATCAGTGGAAGATGCTTTAATCACATGCTTTGTTCTGCGGGCAACACCAGCGGGGTTTAAAACCGCTTGCTTTTTTTCTTTTTTCTTTTTCAAAATGTCCACATCTGTTTATTCTTGTTTCTAGTGGCATCAACTACGATAAGCCACTCCCGCCCATTCAGGTCGCATCCCTCCGAGCCGAGCGCATCGCAAAGGAGAAGAAGGTACGTCAAGCGCAAGGGGGAGGATCTCACTCCCGGAGCTCAAAAACGGGTCAGAAACAGCGGCTCAGGGACAGACCTGGTCTCGGCACTGTCTCCTTGTCGTCGGTGTCGAGCTCGCGGATACGGTCCGTGTCGCTATTTTGCGATAGCCAGTCAGGTGTGTGATGGCCATTCCAGGAGTTGATTATTATGGTATGCCTCACGCTGCCATCTTCTCACCGACAGCCCAGTCCTTCGTTTTGTGCCAGCTCGTCTCTTCTCAGGGCAGCTCCTGCGGCTCCTCCTGCCGGTGCAGAAGGCGGGGCGGGTGGTGTGGGGGAGAACGGCTGCCCGGATGTCTCTTCCACCGCTCTGCGTGCAGCAGTGTGTTGCCTGTGTGTGAAACTTGGCGTCGATCCTGCGGCAGGCTTGCTTGAGCGGAATTCGCAGCTGCAGCCGGTCCAGGGTGTGATCTGGACCAGAGCTGTGATGACGCTTGTGGGCGGAGGGGCTCTCTTCCCCCAAACTCTGTTTCAGTGGAAGGTGACAGGGCCAAATCCACCCTCCTCCCTGCATGCTGTTGTCCCTTATCTCAGGTCTCCCCTGCCCCCTCCCAGTCTCTCCTGTGGCCAGAGAAACAGATCATGTACCAGGGGCAACCCCTAAGGAAGGACCCCGTAAGCATGCCTTTGGCATCACCGGACGGGGCTTTGCCCATCCCGATGACCATCACCCGCCCGGACCGGCGGAGCCAGAAGCAGCACCGGCCTCTCTTCCTCCTTCCCCAGGCGCTGGCTGAGCAGCAGCGGGCCCAGCAGCAGGCCGGGCCACAGCAGCAAGCCGCCCAGCAGCAGCCTCCGCAGGGAGCGGTCCAGCAGGCCCAGGCTCAGCCCCAGGCACAGGCACAGGTGGTGCAGCAGCCCCAGGCCGTGGTGCAGGCGGCCGCAACCACCGTGGCGAACACAGCAGTGCTGGTAAGACAGGGTCGCTTCCCCAGGCGCCTCGCGCGCGAGAGGGACCGTGCCTGGCGGCAGAGCAGTGAGGCCGGGCAGGATGGGGTGCTCTCCTGGGTTTCAGGGCACAGATGATTTGGACTGCAAGGGCTGGGGGAGATTCTGTGAATCTAAGTACCCATTTTGATCATATCTCCCTTCTTAATGCAAATGTTTTTGGACCAGGCTGGCACAATGAAAACCTCAGTGACTGGAACGAGCATCCAGACAGGTAAGGCACACCTTCTGCAGCAGGGTGCCAGGCGTGCTGGGGAAATCACGGCTCCCTTTCCCGTCCCAGTCCCAAAGCGACTTTGGCTTTGCTTTCAGCCACAGTGAGTGGGAACGTCATTGTGAACACGGTGGCTGGCGTCCCGGCAACCACCTTCCAGCCGATCAACAAAAGGCTGGCTTCATCTGTGATCCCCGGAACGCTGGCCGTAAGTATGCTTCAGACGCCCAGCATGTCATCCTGCACATCGAACCAGGGCAGTGACTTCAACACTTCCGGGGGGCCGGATCAGGACGGCATATGCAATTGCTGTTGGCAGGGATCAGTGCCCAAGGAGCCAGCCAGCTTCTACCAGGCCAGGCGCCTGGCTCAGCCCGGAATTGTTGGCGTGGGCCTTGGGCCAGGACCTGCTGCAGGCCAAGCGTGCACCCTGCTCTTGAGGGCAGCCCTGCCTCCCTGGAGAGCTCCCTTGCTCTGCGCTGGCTTGTGTGGCAGCAGGCACGTGGGCCTGCGAAGCCGCGGGGCAGGAGGAGAGCACACCTGATTGCAGCTTGGGACCTGCTTTCCGATGCTGCGGTGGGACCGGGTAGCCTGAGCCAGCAGCTCCCTGCGCAACTGGAGGGCGAGGATTCCCCCAGCCTTGTTTACTGCACGCCCTGTCAATGCGGCGGCTGTGCTTAGCGGCGCCACAAACAGTTCCCCGTGAAGAGCCACGTCTGGTGTTACTCAGGGGCTGGGAGGTCTCATCTCTTTCTCCTTTCAGGCTTCAGGAGGGACTGCTGCAGCCCAGGTGGTCCATACCCAGCAGAGAGCAACGGCCGCACCCGCTGCGCCTGCGGAGTTGGTCACCATCGCATCGACTCCCGGGGTTCGAGCAGTGACGTCCGTGACGGCCTCGGCCGTGGTCACCACTAATCTGACTCCAGTCCAAACCCAGGCGAGATCCTTGGTCACTCAGGTCACACCAGGTAAAAGAGCGTTACTCTTACCTCATTTCCATGGTTGAAGCATGTTTAATTCTTCTTGTTCTCATTATTTCCATTATTTCTGTTATCACCAGCATTACTGTCTTCTTTTAAGGAACCCAAGGTGGCACACATACCCGCCTCCTATCCTCTATTTTATCCTCACAAGAACCCTGTGAGGTAGGTTAGGCTGAGAGTCAGGGACTGGCCCATAGTGACCCAGAGAGTTTCATAGCTGAGTGGGGCTTAACACCTAGACCTCCCAAGGCTCATCCAAGATGCAGCACTCTTACCCTGCGTTGCTTTAGAATGCTGGCTCTTTAGAATACAGCGTCTGCTGCACGTATTTTAAATTTTCTACTTGTTTGACGTACTGTGTTTTAAGCATTTAGCCTGTATGGTTTTAAGCGACATCTTTTATCAGCTGCACTGGGTCTCCAAAGAGGAAGGGAAAATGGAATAAGCCGCATACACGTAAATGCAGCCTCCTGCTGTTTCGTTATCCTACTTGTGGTGTTAATTCAGAAATCAGTTTCTGGCTCTTCCCTGCCCATGAGCTAGGATGATAGGGTGGACGATGACGATGTAACAGTAAGGACTGTTCAGGTCCTGAAAAAACGTTCATGCCTCGAAGACTTGCTGAGTGTGGAGGGTGTCTGGTGTGCACCATTTTGGTTGATGGATCTCAAGATTATAGTACAAAACTCAAAGTACTTGCATCAGGTTGCAGTCTGTTCAGTTCTGAGTTGGATTAATCAACCAAGGAGTCGCTTGGTCCAAGCGCCCCCAGTCATTGAGCAAGAGACTTTTGAAAGGTTTTAATTTTAATGCAAGACACAGGGTGGCATGGACCACCTTAAAAGAGGCATTCTCTCTTCTTTCTCACACCTCATGCGCAATAGAATGCTTCAGGTGACGTCTGCTCTGTGTTATCTCAAAACAAGTCTGCTCACAAGTATTTGTCTGGTATTTCTTTCATCAGATAACTAAAACCCTTAGAGGGCGCGCATCCCTGTGTAAGTTTAGACAGAAACAGGCCCAGAGCGTGGCTGACTGACTGGGTCATGGTGGGACTTGTAGGACCTTTTTGGTCTAAACTTGCATGCGGTTACACTTCAAGCACCCAAGAAAGACTGAACTGGAAGGAAACTCAACCACTTTAGTTCAGATGTAACACCCTGCTGCAATTTTGTGGGACAAGAACATGGTGTCATGGCTCCTGCACTCCCTCGTCCTCTTGCCTCCCTCTGTTGTTGTTCTTAGAACTAAAGCTTGTGCTTGATCCTAGTCTCGAATCTTTGGCTGGCAGGAGAAAGCACAAACTGCAGCTTGCCGGCTTGGGGTAAAGCAGCAAATGGCAGGGGTTGCCTCAAACCAGGATAACAAGAAGAGGTGGGAGGGATCGCTGTTTGTGAGGAAGGGGACATGAGAGCCAGAAAGCTGGGCAGGTAAGGCCGAGCCGGATGGTCTTATAATTCTTCCTTTTTCCCCCAGCAGCTCCAGCAGGTGTGCAGCTTTCAGGAAAGACCATCACCCCGGCACACTTCCAGCTTCTGCGGCAGCAGCAGCAGCAACAGCAGCAGGCCGCAGGCCAAGTGCAAGTCCCCCAGATTCAGACCCAGGCTCAGGCCCAGTCGCCAGCCCAGATTAAGGCTGTGGGCAAGCTATCCCAGGTGAGGAAGAGGGTGCCAGGCTCGCGACTGCCAGCCATGTTGGGAGAACGGTTTCCGTGTCTTCTTCATTTGCTTTCAACTGCAGCGGCTTTCTAAGCCCAAAGGGCCCCCAGGCTCACCAGGAGTCACCAGGGCAATGTTGATCGCCTGAGGCCAGCAGTGACCCCTCAGCCTAACTTTGCACGATCCAGGTTCGAGTCCCCACTCAGTTAAGAGACTCCCTTAAGTGTCTTTGGGGCAGGACCTGACTCTCAGCTTCACCTACTCAACGGGATTGCCATGGGCAGAAAATGGAGAGGCAGAAGGCCGGACAAGACAGGCACACAGTGCATAGTGTAAACGTGTTGTGCACGCAGTGATGTCAGGCTCCTGGCAGGAGCTGCTTGGGAAGGGAAAAGAGAGAAGGGGTGGCAGAACGAAAGGGAAAGGATACCCACCAACCGTGGGCTCTGGGCCCTGCCTACTGGGACTTGGTTCTAGCTTACCACTAAAATGCAGCCCCCAACAGGTTACCTACGGAGGAACGCAGCCTTCGGCAGGAAAGAGTTGCCCTACCTTATCTTAAGGGATTGGCTGTCCGTGGCACCCTGATGCTCCTTGACTTGATCAAGTAGAAAGTACCAGCCAGCGGGCTGCGCTTTGGCGACCAGGGAAATCAGACCCTCCTGGCTCCGAAAGCCATTCATTGAACGCGGAGCCATTTGCATGTATCGGCAGGTGATCTAGTGCATGTGTGATGTTCGGAAGGCGATCCCCGAGCAGGAGTCCTGCGAGCAGGACACACACAGTTGGAGGGACGCAGCCCAACCGAACACCGTGCCTTTCCCCCTTCAGGAGCAGCTCATCAAGTTGCAGAAGCAGAAGCTGCAGCTCCCCCAGCAGCAGGCGCAGCCCGGAGCCCAGCAGCAGGCCACTCAGGTCCAGGTGCAGCAGCAGCCGCAGCCGCAGCAGCCCCAGCAGCTGGCGGCGGTGGCAGCGCCGAGGCCGGGGGCCGTCCTCACCGGCACCGCCGTCACAAACCTCCAGGTCGCCCGTCTGGTGAGTGCTCGTGGGACCGGAGAGCGCTGCTGGAACAGGCCCCAGCGCTGCCTAGTGCAGCGTCCCCGTTCTCACGGCGGCCAGGCATCCGCGTCCGGGAAGTGCGCTTAGCAGAGCGCGCAGCAAATACCCTTTCTCTGGTTTGAAGCCAGGCGGTCGGCCGGCCTTAGGCATTTCCACGCTGTTCTCATGGCTCATCATGGCTGCCCCCCCCTCCTCCATGGAAGTGTCTGATCCCCTTTCAGAGCCATCCTAAGTCATCGCTCTGTCTTCTGGCAGTGAATGCAGCACGTTAGCTACTGGCCATCTGATGGGACGCATGGCCATCTTTTCCCCGCACTGCCTTGGGCTCACCACCAGTCATGGTTGCTGGGTGACTGAGAGCTCTGCTACTGCCGGAGAGGAAAAGGACAATGTCATGGCCCCGCCTTCCTTCTTGCCATGCATCATTTTGCAGAGCTGTCGCAGCTCCCCTTTGCTGTTGATGTTTTGGGAGCTCATTGACACATTCTCAGAGCTAATGCTCTGAATGGCAGAATTTGGCCACTCAAGGCAGAAATCAGGCACTTGCGTGGAGCAGTGAAGACGTGGGAATTCTGTAACACTTGTAACACTCTCTTCTTCCATGGCCCTCCCCAGCTAATATGCAGTGCAGGTCCTGAGGCTTTGAGATCATGCTCTGGAGTTAGTTCCCTGTATCCCAGATGGTCATGCTACCTTTTGACTCTGCCGCACCTGGAAATCCTTGGACAAAAAGCCCGCGTGCCTCCGCACTGTGCGAACAGGCAGGTCTGCCAGTGTGTCTGTACAATAACCCCACTTCCTTCCCGCTCAGACTCGTGTCGCCGCTTCCCAGCTCCAAGCACAAGGCCAGATTCAGGCCCAGACGCCGCAGGCCGCGCAGGTGGCTTTGGCCAAACCTCCCGTGGTGTCCGTCCCGGCCGCCGTGGTGTCCTCCGCCGGGGTCACCACGCTTCCCGTCACTGTCGCTGGGATCAGCGTTGCCATTGGGCAGCCACAGAAGGCCGCAGGTATTCTGCCATGCTTAGGTCCTCAGGTCTGCGTGCGTGTGTGGGCGCGTGTGCAGAGGTGTGTGTGGGTTGCGTGCGGGTGGGTTGCGGGGGCCGATGAGAGAGCAAAAGTCGTGCTGATCAAGGCTCCTTCCTTCCTTCCTTCCTTCCTTCCTTCCTTCCTTCCTTCCTTCCTTCGAGCCTCTTTTGCTGCTTTTCCCTGGCAGCAGCGCCAAAAGGTGTATCCTTTGATTAGAGGATTTTCTGGTGTTGAGGTTGCAAGCTCTTTAGTGACAGCAGAATCTCTGAAGGTACTGCGGCTCCAAGAACCGCACAGGTTGCTGTTCAGGGTCTGTGAGGGGAAGGGCACCTGTCTGCTTGGCTCTTACAGGGTGCTCGTGCGGGGCAGGATGAGTCCCGGGAAGAGGTCCTTGGGATCAGCTGCTCAGCAGAACTGACCGCAGCACTGCTCCACGCCTCTCCCCTCTGCAGCCCAAAAGGGTTGCATGGACCACCCCCCTCCTCCCCTCCTCCGTCTCTCTGTGCTGGCTTGTGTTCAGCACGTCGGGTGCAGCCCTTCCAGCAGCTGGGCTGCATCCTGCTCCAATCCGTTTGGCTTGGAAAGAGTGGGGATGCCTCGGTGGGTGGCAGCCATGCTGAGAGAGGTTGCAGAGAGAAGGCAGTCCAGGCTCACGAGGGCTCTGGAAGCTTTGAAGCCCACCTGGGTGGCATCTTGTTTTCTTGCCATGTTTGGGGCTGTGGAGCAAAATCTCCCCGGCCTGGAGCAAAAATTCTGAGACACTTTTCTCCAAGACTTGCTGTGTCTTCAGAGAAAGTCCCAGTAGCTTGTGCACCTTTAGGATTGGCCAATGAGGGCAACCCAGGCCAATGACCCCCTTGCCACTGCTCTGGGCAACTCTTGGCTGGGGGCGGGAAAACGTCCAGCTATGCTCAGCACGGTCGGGGTGGCAAGCATTACCTGGGAATGAGGAGATTGAAGCCGCCTCTGCCGCACCGTCCTCTCTCCTGCAGGAGGGCAGACCGTGGTGGCTCAGCCGCTCCACGTCCAGCACCTGTTGAAGATGAAGCACCATCAGGCGGCCCAGCAGCAGAAAGCCATCCAGCCTCAGGTTGCCCAGGGACAAGCCGGCGTTCAGCAGAAGGTCAGTCTCCCCGGTGCCGCCACCGCCACTCTCTGCATCGCGGTTCAGTGCAGAGGCATTTGCTTCAAGCTCGAGGTCCTTGCCGAAGGCTGCGTTTCCCTCGGTGCAGGAAGCCAGGCGAACGGGCTGCTGGAGGCCCCCTCAGCAGAGCCAGGCTGTGCGTACTGAAGGCAGGCGTGCGTTCAGCTCATCCTATGGCCTGGCGCCCCCGACACGAGAGCCCACGCTCCCCGTTTGCTCTTTCAGATCAGTGCCCAGCAAGTCACCGTCCAGGCTCAGCAGCAGCCGTCGCAGCAGCAGAAAGTCTACGCAACTCAGCCAGCCATTAAAGCACAGTTCCTGCCAACATCCATTTCTCAGGCCCAGAAACCTGGTGTAACGCAGCAGGTGCAAACGCAAATACAGGTACGGGTAGCCTGGGGCTCTCCCCACCCGTGGGGGGGAGGGGGGCAATCAGCTGCATACTCCCAGCGGCCCTTTCCCTGCAGCTGCTCATCCTCAAATCCTGCCTCCCCCCGCCCCATCAGCGTGCCGCTCACAGACATTTGCGCGAGGCAGCCTCCCTCCTCATTAATGCCAAGAACTTCTCCCCAACGTGTTCCCACAGGTCGCAAAGATCCCACAAGTGGTCTCGCAGCAGCCAACTGTGGCCAATATCCAGCAGGTGGTTTCGGTGTCCCAGCAGGTAAGCATTGCCGGAAGGTGCTTCCAGTTCAGCCTGGGTCAGAGCCGTCGCCCGCGTGCCTTCCACGACTCTTTCCTACTCTGCCTCGTTGCTGAGGCTTCGCTCCTGAGCGCAGTTCGTTGTGACCAGATTCCAAAGAGTCTGGAGGACCTCGCTGGCTCCATGCTTTGTGGGGGCCCGGTGCGAGGAACCCTCAAAGGGCCCCTTCCTCAGCGAGGCCCCCTTCTCCCCACCACAGGCCCCGGCTGCTCTTGCTCCCCCCGCCGTGGCTCCCGCTTGCTTGCTCACTAGGCAAATCACCAGTGGACTAGCAGGCGGGGACACCCGCTCTCCTTCGCACCATTGCCTGGGCCAGAGCAGGGGGCAGGTGACCAAGCAGGTCGCAGAGCTGAAAAGGGGGAGCGGATCCAGGGCGCACTTGTCAAGGGCCCCTGACCATGCTGACCTTGGAGATGGAGTTGCCTGGAGGGTCTCTTCCGGGGATCCCTGGCCTCAGAGATGGAGGATCCGGGTTAATTTATTTTTCTGCTATTTGCTAACGGCAAAACCCGTTAGCAAATGGATGGATGGCTAGAATCCCTGAATGGAGGCACTCCTTACACCAACTGGATTATGTTTCAGGCCTCTCTTTTTAATGTATTCAGTTCATATCTAGCACCACCACCAGATTTCATGGCGACTGGCAATCCAAAAACAATCGAAGTATCTTTTGAAAATACTGAAATACAATATCCCGATAGTATACAGGATTTCAGCAGCCTTGGCCAACAGAAAGGTCTTTGCTTGCTGCTGAAAAGAGATGTTGGGTTTCGTGCCAGGAAAGTCTTGCAAAGAACGACGAGGTTCCCGTCTCTACCGCTTCCACATTTCCAGCTTGCATACTTTCTGTCGTGTGCGTGAGGGAGTATAAGGTCAGGACTGGCTTCTTAAGAAGGACCGACCTCCTAGGAAAGTGTCCGATTCCCTAGGGACCGTTTTATCTCTCCCACTACTTCTCTCGCCCCACCCATTCCCCAAGGTCCAGGCTCAGCCGCAGACGGTGACTTTGTCCCAGACAACGGCCGGGCAGCATCAGGTCCAGGTGATCCCTGCCACCACCGCCACCGCTCAAGTGGTCCCGCAGAAACTGATACAGCAGCAGGTGGTCACCACGGCCTCCCCGCAAATCCAGGCCCCCGGGGTCCCGAATCCGGCCCAGGCACCCGCGGCGTCGGACAGCCAGACGCAGCAAGCCAAAGTGCAGATGAGGGCCCCCGTCAGACTGAAGGCTCCCAACAAGCCCAGCTGAGCCCCCGGCCTGTCGGCGGCGAACGAGGGCACAGAGCTGTTCACGCCTTCCGGAATCTGGCGAAGAGCGGGGCCAAGCAGCCGCCTGCACGCAGAGCGAGGCTGCGCGGCAGAGACCCCTTCTCGACGCTGCGTATTGGGAGCCCCGCTTCCAAACAGACTTCCAAGGAGGCTGCTTGCCTGAACCACTCATCGTGTAAATATGGAAAGACTCCATCTTCGCTGCTCTGTTTTCACAAGCAAGAAGGCTGCTTGCAAGGATCTGTAGCCACTTGGTCCCACGTTCCGTTGCATCATCACCGCTGCGAGGGGGAGATCTGCCGTGGGACAGGGTGGCCGTGCCTTTCAAAGCCAGAACCCGCTCCACTTTTCTAGAAGTTGAGTTGTGACAAGCCCTTCAAAAAAATGGATGGGGGGGAGTAGGAAAGAGCGTTGGAAGCTCTCCCTGCAATGTTTAGCCAGTAAATGTGAAGATTTGTAAGTATCTGTAATTATGAAGCATATTTCGGTCTCCATCTTTTCTAAGGTTTTTTTTTTAAAGCATTTCCTAGTTACGTGTTGGGGTGTTTTTTTGGTGTAGTTTTTTGAAGCACCATCTTTAGGCTTTTGCTCCTGTTTTCCATGACTAAGGTAATACATATTCTAAGCATGTCTTCGTGGGGGTGGGGCGGGGCGGGGGGACAAATTCCTTGTAACTAGTAGCTGTGCATTCAGTTGTAATTCTCCATTTCTCTCCACCCACAACAAATTTGTAAAAGGATTTTTTTGATGACTGTCACCGAAAGAGTGCACTGTTCTTGTTTTTCATGGGGCTTCCAGACTGGAAGGAAATTTGCTTCACAGAAGTTCCCTGTGTTTCTCTCTCTCTGCATTTGGAATCCTGACATTCAACATTCAGTTATGTTTGCTCTCAACCAGAAGAGCAGATGAAACATTTCAGCCTAACTTTTCCACTGTATACTAAAGGTCAAGTCAGGGGGGTATTTGGGTTGCTGTTTCTGTGAATGTCACCTGCCTCACTGCATTTGAATTTCCCAAGTTAACCAGTAATTAATTTGGAGTAGGCATTCCTTCCATGCCCTCCTACCTGTATACGTTTTGCTATACATTGAAGGCTGCCTCTCAGATTGCCTGTTATTTTAGTTGTTAAGCTGAAAATGGTGCGCCATGAGGAGAAAGGTGGATATTGGGTATCTAACAAGATAAGAAAAGCCATGATCCACAGGACAAGATACATGCATGCTATGAATCTTTGAGCCCAGTTGGAGGGATCAGCTGCTCTTTCTACAGTCTGAAGAGTGAGACTTTTTTTTAATGAAACTATAATCTTGGAGTCTTTGGGATTTCTTGCAAACAAACCCAAATACACCCAGCCAAAAGCTCATGGATTGTGGCCAATCTGCACATCTGTTCTAGATATTATCGGTGTGGAACTCTAGCATTCAAGAGATAAGGCAAAGACTGGACATCTGTGCTGTTTTGAATGTGCAGTTCCTAGTTCTTGAGAACGTCTATGTTTTCCTCCTGCAACATACTATTTTTGTTGGAACCTCAGTTTTCCCAGATGTTGTGTGTTCACTGTAAAAACAAAAACAAACAAAACTGTGCTTGTATATGAAGGAAGTAGAGACAGACTGTTAGATTCTCCCCCCTGCTCACCAAAAACAAAAAAACATTTTTTTTTTTTACCATTAACAATACCTTTCCAATATATGTTTGTAGGAGTTGCTAATACACAGACACCGAAATGGTGACACTACAAAATAAATGCAACAGCAAGCAACAGAATGTTGCCACTGGGAATATGTCCAGTCTTTTTTTGAAATAAGTGGGGCTTGGTAGAGGACCTGTTTTTTACATGGATCATTGTACCAATTTTGTATGGTATAGTGACCTCCCTCCCTCAAAAAGGATGTAATTAGCTCTGATTTTATTTCTGAAAACGTCTCAATCTTCTGTGTGTGCATAAATGCGGTGGGACTGTCACTGCCCAGGGTACAGGTGTGGGCGGCAGCCCCAGCGTTTTGGAAGCGACGTCTGTTTCCAAGGCGAGTGAGGCTGAAACTTGGATCTCTTTTTCTGTCTCTCCACCCCCATCCCCCAAAAAGTGTTAAGAAGCCAGTCTAATGTGTAAATATCTTTGTACTGGACCAGTAGGGTTGTAAGGACTTGTGTTGTACCCTACCTGAAGGTGTAATAAAGTGTACATTTTTATAAACCTCTGGTTGTCCATTATTTGAACGTGTGTCTTTTGCATTGGTTCTCTCTTCCCATCATGAGAGTTCAGGTTTTTTTTCCGCTGGGGACCCTAAGAAAGAGGCTTAGGGGGCAATCCTGTATCTTCAGGCAGCAGAAGGGTCTACAGCCGCTATGTTGTGACATTTTTCTTTGCCCTAAGAAAAGCACCTAAGGGCTGCTTTATTTTTATTTATATTAACAGGTAACAGAGGAAAAAGCCTTAACATGGAAAAACAGTTTGGCTACTTAAGCACGGTTTGTTTCCAAGCCATCAATCCGGCTGTCATCTATTTAAAAAAAAAATACGAACATCTCATTTCAAAATTGCCTGAGCCAGTTTTTAATTATGGGAATAATATTTGCACTTTTCCAGATTCCAGCTACGGTATCCAAGATTAATTTCCATGCAGTCCTTTGGGAGAAAGCCCCACAGGTGTCTGGTAAATACAACTGGGAGACAAAAAATGCCCACCTGTATGCGCTAATCAAGCCAAATCGGACGTGGGGAGGGGAAAGAAGGAATCTACCCTGAGTTCCTTGCGCGGAAAGGAAGCCAGCGTGTAAGTCTCCCCTTTCTTTCCCGCTGCAGGTCGCAGAGTTGGCGAGACGCTTCCGCGTCGCTCGGCGCACCGGGAAAAGGCGAGCCCTGGCTTTCCGTGGCCCCCTTCGCGGCGCCGGGGCCACTCCGGGGGCGGCCACCTCGGACTCGCACCGGCCTGCGCCGCGCCGCGGGCTGCCCGGGAAGGTGCCTTAACGCCGCTTCGCTTCCCCGGGGCGGAGGGACCGGGACTACAACGCCCATCGGCCGGCCGCGCCAGCTGCAGCCGCCAGGAAGAGGGGCGGAGCGGCGCGGCGGAAGCGAGGAGGCGCCTCGGCCGGGCGGCCTTCCGAGCACGTGGGGCAGCGGCCGGGGCCAGGCAGAGCCATGGAGGCCGCCGGAGCCGCCGCCGCGCTGGCCGCCTGCCTGGAGGCGCTGCTGGCGGGCCGGAGCAGCGCCAACCGCGTCTTCGAGATCCTGGAGCGGCTGCAGGTGAGCCGCGCCCGGCGCCCCGCCGTCCCCTCCGGGAGCCCTGCAGCCGCGCGCCCGCCCGTCCGCCCCAGCGGAGCTCGGGGCTCAGGCCGCGCATGGCGCGACGGCACGCGGGGGGCTGCGGGGCCCCGGGGCGCCCCTTCCCGCCCCCGAGTGGCGCGACGCGTAGCCAGGCGCTCTCGACGCGGTGACTGCTAGGGAGGCGCAGGGGTTCCTGAGCATACGCAAAGCAGCTGCAGCCCGGCATAGGCGCGTGCGTGCGTATGGATTGATTTAAAGCGCTTTTTCCTGTCCTCTGCCAAAATGCCTCCCAAAGCGGCTTACAATCAGTTCAAGACAGCCTGCTGCCCGCACGCCTGCAGTCTAAACAGACACGAGCTGCAAGGGAAGAGGGGGGAAATGGGTTCGTGAAGGTTGTAGAATCGTGCCTCCTCCTCCTCCTCTTCGGTCCCTTCCCTTGCAGCCCGCTGGTGGTGACAGTGAAGGGGGAGGAGGAAGATTTGTTTCCTTGCCTGTTTCATTTTAGACCATCCAGTAGCTAAGGTTCCTTGGGCCGCTCAGCGACCTCCTTCCTTAAATCTGCCTTAGCGGCCCGATGCTCCCTTTTTCCGTTGAGATCCTGGCTCAGCCGCGGCACATTCAGCCTGTGCCTCCTGGCTGCCCCGCGCAGGCAGGCCGCTGTGCCCCCTGTCCCTTGCCTCTCCCCTTCCTCGTCCCACATGCTTGTCCCTGTACCCAACAGGCCGACCAGGAGGAGGTGATTCTGTGCGCCATCCGGACCTGCAGCCGCCTCTTTGGCGCCTTTCTCGAGCGGGGGGAGCTGTTCGTCGGGAAGATGCCGGAAGAAGAGCAATCTCTGCAAGGTGGGCAAGAAGAGGGTCCTTGGGGAGATGGCTGGCGGCCAGTCACCCCGTCCGTTTCCAGTGTTTGGGCGCGAGGGCTGATCTTCACGCAGCCTGTGCTGCACAAGCGCTGGTTCCAGCAACTTGCGGGGAGCCGTGTGTGCCGAACTACCGTGTGTCTTTCAAATTATCTATGTCCTTGACGATTTTATGCCATCAGTTATATTTTATCCAACCCCCTTTTCTGCCAAGAACCTACGGTGGCTCACACCATCCCCATGTCTCCCATTTTAGCCACCGATTTTATTCACGTTCACCTCTAGGAGTCTGCTTTGTTCGTCGGAGGAGCTCAGGAAAGTTTGTGGCTCTTCTTTCCCCTCAACTTGCACCTCACCACCAATTTTCTGTGCTACCTGGTAGCTCAGGAGGAAGGCCTGGAAGGTGGAATGGGCACAGGGAAGAGTGAGCCTTTTCTCATTCCCTGGCTAAGCAAGGATTTGAAGGCAAGACTTCCTGGGCTGAGTCTTGACTCTACACTGCAGGAGAGGGGTAGTTCTCTTGCTGTTCGTGGATGGTTGTGCAGGCTTTCCTGGAATCGAATTTTCAAGAACGTAGCTTCTGTCCAGTGGGAGACAGATGGTGTCTTGATCTGAAGCAAGTGTTAATTACTTTGAGTTTATTTTATCAAGATGAGTTGATAGTAAGGTCAGCAATCTTATGGGTGGTTAGGCCAAAAATGATACTATAGTTCCCAGCATTCATGCTGGCTGGAAGTTGCTGGTAGGACTTTTTTTAGTTTAAAGATACGCAATTTTGCATCTGAATGTACAATCACTCGTGCAGGGTTGGCTTCATCAGGTAAGTTCTGTAGAGCTTTGCCTTGATTCAGGACCAAAGAGATGGAATCAGACTTCTTGATAAGCTCTAATTTGGCCATGGACAGACTTGTCCGTTGCTTCTGTGTGTCTGAAACCTCGTGTAGGATTATCGCAGGCTGTGTGCCCTAGCCAAGGTGACCGATGCTCGCGGGGGAAACAAGATAATTCTGAGCAAAACCTGGAGGTCTAGTCCTCTGTCACAAGCTGAATAACATCAGCAGAACCTGGTCATCCATTGATCTCTTTATTTTCTTCCTATTCCCCACGCCATCTTCTCTTTCAGAGGACTACAGCGCAGAAGACAAGTACAAAATTTGGATGAGATACCGGTATCGCAGCTGTGTCAATTGTCTGGGAGAACTGATGGGGCACAAGTCTTTCCAGGTCAAAGTGAGTTTTGTTCACGCTTCTCCTGCGATGGGACCAGTTTCAGGAAGGACCTGCTGCTCTCATTATTATTATTATTAGAACATTTCTATGCCGCCCCTTGCCGAAGCCTCGGGGCGGCTTACAATACAATAAAATACAATACAATACAAAAATAACAATATAAAATTAAAATTAATAATATAAAATAAATAAAAAATATAAACGATATAAAAGGAGTTAGAAAAGTTATAAAAGAAAAGAAACGAAATCGCCCTGGCCAGATAAATAAGTAAATATTGTTAACAATTAAAATGACGTTTAATAAAAAGGTCTTCACCTGGCGCCGAAAAACAAATAACGACGGCGCCAGGCAGACCTCTCTGGGGAGCCACGCTGAACGCTCATGTCCCAGGCTGAACCTCGCATGCCGATCGTGGGCTCCGCCTTACCTCCGAGTGACCATCTCAGGCCGCTGTGTGAGCAAGAGGGCTGCATGGGCGAGGGAAGAGACTCTTGAGCTCTGGAACAGTCGGATGTGGCCTAGTCATGCCATGGTGGGCATGTCGTGAGCTGAGCCGGGAGTCAGACTAGATGGACTGGGAGGCCCCTTCTGCCTTGCTCTGTTTCTCTGTTTCTGGTCCTCACTGGGGTGGTAAAGCTGTGTCTGGACTGTACCGCTTGCAGACTACAGAAGGGGGGAGCATAGGTGTTTTACAGCCAGCCAGACCATTGGTCCATCGAGCTGAGGCTGAAAGGGCTACATGGCGCTCCATCCCAAAAGCTCCCCTCCGTGTGGAAAACAAGCACACCAGGAAGGGGGTTCTAGCCTATCCGTTGTGTATGCTGACATGCCGGCTTTCTGTCTGCGGGGAGGTCGTGGTGGCAGTTTTTGTCTGCAGGGGTGCTGCACTGCACTTGCAAGGGGTACAGCCCCAGAACCTGTTTTCCCTACCAGTGACTCCCAACTGAAGTGATCCCAAGACGCTGTCACCAAGCATCATTAAAGAGGCGTGTGTGTTATCGCTTGACAAAAAATGACCCGGACTGGCACCAGAAAGGCCAGAATTTGGAGTCCAGGATACTCTCTGCCAATCTGGCACCGCTTCATTCTGCACAAACTGCCTGCAGAAGTGCTTATGATTTTTACTGGGGTGTTGAATCTCCTTCAGTCCAAGGACTCTAATTCAGTTTAGGAGAAGCTGAGGAGGGTGTGTTCTCATACTAGCTGGGACCAAAGGTGAAAGGGGTGATGCTGGAACCAAACTCCAGGTATAGTTTAGCCACAAGCACACGGTTGTTAGTAACCAAGTCTCAGAAGGGGCATTTCAGCCCTTCCAGAGAGGAAGAAATTGCACAGAGCTGGACCCCAGAAGACTCCATGCTCACTCCAGGGGTGCTGGACCTGGCTGAGGTTCTCCACCCCCCCCCCCCCATACTGTGCCATCAACGTGCAGCTTTCTTGGCCGAGACGTTGAAAGTGCCATAACTTGAGCAAAGAGTGTGCAAGAGGAACAGTGGTGAAAGGAAGGCTTAAAATGTGTTTCGCTCTTCCGCTTTTCTTTCTTTCTCTTCCGTGCCTTCAAGGAATCTGCACTCTGTACCCTGATGAAGTTTGTGGAACTGGAAGCCAAGCACCCGCTGGTGAAGAACGACTGGAGCTTCAATTTCCCACAGGAGCTGCTGAAGGTGACCTGTGTGAATTTTTCTGTGAATCGGGAAGCCGCCATAGACTGAGTCGGAGGCCGCAGCTGGGTTGAGAACGCCCAACTGCCCACGCTCAGGTTAAGTGTGGTGGTGGTGGTTGGAAATGTGTGTTTCGTGTGGTCTGAACTCAGCCAGACTAAGAAATCGTGGCTTGTTAACCAGGAACAACCCAGAAAAAGAACCCACCATTATTGGGTTGTGAACTGTGGGTTGTTGTGGTTTGTTGCATAACATCAGCCACGACCATGGTGACCACTGCAGCGTGAGTTCAGCTGAGCTCTTCCCGTTTCTTCCCATTTGCTTCTATTCAGCTGGTTGTATGGGGGTTGCTCTCGACGGAAGAGAATTCTTCCCTGCTGATCTCTCGCTTCCAAGAGTATATGGAACACGACGACGTCCGGTTCTTCGTGATGAAGCTGGTGGCCGAAAATGTGGGCAGCATCATGCAGAAGGCCAAGCAGGTACCAAAGGTGTCGCAGGCAGGTGGAAGCAAGCCGGGGAGGGGGAGAGAGAGAGCAGGAAGAGGCCTTGAAGAAGAAGGGAAGTTTTATTTATTTTTATTTATTATTTATTAGAACATTTCTATGCCGCCCCTTGCCGAAGCCTCGGGGCGGCTTACAACACAATAAAATACAATGCAATACAAAAATAACAATATAAAATAAATAAAAAATATTAAAGATATAAAAGAAGTTATAAAAGAAAAGAAGTCACCCTGGCCAGATAAGTAAGTAAATATTGTTAACAATTAAAATGACATGTAAATAAAAAGGTAAAAGTTGAAGAGGTGTAGCCCATGTGGGATCGGATCCCAAGGGCTGACGTTGCAGGACATGTTGCCTCTGCTTCTGGAGGCGGCACGTGGCGATTTTGGCTGGTCGCCATTTGTAGCCTTTCCCTGCGTGACAACCTTGGGCTGGGTTGAGGCTGAACGTGTGCGTTCTCTCCCTCGGCTCAGAGGATCCTGAGGATTTCTGTGAGATAAAAGGGCGGTGTTTGCCTTCTAGCTCCTGGCGTGGGGAGACGGCAGTAAAATAAGGCAAAATAATAAGGCAGCGAACACTGAGCAGGGGTCAGGGTCCCTCCGCTTGTAGCAAAGGGGAAAAATTCACTTTTTCACCTTTGAGCTTTTAGTTCTTGGCTTTTCTGCAAAAGGAACTTTCCCCATCAGCTGCTAGTTGATCCATAGCTGCACGTTTCATCATCGTTTTTTCTCCAGGCTCCGTTTCCCGTTTACCAGAAGAACGTCTTTGCCCTGGTTTCTTCCATCGTCATGCCGAGCGAAGAGAGTGAGATGATACACTTCCTGGTCAGGCACGGTGAGTGAGATGCTGCGGTTGCTTCTCAGGGCTTTGCAGTTGCTCTGGAACCAGTTAGACGCCTGACTGGTCACCCTTGGAAGGCCAGCGCTGTTCTTCACACCCCCTTCACCCAATTCCCCAGCTCCAGTTTTAGTTTGGACAGCTCAGGGGCAGAAGAAAATGCTTATCTGCGGCTGAATTGCCAGCATTTTGCCCCTGGAAAACGCCGTGTGGCATTCTGCACAGCCCTGCCCTGTGCTCGTGATTGCAGGCGATGACTTCCTTAAAAGATTTGGCTTCCCCTTGTCCTGCTGGAAAGACTCTCGGTGTGGTTTGCACACTCATCAAAAAGAAGAGCCGTTTCATTCGGGAGTCCGGATGGACTGGCCCATCTGTTGGCTCGCACTGCCCACAGACAGCTCAGTCCTCGAGGAATTCAAGCAGGATTCCACTTGGTGATGCTGGGAATTTTTATTCAAACGTTATTGTAATTGTTAATATTATTTATTTATTTTGTTCCTTGGCCAGGGCGACTTAATTTATATTGTTTTATAGGATGCTGTTTGTTTATGTTTCTGCACTGCCCCGAGGCTTTGGCGAATGGGGCGGCATAGAAGTTCCCTAAACAAATAAATGAATGAATGAATGAATGAATGAACCGGGGACCCTCTGCATGCAGAACAGGGGCCCCTCTACTGAACCATGGGCCCTCGGCGGCATAGAAGTTCTCTAACTAAATAAATGATTGATTGATTGAACCGGGGACCCTCTGCATGCAGAACAGGGGCCCCTCCACTCGGCGGCATAAAAGTTCCCTAAATAAATAATTGAACTGGGGACCCTCTGCATGCAGAGCAGGGGTCCCTCCGCTGAACCATGGGCCCTCGGCGGCATAGAAGTTCTCTAAATAAATAAATAAATGATTGATTGATTGAACCGGGGACCCTCTGCATGCAGAACAGGGGCCCCTCCACTCGTCGGCATAAAAGTTCCCTAAATAAATAAATAATTGAACTGGGGACCCTCTGCATGCAGAGCAGGGGCCCCTCTGCTGAGCCGTGGGCCCCCTCCAGCGCAAGAAGCAGCCTTACGAGAGCCAGGGGCCTCTCTAGACCAGCAGCGTCCGCCCTGCAGAGAAGCCGCTCTCGAGGACCTTTGGCATCATCCGGTCCCTTTGGCAAGAGCGCCGGTCGTTGGACCTCTGCAGCCCCCCCATGCGCTCTGCAGCATGCAAAGACGCACGGCGCCACAGGTGTCTTGTCCCCTCCGTAGCACGTTCGGGTGCACATGGCGTCCTGTATTCGGCTGAGAATGTTTCTCTCTCTCCCACCACTCACGACAGCTAACCAAGAGGAATGGAAGGTGTCCAAGCTGAAGGTAGGTCTGTCCTCCGTTTGGCTGGGTGCGGGTGTGGCTGCAAAGCGGAGTCTCGTCCTTACGGCTTTGAGCGCCCTTGCGCAGAGATGGCACGACAGTAACGTTAATCGCAGCCGCCGGTGTGGCGTAGTGCTTCAGGGGGCTGGACTGGGACTCGGGGATCTACCTTCCCCTGGGGGATGAAGCTTACTGCGTGACGGGTGGCCAGTCGCTCACTCTCAGCCCAGCCTACCTCGCAGGGCTGTTGTGAGACTAAAAAGGAGAAGAGGACCCTGGATTCTCTTGAGGAGTGCATTCCAGAGGGCCAGAAATTGCCAGTTATGTAGCTTACTGCTTCCTTGGGAGAGTTCAAGCTTTTGGAATATCTGTATGAACGATGCATGTAATAACTCAGTGCAAGGTTTACAGCTCCATCATCTTTTTCTGATCTCTTCAGGAGCACCAGAGGGCCTTTGAGAGAATGTGGCTTGGGTTTCTCAAGTATAAGGTGAGTGGGGTTGGCCCCTTGCTTTGACTTTTAATTAGAGTCGCCTAATTAAATGAAAAAATCCTGCTTGCTCTGCTTCAAGAGCTCACACTATTACAGATTACAGGGAGGGAGGGAGGGATGACAGCTGTTGTGCAAAAGCAGATTGGAACAGGAAGAGCTGTTGAGTCCCAGCATTCAGCCTCCGTCAGTGGACAGCCAAGGACCCCCTGGAAGCCCGGAAGTGGGTCTTGAAGCCCCTCCCTCATTTGGCCCCCAAGTATAGAGAGTTTAGTTGTGTGCCTCCTTGCACCCACCCACTTTTTCACTCCCTCCTCCTCCTCTTCCTCCTCCTCAGCTGCCCGTTAGCCTGTATAAGAAGGTGCTGGCAATTCTGCACGACTCCATCCTGCCCCACATGCACGAGCCCACCCTCCTGATGGACTTCCTGACGGTCGCCTACGACGTGGGTGGGTAGAAGGACAGCCCTCTGCGTGCGCTGGACCTGCCGGATCAGCCCTGGGCTCGCCCTCGGGAGCGTTGGTGGGGCAGCCAGGCCGTGGGCGCAGATGCCCATGCGTTGTGGGAGAACAGGCCCCTGGCACTGTGGGGCAGGATGCGGGAGGGTCTTTAGCACTCAGCATAACACAACTTTTTTGTCTCCCCTCCCTCCCTCCCTCTGTGGATCTCAAAAACGGCCTGACACAACCTCACCTGTCTCTGAGCTGTGCCCTGGGATGGGGGAAATCGGGGGAATTTTGGACCGTGGCCAGTCTGCCCTCGATCAGCCCCTCTACCCCCATTTCGCTTTATACCAGATTTCTTGAGACTCGGGATTTTTTGTCAGTCTACTGCATGTTTTGACCAGGATTTTAAATACGTTTATACCAGAGGCCCACAAAACTGAGGTCCACAGCCCAGATCTGGTTGGCGTTGTGTCCCCAAATAACCACCGCCCCTTCTCCTTTGCCCCAGTCCTTTGGTGGCACCCCAGCTGACATGCAGCTTTTTCACGTTTTGGAAAGTTGAAAGTCTCTAGGGGTTAGTCACTGGGAGCAAAAGTATTAAGCCAAAAGATCTGTCTGTCTGTCTGTCAAATTTGTATTCTGCACTAATAGGCCCCTAGAATTTAGGGTGTTGCTCCTTTTGCTGTTGACTCCGCCCCCTTTGCCTTTGATGCAAGCCCTTTTGCCTGTAGCCCCCCCCCCCCATCGCTGGGATGCAGCCCTCCTCCGAATTGGATTTTGGCTTGCAAGCCAGGGTAATATGAATTGAATGCTCTGGGTTCATGCTCTCCGGACTGTGCTTCTCTTGCAGGTGGAGCGATCAGCCTTCTCGCCTTAAATGGATTGTTCGTTCTGATTCTCCACCACAATCTGTAAGTTCGTCTTTTTCTGCCCAATGACCTTCTCTGGAAAGGCCGCTGGACTTGTTTCAGCTCTTGAAATTCACAGGTTTCCAGTCTGGAGGTTCAAATCCAGCTTGTCGACCTTTCACTCAGGTGTCAATGCCTGCAGGGAGACCGTGTCGCAGTCTGCGCTTGCAGCTGCTGTCTCAGGCCCTTTTCTGAGGGAAGGCTGGAGGGTGGCAGCCAGGGGCAGGGCCTTCTCAGGGGTGGCCCCCGATTTGGAAATGCTTCCCCTGAGAGGCCCACCCGCAGCCAAAACGGTCATCTCTTTGATGCCAAGCTAAGACTTGTCTCTGTTCATTCATTGTATCCATGCAATGGCCTTGTTAATGTATCAGGTGAATTGTTTTGACTGTCTTAATTTTATGCACCGGAGATGGCATTTTATGGGCTGTTTTAAATTTTGTGTGCTTGACTTTTGTTGTGAGAGACTTTAAGTCTTTCCAGAGAAAGGCTTCTTGGAAGTCTCAAGGAATAATAAAAATACATAATTTAGTGCCACTTTTCCAGCAACATATGGGGAGGTCATAAATTGCAGTATTAAATAATACAGTTCATAAGGTACAAGGGCTGGTGTGGCCATGAACCCTACTTATAATTTTTGTGAAGTCGCAAATGCTGATATTTTGTTTATGGACTTCTGCTTTTGCTTCAGACCCTCCTGGAGGAATGAATACTTAGAAACAAGATTGGAACAGTTCTCTGTTTCTTAACTGCAGCATAAGCATAAAAATAGGCATTGGAAAAGATCACTGGTTTCAGAGTCGGTTGTAACTCCAACCTGTCAACGGACTAAGTCAGTCTCTTTCGTCTCCTTTGTGTAGGGAATATCCTAATTTTTACACAAAGCTCTACAGCCTTCTTGACCCTTCCATCTTCCACGTGAAGTACCGCGCCAAGTTTTTCCGTTTGCTGGATTTATTCTTGTCTTCGTCGTAAGTGTGTGATCTTGGCATAAGGCCTTCTCTGTCTCTCATCCTGTTTGGATTTGAGAAACTCAGTCAAAGTTCTGTTTCTCTTTCCCTGCCTATTTCCAAAGTCTGGCCTGTGAAAGCCTGTTAAAATTATATTGGGGCTACACTAAGTGTGATAGCCATGAACATGTATTTTTTGGTAGGATTTTGGGCTCCCTCCTCCCCAGGAACAAAGAATAAAAAAAAATGCACTTTCTTGGTCTTAGGGGCTTGGACACCTTGAAAGGGTTGATTTCTCTGGCCCCTTTGCCTTCAGCTACACTTAGAATCACAGCCCCTGAGAGCGCCTTGGTCTGAAAGACACCCTTGAACAGTTCGATCTCTGGCTACATCGCACAAGAACTGAGTCTTAAGCTTGCTTTAGGAAGACGAGAGGCTGCCTTTCTCCCGTCCGCCCTGCCGTTCTCAGTTCTGACGGACAGCGAGCTCCCAGGGGTCCCTTCTCTGACTGGGGTGCCCTCTGGATGTCTTGGGCTCCTAGCATTCCCAACTGTTGGCCTTTCTGGCTGGGGTTGATGGGAGTTCTAGTCTGAAATGTCTGGAGGGGAACACATCAGGGAAGGCTGCTGCTTTTCTGTCCTCCTTGACTGGAGGTGCCAGTGGAAGGGTCCCACGCAGGGTGCAAATGTTACCATCAGTGCTGGTCTCCTCTTGAACCCGAGGGTGAGTGTTTAGCAGCTCAGGGCCACGAGTTGGGACTCGCATGCGGTGGCCACGGGTGGCAGAGAGCTTTTGCCTGAATCCCCGTGCCCCTTCTCTTTCCGTAGGCACCTGCCGGCGTACCTGGTGGCAGCTTTTGCCAAGCGGCTGGCCCGGCTGGCCCTCACCGCCCCACCGGACGGGTTGCTGATCGTCATCCCCTTCATCTGCAATCTCTTGCGGAGGCATCCGTCCTGCAAGGTGCTCCTCCACAGGCCCGACGGCCCCCCAGGTGAGGGGGGGGCAGCTTTTTCTAGGGCTTTGCAGCATTCCGGGTAATGCACACCTGTGCGCAGATGCAGCTCAATCAGCCTTCCCCAACCCGGTGCCCTTCTAGCACTTCAGACTTCAGCTCCCGACCACCCCAGGCAGCACAGCCGACAGCCAGGAATCCTGGGAGTTGTAGTCCGAAGCACCAGGAAACCAGCAGGTTGGGAAATTTGGCTGGGATGAAATCCTTAGAGGTACCTGCTAAATGTATGTATTTGTTTGTTTTATATCCTGCCTTTTTTCCTTTCAAGGAACTCAAGGCAGCATACATAATTCAGCTCCTCCCCCTCTCAATGCTTATCCTCACAACAACCCTGTGAGGTAGGTTGGGCTGAGAGGCTGTGACTGGCCCAAAGTCGCCCAGTTGGCTCCATGGCTGAGCAGGGACTCGAACCCAGGTTTATTTATTTATTTATTAAAACATTTTTATGCCGCCCCATTCGCCGAAGCCTCGGGGCGGCTTACAACATAGAAGGTTGTCTGAGTCCCAGTACCACGCTCTTCACCACGACACCACACTGGTTCTCATTCCCCGTTTTGGCCCAGTGTGGGCAGCAAAATGTAGGGAACTTATTTTGTGCCTGCTCAGAAGCATGGGTGTAAAGCAGGGAAGGCATGGGGGGAGGGTTGTGGTGTTACCTGGGGACAAGGTGTTGGGGCCCAGCCCTGGGCTGGTGTGGGGACTCGAACCTGTTCCTAATGGCGTTCTCTGTATCATTTTCTGTAGAGCTGTCAGAAGATCCCTATCAAATGGATGAAAAAGAGCCATCCCAAAGCAGAGCTTTGGAGAGCTCCCTGTGGGAAATAAAGGTTGGTCTCCTGAGAGCAGAGAACGTAAAAAGCAGTGTGAAACGGAGTGGTGCAATTCTCAATCCTGTGCTCCTATGAGCCGCAGATGCAGTCAAAAGAATTACAACTCCGCGTGCAGAAAACAGGCCCGTTTTGCACCACCTTCTCCTTGATGAGCTAGTTTTCTGCTTGCAGGGATGTGTTGCATGCAGGGGGGTGGTTTTGCTGAATCCTCTCCCAGATGTGCTGCTTCTGTGCACACACAGAACCACAGTCAAGGATGTGCTCCGTAGAGGAAAAATGGTTTAGCACAGTCCCCTCCCTGATCAGTTAGATTTCTACATGCAGGGAGTGCTGCCATGAAACACAGGAGGTGCGAAGTCCAGAATTTCCCCATCTTGCTCTGTCCGAGGCTCAAGGATGCTTTGGGAGACACAGGGAGCTGTGAAAGGACCAGGTGGGGGACCTCTCTCAGCTCTTTTCTAAACAGAATATTGTGGAGTACAAGCGGGACATCTTTCCTGCACACGCTGGCACGGTGGCTTGTGATGGCTGGAAGCCACTTGGCAGCCACTTAAGAGCATGGTGCCTCTTTGTGGCTGTAGTGCATTTGTGTCGCGCTTCAGCACAGACCCTCCGGGAAGCCATCAGATTGTAAAATAAGATTGGAAATACTAACTATATGTTGCAGCCATAGAAACAGGCTGTGTGACTCCTTCCTTCCTATGAACAGGTCCACTCAGGAGAGGGAGACTCCTTTCGTCTGTGTTCTCCACCAGCCACTGCAACTAACCACTAGAAGAGGAGGCAGCTATATAATAATAATAATTATTATTACTATTATTATTATTTATAAGGATTCATTAGCCTTAATTAGAGCTTTAAGGTGAAGTCAGCTGGCATTTTTGGCTTCCCGAGACTATCTCCAAAGTTGAATTTGCTCGTGGGCTGGCCTCCGCTTTGCATGCCCCCATTTTACGTATGGGGGAAGTTGAGGCTTCATGCAGGGTGGCCTGCTGGGGGGACCCCTTGCGAATTCTCAGGAGAAAGCTGAGCTCTGGCCCGGAGTCCTTCCCAGCTGGGGAGTCTCGCTGCCGTGTTGCCGCAGGGCTCACCCGGGCGGCTACGGGGCCCATGCCATGCCTCCTTGCTTGGCAGACCCTTGGCTCCCGCTTACAGCCCGTTCCCCTCTCTCTGCAGACGCTGCAGAGCCATTACCACCCGGACGTGGCCAGGGCAGCCGCTACCATCAATACGCCGCTGTCCGAGATGGAGGAGGACCTTTCGGAGGTCCTAGAAATGACAGCCTTTGAGGTAATGACCTTTTTATTCAAACGTCACTTTAATTGTTGATTCTATTTATTGGTTTTAACAACTTTGGCCAGGCTGTCTCCATCTGTATTTTGTTGTATTAATGATATTTATTTATTTGTAAGCCACCCCGAGGCTTAGGCGAATGCATACGAGTTTGCTAAATCAGTTTGCTAAGTAATGGTGCCTCTTGTGTGAGTGGGACGGTCTTGGGCTTTGCCCCGCGGTGTGTGCAAGCCAGAGAGAGCTGCTTGAGATCCCAGGCGGTGTATTGAATGCATTTCTTTATTGCCGAAAGCCGGCATTCCCTGGGCAGGTCCCAACAATGAGAACTACGAAATGCAGTCGAAGAGCTCCGTACAAGTTTAAAATGGCAGTGGCAAACAGAAGGCAAAACTGAAGTGAAAGCTCGCGGCAATGCAAGGATTTAAAATACAGTGGCAGATTTAAAATGGCAGAAACTGAAAGGCTTACGGAGAAAGAACCAATACTGGCTGGGTAGGCTGGGAGGAACAGCCCTTTTAAATACCTTAACAGGCAAAACGTTTGTTTATTCAATGATTTATCCGACAGACAGTATCTGAGAGAGCAGGACGGTGGTGCAAGGGCTGGGAGGGCTCTTCCAATCCGTGCTTGCCTCATGGAGAACTTGCCAAGAGACCAAGAGAACTTATAAAAGCCAAAGCAGGGAATATTCTGGCTTCTCAGCCTCTCTCTCTGAACTCCTCCTCTCTCATTCTCTCTCTGGCAGATCTTTGATAGGGATATTAAAAAAGAAACTTCAGAAGTCCCACTGGAATATCTACCAGCCCGAGGCCTCTTTGGCAAGAAGGACGACATCTTTGCACAGTACTTCACATTGGAATGATTTTAGCACTTTGCTGGGGCAAAGCTGGTGTAATAAAACCTTTTTTCTACCTGTCCCTCAAGTGCTCGCAAAGGCTGTACCGCTTCGGACTGCGGCGGGGTATGTGATCCTACACCCTTTCCTCGCAAGCAGAAAGGCAGCACGGGGGGCGGGAGGGAGCCTCTCCTCTTGCTGGGCTAGCGCTTTGCTTGCAGGGAGGAGCTTTTGAAGCCCAGATCCGCCACTCGCTGTGCGTTCTCCTCCAAGCAGGGCTGTGGCGATTGAGGGGACGGAGCTGTTGGGAGCAGCACTGGCCCGTGAGCCCAGAAATGCCCGCTCAGCCGCAACCACGCAGGGCCTCCGGCTGTTTTCCATCCCCTGCTCAGTTACTTGAACTGCAGATGGGAGAGGTTTGAACCCAGCCGCTCCCATCATGCAGTGGGTGTGTTCCTTCATGGAGCTGTTGTGGGGCAAGGCTCATTCTCGCCCCGTTTTCCCTCCCAAAAGTCACGAAGTCAGGGGGAGAAACATTTATCATACTTTTCTGCTTCCCCCAAACCCCCAAAGTGGATGATGTGGTCCTTCTCTCTGCTGCATCTTCACCACAACCCTGCGTAGTAGGCTAGGCTGAGAGTTGGGCTGGGTCCAGGTTGCCCAGCCCAATTCTAGCTGAGCAGGGACTAGAACTTGGATTTTGCAAGCCATGCTCCAACATGAATCACAGCATTGTGTGTCTGTATTGTGTGTGTTTCTCTGTGTGTGTGTTACACACACCCCTATAAACAAGCTTCGACAAGCATCAGCAAACAGTCAGATGTCCCCAAAAGAATATTGACTTGGAAGTTAACCCACATCCCAGCTATTTCAATGGCTTCTGTCACTAACCACTGTACCTCAGTGCCCTTGCGTGCTTGCCTTCCCACTCCTTCTCACCTAGCACTGACGTTCAGATTGGAATCTCCTTGGGGCAGACACTTCTGCTTTGCTTTTCTCACATAAACCACCACTAATATCTGCAGAGCTGTGCATGGCAGAGCCACGAGCGTTGAGCATCTTCCAGCCCGAGGGCCCCCTCCAGCTCCACCGTTCCAGGACTCTGTCCATGCAAAGGGCTGGATTGGGAGTCCGGAAGGGCCAGGATTCTGCACCCTTGATGTGGGAGCGTCAACCCAGCCGTGTGGTGTGTGTTGGGAATGAAAGGGCCAGTGATTCTCGGCATGCGTTCCAAGGTCAGGCAGATGCGACCTTGTCAAGTCCTGGGAACCAGAATTCTCAGGTGTTGAACTGGAAGAAGCGCAAGGACAAATGTTCAGGTGGACATGGAGAATTGTCAGGATTAACAGCTGCAGGGAGGAGGCGGGATGAGTCCATGATGCGCCGTCTCTACAGACCAACCAACCAACCAACCAGAGAAAAGGCTTGGCCTACTAAGAAAAGGACATCCCTGAGAGAGTGACGGCGGGGGCACTCACAAGGAGAATGCTGGGAAGTTGTCGCTAGATTGGATTCAAGGAACCACTCTGTGCATGCTCAGAGACTCATTTTCGGTTGTGCTTACTGGAGGTGCGTTGGGGAATAAAGTGCTTTTGCCAGGGAACGGTCTGTGTTCTGGAAGTGCGAAGTGGGGAACCTGGCCCCTAACTATACCAGAGCTGACGCCGCCTGCAACTTCCAGTACAGTGACCCTCAGGGTGGAGCCCTTTTGAACCCCGGCGCCATATCGCCTTCCTGATTTACGGCGGCCACAATCCTTCCGTCTCCTTGTTCGCTGACAACCGCCTTGTCCTTGAAAGCAGGCCTTGCTTGCGCCACTCAGATTGCTGCTTATCTTTACACTTGGCATGTTGGGTGGAGGAAGGTGGGCCGAGGAGAGGAGGCCTGGCATGTACCACCATGCCCCAAAAGCCCCCGTTCCAGGGCTGTCGTCATGGCCACGGCCTCATGGGGCAGCACAGCCGCTCGCCAGGAGACCACCGGCTGGAAGATGAGAGATGCTTTAACCATTTTTGGAATCGAGGCAAGCTGGAAATGCAGCGAGCGGGGAAGCATAAATTATTCCTGCAGCAGGTTGATTTTTATCAGGCCCGTAAAAATGCTCATTGCGATGCTCCCGTTCTGCCCGTGTCACCCTGTGCGCCACATGGGGACATACGCATCGGCCTTCCAGCTAGCTGAAAGGTCTGCTTTCGCGAACCGAGCTCTGCCTTTCCTCACCGGGCCTTCCAGATGTTTTCATGGAATCCTTCATGGAAGGGTCCAACTCCCCACTCAGTGTGGGACTCCAAGGCCAACGGCTGTCCAGCTGCACCTTGAATGCCTTCAGTGGGGAGGAGCCCACAACCTCCCGAGGTCATGGGTTCCGTTGTTCCTGATGTCCAGCTGGAATCTGGCCTGAGCCCATTATTCTGTGTCCTGCACTCGGGGCTGATTGTGAGAAGAGATTCCAGCCTTCATGCAGCAAGTTCTCAGTGAGTGTTGTCATCTCTGCCCTCCGTCATCTCACAGCAAAACTCGTCCAGTTCTTGGTGGAAGCTCTTTTTTATTTAAGATCCCATCTACCTAGTTTAAACCTCCCCTCTGGAGCAGAGTCATCCCAATCCCAATTAAACTAGAGGCAAAAAGCAGAGACAGGCCCAATCCAATTAAACTAGAGGCAAAAAGAAGAGACAGGCCCAATCCCAATTAAACTAGAGGCAAAAAGAAGAGACAGGCCTGTGTGGTTTAGCACAATTACAGGTTGGTTCGTCTTGATTTAATTTCTGTACTGCCCAAAAGCTGAAGCTGTCTGGGCAGTTCACAACAATTAACCAATACAAATGAGACAATAAAAGTACAAATCCAATAAAGTACGGCATAACATTCCAGTGTGCATATTTAGAGCAGCTAAAAATTCCAATATGCAAAATTCAAAGCTGTTTAACATTTAAAGCATTTCCATTAAAAAGGAGACCAGATTAAAATAGCAGGCGCAACCCATCACAGAGGTACCCTTTTAACTGCATTCAGTACAGCATTTTTCTGGGGATATTGTGGGAAATGCAATTATCCGCTTCCAAAGTCGGGCACCTTTTCAAACGGGTGCAGGGAGGGCAAGAACAGCCGGGGTGCCCGAAAGGCGCCCGCAGATGCTGTCGGGCCTTTCCAGAATCTTCTGCAGCGTGCAGGCTTTTTGTGATGGGAGGTGCTGTGTGGAGGCAGCTGGACAGGGGCTCCGAAAGCTGATAGCCTTTGCAAAGTACCGCATCACCCCCGTGCTGGCGGTCATCGCAAATTTCTCTGGATGTAGAAATTGGACACTAGAGGTCAGTAACGGCTTTTGTAAGTATCGAGGAGCACCTAGTGATTCCTGGTTGACTGCAAGAAGAAAATGCGGAGTGGAGAGGTACATTATCATCACCAGTAGTAGTAATTGTGGCACCAACAATGTACATGGAGACTTGAAGACTGATGGAGCATGGAGACATAACTAGATGGGTCCTTGCACCCGAGAAGCCAGCAATCACAAAAAAAATGACTGACACAAAGAGAGGGAAAGAAACGAGGAAAGTGAGCATGGTGGGTTAATACATACTCAATCCCACCACATGGTAACAACCCATGGTGAACAACCCAACATCAAACCATGGGCTCTCTCCATGGGTTGATCATGGGTTGGTATCTCAGCTGGGTTCAGAGAAGAGGCTAGCTCATATTTCAATTACAACCCAAGATACAACAGCAACCCACACTTAATCCATCCTTAGCCCCTAAGTAGGAGTCTTTGGGCAGGGTCTCTCCGCCCTGGCCTTGGAACCTGGGGGCTTGGGTGCATACCGTGGCTGGAGCGAGGGGTGGGTGCGGCAACCCCCTTGCGTTTCTTCCCAGCCCAGCCATGTCTGGCAGAGGTAGATGGCTGCAGCCTCTTCCACTCCCACTTGCTCCATCTCCAAAGTGCCCCCCCCCCCAGCTCTCCAAGCAGCTCTTCTGCACCAGCTTGGCCACTGCAGCTTGGAGGACCCCCACAACGAGACTTCGGGGAATCCAATGGCCATAAGATGGTTCCCTTGAGCAAAACTATATTGGTGTTCCAGGCGTCCCACACCTTTGCCTTCAGCTTCACACACCACTATACTGGAAAACTTCTCCAACTGGAATTTGGCCTTTGGGTGGAAAGGACTTCAGCATCTCTGGCTAGCAGTGTGCAGTTTTGCTCCATCTGTTTGTTCTGTTTTTCGCTGATTGGTGTCTTTCGCCCTGTCGTCTGTTCACGTTGGTGGAACCAGTTTCTTTTTACGCACAATTGCATTCTCCTACTAATTTTGTATTAGCAAATTTGCGTTATCGCTATAACAGAGGAGCAGTCTTTGGAATGTGTGTGACTCAAAGAAGCTGGTCTAGTGCAGAATTCACAGGGCTGCTTCACAGAAATCCAAACTTTTTTGAATCGGCTGGAAATTCTCCTAAAATTTCTGCCATGGTGCACTGCTTGCGTATTCCTTTGCCTTGACTTCAGCGTGTGCTGCACTCCAAGGAGGTGAAGAATTGTGGGCAGGTTCGGAGGAGGACAACAAAGGTGGCCAGCACAGGGGCAACCGAGTCCTCTGAAGATTGGTTGAAGAAGGTGGAGGCTGGAGCGGGCAAAATGGTCCCACTTTTGAAACCTCTGAAAGGCCATTTTTCAAGAGACTGTTCAGACTTTTCACTGCTGTCCCAGTGGGTGGGACTGGATATACTGGGCTGTAGGACACACTCTGATGTTCATTTAGGCTGAAAAGTCTTCTGCGTGTCAAATAGATGAAGACACACTGATGTAGGGTAAGATGGAGAGACTTGTCGATGTTTCCCTACAGTGACTGTGTGTGTGTGTGTAATCATCTCTCTCACCCATGTGTTCTTAATGGTGTGCAACTTGTGGAAAGCAGAAGGGAATTGCTTTTAATGTGATAAATTTTACAAATGAATGAAAAAGAACCAACTGGGAAGGATGTTTATTGAGGCAAGAAAGCGAGGGCTTAATTTGCTCCAGGTCGGAGTCAGAATGCTCCTCATCACTCCCCGCCCTGAATTTCTATAGCATTTCCCCCTGTATGGTGCCCCCAGCCT